GAGTTGGCGTGCTTAAGGAGGGTTTGACAAGACTAATCTATTTGATAGACTAACTTGTGACAATCTTGTTAAGTAAGGATACTAGTAAGAAAGTACAATTTGAGTTGACCACAACGAATGTAATAATGAAATCCAACCCATTCTTATATCCGTTGCCTTTGGTCCTGCCATCCCTTACTTCCCTGCCATCCCTGGGATGGTTGTGATGTTGGGGATGGCTGCCATCCCAAGGCGTCCTGCCATCCCTCGGATGGTTGCCCTTGGCGGGATGGCACATCACGTGACCTAGCCCCGCGATGATCATTACCTTCTGACGTGGACGTCCATAGGCCTTCAGCCATCTCGTCATTTGTCAAGGAGAGAATCCTTCTTGTTACTTGTAACAGATAACTGTAATGGGCTGAACGCCCTTCGCCTCTCATACTCGTCTACGACCTCGTTTACTCTACCTGCCCGGCCCGATTGTTACCCTAGCAACTAGCATATATATATAAGCTATATAGCCGAGAGCTTAGCTCTCTATCGAATACAATCTTGTTACCTTGGCCTGTCCAATTGTGCTCCAGAGCTTAAGACCACCCCACGGGGTTGCGCCCCTTACAATAACGAGCTTGTCTTGTCATCTTGATAGCTGGATATATATACTCGGAATCAGCGCACGCTGCGCTAATCGCTACTTGGCATAGCCAAGTTATCATCAAGGGCGTAGCCCATTACACTAGTCAGGCTACATGAGCTGCGTGTTCTTTAGCTAGTAGACCGGACTATACCTATAGGTCTAACTAGAATTCGTATTATAGATATAAATGCGTACGTAGATAACGTTAACACGTATAATATCTACTTACCTAGCACGCGTATTATAGTCCAACGCGGATTAGGACTTTTAGAGCATACTTACTATTAGTTTAATACTAACATTAACTATATATACGAGGCTATCGACGCTAGAGAACTAATTAATAAGCAAAGGGAATTTTCGATAGGCTGTAGAGTGACGAGAGCAAGGCGTGGATGGGTCTGGTCCTTCGGTTCTTTGGTCGAGAGCTGGGTGTTTACGGGGACGAGGACGGCGTCGCAGACATGTCACTTGTGTTGACGCGTGACGGTATCGATGGGCGGGCGTGGCGGTGTCGATGAGTGGAGCTGGGGATGGGTGCTAGTCTTAGTAAATCACGGAATTTCTTTTCTCAAACAAATGCATCTCAGAAGACCAAAGCTCTTGCTCAATTCAAGTCTAGACTTTTTATCAATAACGAAGTAAGTCTTGTTACATTTTTCAAGATCATCTAGAGCGACGACAAACCAGGTATTCTCGACTCTAGAAGTTTCTGTGATCGTTTCTGTGCTGTAGCAATATACCCTTCAGAATTATATCGTCACTAACTCAGGATTTGTTAGTACGTAGATACAAACTCACCAGAGAAGTTCTCAGTCTATAATCCAGCAGACGAAACACTCATTACATCTGAATTTCCTGTAGCTGGGCCGGAAGATGCTGATGTGGCAGTTAACGGTGCAAGCGAAGCCTTGAAATCTGGGCCATGGAAGGACTTTACCCCATTGCAGAGGGCAAGCTGTATGATGAAGCTTGACGATCCGATTGAGGAGAATGCGGAAGATCTCTTCAAGCTAGAAACAGTTGCTATAGGAATCCAATCGACTATGAGTCCGTTCATCATGAAGATGGCAGCAGACGCTTGGCGTTGTGAGTAATAGGTACTTATTAGCAGATAGTTTCTGACAGTATCTTTAAAGACTATGCTGGGTGGGCGGATTAGATCCTTGGACAGATATTCCGTTCTGAGGGTGGCAGCCCATTCACTTTCGTTACGTATGAGCCTATAGGTGTGTGTGCAGACGTTGCTCCATGGAACGCAAGCCACAAGTAACCACTCGTATTTCAAACAGTTTCTTCTTGCTAATCTGGATTGGAAAGCACTCTTGCATGGAAGGCTGGACTTGTATTGGCAGCCGGAAATACTGTACGTACCCCAAACCTTTACGGGAGGTTTCGCTCAGGCAGATCTCTCTGGACCAATTTATGTATCAAAGCATCGGTTCTTGATTCAAGACCTAGGTCGTTTTCAAAAGCTCTGAAAAAGCCCCTTTGGGCCTCACTGCTATGGGAGACCTCATCAAACGAGTTGGGTTTCCCGCTGGAGTGATTCAACTCCTTTCAGGCCCAGGAAGTACGGGAGCATTGCTTGCGCAGCACATGAATGTTGCTAAGATCAGTTTTACTAGATCTGTCGCTACGGGAAAGAAGGTGCAGGAAATGGCTTTGGAGAGTAACATGAAATGTGTTATATTGGAGCTTGGTGGAAAGTCACCGGCCATTGTTTTCAATGACGCGGATATCGACAGTTCCGTGAAGTTGTGAGTATGAGACCCCACTTCACGGGATTTGGCTGATGGGTTAACATAGCTGCACTTCCGGACTGCTTGGTAATACGGGACAAGCCTGCATAGGTAGTGTTCTCCACACTATCAATTGATATTACCGAGCTAAAATGACCACAGCGTCTTCGAGAACGTTGGTTTAGAAGGACATCGCCCCGAAGTTCATCAAAGCTCTGAGACAGCGTTTTCAGAAACAAAGGGCCTTGGTCCCCTTGCTGATCGCTCCCAGTTTGAGAGAGTCATGTCTTTTATCGAGATAGGAAAGGAGGCGAAACTTGTTACAGGTGGCGCACGTGTTGGTGACAAGGGCTACTACGTTGCTCCAACATTGTTTGTTGATCCTGGCCTTGACACAAAGATTTACAAGGAGGAAATATTTGGACCCGTGGGTACTGTACGCACATTCTCCACAGAAGAAGAGGTTGTGGAGTTAGCCAACGACACATCGTTTGGTCTTTCAGGTACGCCGTGCGATGACGTTTATATAAGCTCAGGGAGGATGCTAAAACAATTACGGAACATACACTCTCTAAACTCCCTCCCTGCACGACAAACAACCCAATGGGCTGAAACTGACCAATGAGATACTGCATTAGACCGAGATATCTACCATCCTTGTGCTCTCCTTTGCCGTCTTCGGCCCACCGGGTTGTTTCTCTCGTATAGATGGAGATTACTAACTACTCTGCCTACGATACCCGCACCCAAATGTACGACACTAAGATTTAGTAAGGAGTCGTTGGCCGAGCGCTGAAAATCATTCCTTTAATAATTGTTCAGCTGGAGGATCCAGTAATCCACAGTTACATGACATTTCTCCGCATACATACATCAATGCCTGGTGTGATCATCGCCGATACGATAGCACCTATGCGAATAGTAAATAATGGTAGCGCAAAAGTTCAAGCTGCAATAGATAAACATTATTCTAGGGATTGATGAATTATATCACAGCAGCATTGTGGTCACAAAGACTAGACACATAGTAGCAATAGCAGGTATCGCATTTTCGTTAGCATGGTTGACGCGGAGGTCGCGCTGTTAATCCTACTAAGCCCTTTCACTCTTTACTATAGAAGCTACGCATTCGTGCTGTAACGCGCTTAACACATCTAGAAAACTAACAATATTACTAGCGCCTATGTAAAACACTCTGGATTCGTCCTCCGCACACTTGCTCCTCTGCCTCATCACAATCAACTCGAGCGTGGCTACAACTTGCGGGCGATGGCAAAAAATTACTATAGCATTGATATACTACTATGGGCAACACAACTGGATAATGTTTACAAAGGAGCATTTGATGATAGCTATTTACTAAAAGGCCACCTCAAGTGTTGAGTGGCTACTGGATTCTGCAACTATATCCATGTATACAATCGCATTACTGTCGGTGGCTTTCATGCCTTATACCTCTTCATCCCAACTCATTCATTACCATCTATTCTCTCCTTTGACAAGCATCGCAATATTATTTACCCTGCCCCCTTTGACCCGAAATTAGGGTAATCCTACTACTCTCAAGATGGCAGAGATAGCGTAGGAGTGCACTGTAAGTTCTATAAAAGGATTTTTGTCTATTGAGAAGATATTCTCCAATACTGATTGCTTCCTTGCCATATGTTCACCCCTAGTCTCCCAGCGTCCCCCTGTCCAAAGATCATCCTTCTCGGAGAAATTTGGCCCAATGAAGTAGTCAGGACAATTCTCTTAATCCAACTTTGGGTACTCCTATCGCAAGTATGATCGGTAATAACTTCTTGCAGAGACTCCTTGACGATCGGCCGAAACTTTACTCCTTGTTCTTCGAGTTTCTTCTCGAAAGCGAGACGGGTAGTTTTTAGACAGCGAGCGAGAGGACTGGAGTACAACGTGCCAGGCAATAGCTCTATTCATAGTCAGTAAATCTAAAAACATACGTGCAAACAACAACTCACATTCCAGGCGTTTCGCGCCACTTCTGATTCGAATGAGTTATGAAAGCCTAGTCCATGTCTTGTAAGGTACAAGACTTAGTACATATTTGGTAAAGGTCACTTCTTGGCTATTCAAATATTTGATGTAGTCCCGGAAATGCTCCCAGGGCTTTCTATCCATCTTTAAATCTTCGCTACAAACTTTGTCTTTATCTCTTTCGTAAGTCCTCTCAATCAGACCAAGTTTGGGTAAGGTTGTGGCACGAAAAGAAGCGTCGCGTTTGGCTTTTTCGACGAAGTCGATGAAGAAGCCAGACATAGCCTGGAACTGAAAATGACACTTGGTAGAATTTGTTGCCATCGTGCCAAAAGGAAGAGCGCAAACTAGATTCTGCAATAGCATTCAAATACTAACTGCGAAGGTGAAATCGGCAAAAAAGCTTAGTTAACGTGTGAATTCAGCTTTCAGCTTTGCGCTTATAGTCAGATCAAAAGTGGACGCCTAAATTGACCCCGCAGATAAAGTCCCACCCTGCATGCCACTGTACTTACATTTGCGACAACTCCAAATCAAGAGCCTTTTGTTGCATACGGCACGTACATATTGCATGTTGGATATTGGATTCATTGGCTAACTATGGTAGTGCAGGAGAGGGAGTATATAGCTGAAATATTCGGTGACTGGGCCCAGTCACCTCACGAAGTACACCCACAACCTTCACCTTCAACATTGCAAAGGGACCTTCTTCGCATAGCATTATTATCAACCTTAGCAGTCACAACGATTTTTCAATCGAAAGAACATCGGAACACGCTCTGAATAAGCTTTGCACGTTGGCAACATGGTCGGCCTGTATGCGGAATTGAAGCTGGCTCCTGAGGACCAAATTAGGCTCGTGAACATTCTTCCAAGAAACGAGTCAAGCGCTCTTGCCTGCGAGCTCCGGATAGTTGATCTTCGCGAAAGACCAGAATATGTCGCACTCTCATACACTTGGGGCTCACCTACTCCACTTCCCGATGAAGGAGCAGAAGCTTTGCTAAGCAAGCCAAGTGTTATATTACTTTGCAGGGCGAAGTGTGGCTTTGCAGATCAACCTTATCCGCTCTGGCATCAGGTCTTAATCACCGAGAATCTCTACGCTTTCCTACTGAGAGCTCGCGACAACGATTCGTTCGCCCAAAACTCATACTGGATAGACGCTATTTGCATTGACCAAGAGAACTCCGCAGAGCGATGTCATCAAGTACAGATGATGGGTAGAATCTACCGATCTGCCGGTATTGTGCATGCGTGGTTGGGCGAAGAAGACGATGATACCAGAATCGCTTTTGAATTGATAAGAGCCTTGCTGGGTTTTTGTAGTAGAATTACAGAGCGACGAGTAAGAATCAAGGCACTGATGGATATCACTCCAAAATCTTTGGGGAGTGCGAGTCTGACCGCGAGACTCGGGCCCTGTGCAGATGTCACCGCTTGGATGGCAATGGCCAACCTGTTTCAGCGCAGATACTTTACTCGAGCATGGATCATCCAGGAAATCATACTTGGCAGGAAAATCAAAGCTCTTTGCGGAAGTCACATCGTGAGCTGGGAAGCTATTACGACGGTGTCAGAGTTTGTTTCCGTCACTCCTTGGAAAAGATGGATATCCAACGTCACCAGTTCACCTCACGGAGGACACGATGTTCCAAACCTTCTCGACGTCAATAAATTCTCCAACAGTCTACTTTACTCTCTCATCAGGTTTCGCCGCTTCGCCTCCACAGATCCCCGAGATAAGGTCTATTCGCTCCTTAGCATTACAGGGGAGTCTACTTTGACGAAGAACCGCTTAGTTCCTGTCTATGGCGAGAGATCAGTAGCGGAGACATATACGCTGGCTGCCATCCAGATCCTAGAAGACTCTGATGATCTACTCCTACTTTGTTGTGCGGAAGGCGATAGCTTCCGTACTATACCCTCCCTGCCCACCTGGGTCCCTGATTGGAGTTGCGCTCGAGCTTTGGGATTAGCTATCACTGGCTACAAGAGGTTTGCAGCTGCGGGTACTCTTGCCAGAGATTTATATATCAATGAAGAAGATCGCTGTTTAATTATTAAAGGATTTCGACTTGACGATATCGTTTCTAGCAGCGAGACCAAAGAGGCCATGCTCGGGGGGAGCCAGTTTTCCGGTTTGCTTCGGATTCTTAATGCGATGACTCCCATCTATCATACTAGGCAGTCTCGATCAGAGGTGCTATGGCGAACACTGGTTACGGATACAGCGGGTGTTCCTCCTCGCTGTCCTGCTCCCAACAGCTACCGTTCTGCATATGTCTCGTGGATCACTTCGAAACTATCGGCTAGTGTCAAAGATTCAGTACAGAACATCAAAGATCCGGCTTTCGTGAACACCATGGCGGATCTAGTACCAACGGAGATCTCCGATTCATCACCATATTCAAATGCGTCATCGATTCCGTACGACAGTGCTTCCTCAGAGACACAAAGTAGCTCTGTTGACTATGACGAGTTTGAAACGATATTTTCGCATGCTCTTCATCTTCGGCTTTTTCTGACAGGTAGAGGCTATCTTGGAGTGGGCTCCATATCTCTTCTTGAACAAGATTCAATATGGGTCGTTCCTGGGTGCCGTGTGCCTTTGATCCTCCGAGAGATCAATTCACATACTTTCCAAGTTGTCGGGGGTGCCTATGTGCACGGCTTTATGCAAGGTGAAGCTCTAGAGTCTGGCCCTATCTTCAGAAACGTCACTCTAGTGTAATTAACGCGGAAATTTGGTGGCTCTTAAGCTTTTACGTAGATATCGTGCGTATGTTTTCCATGAACTTTACAGTCGCAAGCCCGACGTCGTCTGCTGGACGTTACCTGAGTTCGCGGTGCCAGCACACAGTTGCGACGCGCACCAAGTGTCTGAGAACAACACATAGTAGACTATAGATATTCAACGAGAAAGGTTGCTCTCCACCTACGGCGCTGGTCGAGCAAGGTTTGGCAGTTCTTAGCGCGCACCCCAGGTCGCTCGAGCAGAGTCCTTAGCATTAGCTTCTAACACAGCTCGGTTGTTTAGTATACATATATTTTCTCACCAAAACAATCATATGCAATAGCGTAAAACAGCCCAGATTCCGATGATTCCTGATGCTACACCTCAGTGGCCAACCCGCAATCAGAATGACGTGCGGAGCATCGTCAGCCCACACCATCCAAAATCATGCACATGAGGTATATGTCATCTCTCATGGATCTTTCAAGTCCTTCTATTAATTTACATCTGACCACACCCTTCTTTTGTTATTTTGCCGGGTCATTAGGATCACTGACTCATTGCACGCTGCCTATGTATGCCGCCATGAAGCATCCGGATTGTATAATTTCGGCTTTTGAGATTGTCGCCCCGATATTGACTATGCGATGCTTCCGCGTCCTGGCCTCAAATAATCACGAACTGCTGGAGCTTACTTGTGGAAGATATAAATTCGATACATAACCTGAAGTCTTTAATTCTACACGCAGAGACATATCGTTAATCTAGAGAATTGCAACCTCTATCGTCTTGGATTCACGATGTCTAGGGCCTCTTTATCGATACCCATAAGCTCTTTGTTCAAAGAACACCTTCTGTACCCTCAAAACCGTGGAATACTTGATGTAGCATTGCAGCTGATACTTCCTTCACATGTACAGTTTCCGCCAATCTCTTTAGTGACAAGAAGATTCCAAAGATACTACTTAATAGGTCTTTACTATTGATTTATCCAGATTTTTCAATGCAGACCTCAGCAATTGTTTTATTCTCTGCCACAATATCAAAGAGCTGTGTTTCTGTCTCACCCTGTACAGTGCTTTAATAGCTCACACTTTACTCTTCATCTCAAAATACTTACACAAATTTTGAACTGTTCTATCATATAGTTCGGTGTCCACATATTCTTATTTTTGCTTCGTGGGCGCGCTGGATCCAATGACATAGAACCACTCATATACAGGAATCGAAGTGGCTGTTCTGGGCTCGGGTTTGCCTCGAGAATTGCTTTGAAGTCTGCCACCACTCAGTCTTGGCACAACATGTGCAACGTTTCTGGGGGCATTCCACGTGCTTTGGGAGGTGTAATCGCCACCGTCCTACGATTGTAAGCTACAAAACATACAAAAACCTCTTCGCGCAGATGTAATGCACCAGATGCCGGCATTTGCGCCCTCTAATTCTTTTCGTACATCTTGCGAATATGTGCCGTAATCTGAAACTACAACGCTCTTCAGTTTCGATGCGTTGACGGTGGATATGAGGTAGTACGGAAATAGATTACTTTGACAAGGATCACGTAAGCAGCTATTGTAATGTGAAACCTACCGAATAGGCTGCAGGAATGTGATCATCTGGATTTCTGCAAGTGTTCATTCTTTTTTTTGCAGGATATCTCCACCTAGAGGACGAAATAGTGAAATTCGGTAGCGCACGAAGCTATTGCCACTAGGCCAAGAATAAGACTAACATGAAAACAACAAGAACAGCAAGGAAACTAAACAATATGGAATATAACGCTGTTTTCTTTACGCTCTATTTCCTCAATCTATACAAAAGCCCGCTGCAAGGCAGCACAGCTATCTTACATTTCTCCCCATTTACCAAACTGCTCATTAGCAATAGGCGTCGGGAGGAGATATACCCACAAGCAGGTGAAATTCGAAGCACAATATTAGTATTATACAAAGAAATCCTAGCCATATAAACAGCCATATAAAAAGGCATACGGCCAAAGCTATACATAGCCACTACCTACATTGCCTATAATGGAACAATAACAATGATAAGTCATTACTGGATATTCCAGACGAAACCCTTCGGTCGAACAGAAAGAGCTTATCCTGCATGTTGTATGTAATATATTTACCACCTTCTCATTTGTGAGACCAGCGATTCCCTGAACCTTCATATGATAGCATTATACACCATAGTGCCTGTTATTTTGAAATCGATGTCCTCAACATTCTCATCAACCAAATTTATTGAAGATGCAAATCTAAGTATTCTTTTTTTTCACTCAAATTTGTCGAAAATGAAAGCATGGCGATTGAAGACAACCGATGGTTGCATTGAGAAGTATCTTACTCTACCCGCTGCATGTATTGTTAAAATAGCGTTTACCCCCAACTAAACCCTAATTGATGTTTACGCGAAATCGCTCGAACCTCCCGACTACAAACTTCCTAAGATGAACATTCTTACCAAAGTCATGTTGCCTTCTCCTTGTACACCTTCAACAACTTACAGATGTCAACAGTCTCCGTAAGAATCCATAAGTGACCTGGCAAGAAACTAACCGCTATTCGCAGATGACACCATTGCAATAGCATGGGTAAGCGTATTGACTGGGACCGCTACAGTAATTGTGAGACCAACAAAACTCATACTGTCTGCGAGTGAGTCCTTCGGTCGAGGCCACCTTCGCTTCCTGCTCCTGATAGTACTGAAACGCGAACTCCAGCTTGGCCGCAGGTTTGATATCCTCGCTCGGGTGTAGTAGGTTCTCTTCAGGGACGGTAGTTGAGTCGACTGTTGCGAAGTTGAGTCGGTCTTTTGCTAGCTGTTCTTCAGTGTATGCTCCAGCAGTTACAGCGCCCTCTAAGGCCGCTATGTAGGCATCAATCTGGGTACGATCGAGCCGCGCCGCATCCAGCACTCAACCATCTGCATGGTATGCTCGATATATACCGTCGCGGTCTACGCTGTGAAACCCGTAACCATGCTCAGCCCTGATCAGTGAAGGGAACTTGACAGTTCGGGCAAGCTCTGGCCTCGCGCGGTTTCCCTGGATCTTGTAAGTATCTCAATGCTCGAAACGTAATGATATGAAGGCAGTAGGGATCTTGACTGACCAACAAAGAACGACCATTAGCATCGGCAGCCATCGCAATAATCAACGTCGCGAATGTGAAAAAGGTCTGCATGACCTTTTTTTTATGAAGATTTGGTGAAAATGATGAGGGATAAGATAGTGAGATGCTATATGCTTGAGATCTGTGTCTACGTGGGTGCTTGTGTGTGATCTTGGAATGGAATATGTCCAATATTTATATTTCTTCTTTGCAACACAAGTTATACTCAAATACTTCTAATTGTATCGTCCTTCACTTACTAAGTTTCACAATCTGGAGTAATACTGAGCAAGACAGACTTCCGCGGATCTAAGCATCTCATGAGTAACAGTATCTAACTTCTTGTGGTAACCGTGAGGAGTAATCGATATTACCCTTGCATTAAGCCATGAAAGCAATTCTTGGCCTTCATAATGCGATTTTCGATGATGTCATTTCTGAAAGCTTTGTGGGGCGCTGTGAGTGGCACAGTAATCTGTGCATACATGTATGTGGTGATCATCATCCTCATAAAGCTGGCTGCCTCGTCACGCCATAGTAGTGTCTCTTGGTATGCAGAATACAAAGCCATGTGCGACATGACAGGTATCCAGATAAGAAGGTGGTCAAAGAACATAGTTGTAGAATCTCGAGCTGTAGGATTTTTCGGGCAAGATTTACTTTCTGTGTTTTTTGGTCCAATACTCAGTCTGTTGCAGGCCAATCATGGATGCAGGAGTATAATATCTACACAATCCCACACGTTCAGGTGTGGGAGAATAGTTTACTCGCAGGCGGGTATCAAAGCACTCGAAAAATGGAATCTCCAGGATCGAGACACCTTCGGGCGATTCTGGTTTATGTTTGCTTGCCCATCTCAGACTAAGGTCTTACCTATAGTTTGTATGTTAAACATCCTACGAGAATGCTGAACCTTCTTTTATATACAATTCAACAGCCAAAGGATACACAGTAATAGCGAAGGTATGCGATCTGGGAGCTAAGGCAAATCTCACCCCTCGCCATAAACATGCGCATGTTGAGCTTGTAACCAAGAAAGAATAAGACCACTAAGCGGGAAGTTAGGTAATAAACAATGACAATAAGGCAAAATATAATAAGACAAGCGCACAAAGACGTAAAAGTGCAGTAAGTGACTATATTATGACCCACACCACCGGTTAATAACATAATCTACACTGTATAGGCAGCATACCAGGATCGACCTGATTTGAAATCGATCTAGACTCTTTCAGAGATGCCAAATTCTACAGAAACGCAGTTATACTAACCTTCTCGTTAATCATACACCGAGAGAATATTAACAGTAGTCAGATCACGACAAAATCATGCTGCAAGGCTTCATAGACTTGTCCGACAATGAACCGACACAATGTCGAACAAGTTCATTCAAAATTACTCTAATACACGTCACTATCTCGACCTTAACTATTTGGGGGTTTTTCGACATTTGCTTGATTGTGTTTCGTAACGCAAGCTGGGAGAAACTAGGTCAAACAAAAAATGACACAACACAATGCTGGTGTGGTACGCAGAATGAAGAAGTTGTCGCGATGGGCTGCATATACGACCACATCGCGGTTGACTGGTTGCCGTCGCATTGCCATGATGCTGACCTCGTAGCCGAATTCGATGCTTCAGGTCCTGGTACGAATGGTATGTGGCCTTATTACCGTATTGAGTCCCAGGGGATACTTGGCCGAAACTTCATTCCTATCGAAGATGACCCGACTACAACCATTGATACGCTTGCACAGCGTGAGGAAAACTATTGGGCAACGACAGAGTGGCATGTAGCGCACTGCTTATTCACGTGGCGTAAGCAAATAAAATTTCTTGGTCAAGATATGAAGGGTCATTTGATGGAACCGTGGAATGCTAGAGAGACACACGCCAAACACTGTAGCGAGTATATCTGGAATGTCATCAGGCAGGGGCGGTCCTTAGATGAAATTACTACGTTCATACCCGGAAACGCGCGTCATGTGGACGAGTGAAAAAGTGGCTCATTGGGCTCTGTAATTATACTATACGTATTGCCTCAAGGAACTTTCTTAAAAGCATCCAGACATTAGCACTTATGCTTAGTTCCAGTTTATTGTCTGTCGAGCCACGTATATAGACATGTAATGCAGATGATGAAATTCGCACCCATCCCACAGCCATATCTCGACTCACGCTGATGCAGCTGCGCACATGTTATTTAGTCTCTGAAAGGAGCATTGGTATAGCGGGTTTTAATGGCTTTGTCTAGCAAATGTTTTCTTGAGTTTTTGATCATCAAGACCACACCAGGGTCAAGAATCTCCGAAAGCATCCTCATTCTACTATCAATATCATTCATACTAGGTTTGAAGATTTTACTTATAGTGCAACCAGACATACTATTGCCATTTCGTAAAACGTGGAGCGACTACTATCTCTTACTCTATGCATTACGAAACCGAACTCAACAATACTATTCCTCGATTAGTTATGAAAAAGCATGAGTGGTAGCATATTGTTCAGATTTTGCATAAACAGAGACCTAAATACACCGGGAAGATGTATATGGTCCAGGATTAAAGTCTTGGAGCCTGTAGCTTTCTCTTGGCTTCGCATGGTCACGCACGAACTCGTGGTTGTTCAACAACCCCAACATTCGCTTCTTCAATTATCTTGCTGTGCATTCTTGTTCATTTCATATCAAATAATGTTGCTTCCGTGTTCATGAAAACTTTCGATCAAACAAACCGCAATTCTCACACAGACTAAGACAATACGAACAAAGCTTTACCAGACAAGGTGAGGGGTAATAGCTAGGCGATGCCGTAGAAGGATCAAAGTGGTGCCACATATAACCAGCTTGGCATCTATGCATGGCTACATAGCCTATCAGAACGAGGGTACTTTATTGTTGACCTGTTCAACAGGACACGTAAGAGGCAGTCCAAGCATTCGAAAAGGGGTGTGTGAGGCTTGTAGGATCGGCAGCAACTTATGTCGGATAACAGAAAGAATGTTATGTAAAGCTAGCTGCTCCACCTGCAGTAAGTATCACACCCTGAAGTCGCTTTTTCGCGTGCATCGCTGTATTGAGTGACTTTTATTGTAGGCACAGCTACTGTTTTCGGCCCCTTGCAGCAACGTGTGACATTCAGCTGTAGTCTGATACCTCCATTAACCTGATTATTATATTGGAGAATACACCAGTTGTTTGGCTCGCTTTATGCAGAAGCTCTCTTTTCCTCTAGTTAAAGGTGTTGTATATTCACGCACCATGAGATCCATTGGCACCAACACTTTGAATTTTATGCTCCCTTCCAGACCAGGGTGGTAACTTTGCCCAAAGCAGTGAGAGCTAGAATACAATGTTCATGGAGAACCAACACAGAACATGCATTCGAATGCATGACAGACTAGCTTCGACCGCGATTATAACGAGTTCTATCAAGTGTGTACATCTGAGACTATATTGCAATGAGCTGTGCTGCACTACAGAGCATTGACAAGCCACTGCTCTACCTCAAGGTTCAACTTTGTGTTTCTGAACCGCAGAGGATCAACAAAGATTTTCAACTTCAGTCCATCTCCTTCGGTGTAATGCTGACTGGTTGTAGTTCTTGTTCTTGGGCTCATTAGTCACTTTCACATTAGATCTGGGGAGATTCATGCGGCTGCTTAGTTATCTTCATCATAATAATACACTTCTCTCTATACTACGCTTGGTGAGACGCGGATAAGACTTTGCGTAGGCTTATGCCTTTACTCCCTTCTCCCCTAGTATATCGAAGAGATGTATAACGTGGCACTGCTTGATTGTAGGGCAGCAACAATTAGGTTACTGTATTAGGCTACTGTTACCTCGTAAGCCGTCCACCTTATACGTTAAGTTGCTCTCACAATGCTTTTTGAACAATTTAGAAAATGAATGACTTGACTTGTTTCTATCTGTTTGCTGTATAGCGTATCAGATTGAACATCTCAAAAAACAATAAGAAAACCAACAGCTAGCCAGTTCTACTCTAAAAATACGAAGCTACAGATAGACAAAATTCGATAGGAGCCGCTTGAATTATTAAATCTATAGATCGCCAAGAGGTTAGGAATAAGGCAGAAATAGCGTAACTGCAATCATTCGGCATATGAAGGGCAGAACTCTTGTGGAAAAGAGAAGGGCATAAGGAAGCACAGAGATTATAAAAAAGTAGGAGAAGAAGAAAAGATAGGTTATGAGACTATCCATCGGGCTAGAAGCTCCCTCACAATGTCTTCCCCGTTCTCCTCAGCAGGTGGTAGGGTCGGAATAAATTTCCTTCTCATGTGTACAAACTTTGGTACCTCAAGTGTGTCACGACGTTCAAGGAGCTTCTGTGAAGATTTGGTGTCGTTTTCCTCTGCTCTTTGAGGCACATATTTGATGCTTGGCCTATGAATTTTGTGTCTACCTGGTTCAATCAATTCATAAAGATTGCTGGTCCTTTGAAGATCATAGTTGGGAAAACCTTCGCTAGGGATTTCTGGGAATCTTCGAGTTTCATCATTATCCGGTGGTGGTGGGTAACGCCTAACACTCTTTCGTCTTGCACCTACAAGTTTCATGAATAGGGTTTTCATGTCGCTCGTACGGCGGATAGAGGTAGGAGGGCGTGGAATGTATGTCATTCTATTTTGGACAACCGGACTAGTGGGCTGAGGAGATCCCTTGATATCAACTATCCAATTCAGCGTTTCAATGTTTAGTATGCCAAATACGCTGGAGATGGTGATGTTGTGTTGCACATGGACATACACTATCTCAGCATCAGATTGATCCAAGCAGTTCCGTTTGATGATATCCTGCTGCTCTTTGGTGAGCTCGAGCATCCCGATGTGTGGATCGTGACCCTCGTCAAAGTATGTCTTGACCAGTTTCTGGAGGGACCGTTCTGGGAGCTTCATCTTATTCAAAGTAATAGAATCTCCGTTTCCAGTTGTGAGCCCTTGGAGATAGTTGGTAGACCATCCTTGATAGTAGCTTGTTTTATCGCTGGTACTTGACATTGAAGATGTGAGGGTAAGATTCTTCGACGCGGTTTTCTCTTGTGGTCGATTCTTAGGAATTTGGATGATTCCAGCCGACTTGGAAACTGGCATTGAAGCCATAGACTTTTGAAGAAAAGGCCGTTCGGAAGAATGCTGCGCATGGAGCAAATCCGAACCAGGACATGTAATAGATCTCATATCTGGGAGTAACTTGGGCAGGGTATTTGCCTCTACTTCGGCAGCCGGGCTCGACCTGTCAAGGATCCCTTGGTCCCGCAATCGCGCGTTACCAGGAGGTTTCAAAGGCAAACGTGCCAGAATAACATCTTTAGTGATCGAAGAGACTCCATGTTTTCTGCTGCTGGAAACTAAGGCAGGGTCGATGTTCTGTTGTGGGCTGGGCGGGGATGCTTCCATTAAATTCGTACTCTGAGATTCTAACGCATTCTCCTCAGACGAAATAGTCGTGCCTCGAGGCTGTTTGGAGACTTTATGTACCGTCGGTTCATGTGGTTTGATTCTACGCGCTTGTTCCAGCTGTACAATAGTAGACCCAAGTTCCAGTCTCTCCGTTTCGTGGATCGGTCGCTGACGACCATCCCTTTGCGCAAGGGCAAGGGTAGCCACAGCTATCATAAGAACAAGATTGCCTTTTGCATCTCGGAGGTTGCTGCGAAGATCATCGAATTGGGGTTGCAAGAATGGCCATTTTGCCTTTTCAAACATGGATAGCTCAATTTTTGAGTGCAAAGCAGGGCGCTTCCCCACTTGTTCAAATGCACGACTCAGCAGGTTTCTAATCTCCGTAAAGACTAGCCTGCAACGTTAAAGGGCATCCGAAATGTCTTTTAGAGCGATGGAGTTGAAAACCGACTTGAGAACGCCTTGCGCATCAGGCTGAGGTATGATCAGTTCGCGCACTTGGTTGAAGATCGCGCATGTGCTGCTGATATCGTCCGCGATGTTTGTGATCATTTGGCTAGCTGTCGCAACTTTTTCCGCGAGGGCGTATAGCTTCACGGAGGCTTGTACACCAGCTGTAGTGATACCAACTACAGACCCCGCGATGCTGAGAGGGTCTGCCATTGCGTGCTCTCAGAACGATAGTTATGTTTGACTAGTTGAAGCAAGTAATATCGGAAGAAAATGAAAATGAGGCTAGAAGAATTGTTGGCATCATAAATAATGTTTGCGAGAAGGCTGAGATGCGTGCCTGAGACTGAGCGCCTGAGGCCACCTACGTAATGTTGGACACAGCCACCATGCCAGCCAATGGCCATACAGGTGTAACGTAGTTTACAAGCGAGTGAGCCATACAAGCGAGTGAGCCACCCCACCAACTTTACGCACCTCTCTTGTTACAATATACAATGACTCCACCAAATCTATCCCAACACGTCCCTCGTGAGGCTGACATATACCTTGCACTATTAGCTCTTGAAAAAAGTCAAGTTCAAACTGAAAGGCGTGCTGTAGCTACGTTTAATGTTTCTCGCGCTACTCTCCACCGCCGACGCGCTGGCAAGCCTGCCCGACGCGATTGCCAGCCCAACTCAAAGAAGCTTACCAAGCTAGAAGAGGAGGTGATTATTGGCCATATACTTGATCTTGATCTACGTGGATTCTCGCCTACCTACGCAGCTGTGCGCGATATGGCTGATAGACTCCTGGCTGCGCGCGGCGCTGGCCAGGTCGGCGTCCACTGGCCGCGTAACTTTGTCAAGCGTACAGACAGTCTTATAACGCGTTTTAGTCGAGCGTACGATAGGCAGAGAGCTCTGTGTGAAGATCCAGTCCTAATTAAGAGCTGGTTTGAGCTTGTAGAGCAGACAAAGGCTAAGTACGGCATCTGCGACGAGGACGTCTACAACTTCGACGAAGCTGGCTTTATGATGGGCAAGATTACGACTTAACTTGTCGTTACAGCGTCAGAGAGGAGAGGCCGGCCAAAGGCAGTTGAGCCAGGTAATCGTGAGTGGGTGACGCTGATCGCAGCGATCAACGCAGCTGGCTGGTTAGTCCTACCGTTCCTTGTATTCGCTGGCAAGTACCACCTATCTGCTTGGTATGAGGAGGCAGAGATCCCACGCGACTGGGCGATCGCAGTCAGCGACAATGGCTGGACGAATAACGAGCTAGGCGTCGCATGGATAAAGCACTTCAATGCCCACACGAAGACTCGCGTTATTGGTACACGTCGCCTGCTTATTCTTGACGGCCATGAGAGCCACCAGTCTCTAGAGTTTTAAGAGTTCTGCAAGGAGAATAATATATATACGCTCTGTATGCCGCCTCACTCATCTCATCTACTCTAGCCTCTTGACGTTGGCTGCTTCTCGCCGTTAAAGCGCGCGTACAGCCGCGAGGTGGAGAGCCTGATCCGCTATCACATTAACCACATCACCAAGCTCGAGTTTCTGCCAGCGTTCAAGGTAGCGTTCGATCGATCCTTCACGCCATCCAATATCTGCTCTGCCTTCCGCGGCGCAGGCCTTGTTCCTCTCTAGCCAGATGCTGTTCTATCAAGACTTGATATAAAGCTCCGTACGCCTACTCCACCAGCTGCTCTAGAGGCTCTCTGGCAGGCTCGCACGCCTAGCAACACACGCGAGCTTGAAGCTCAATCAACATTAATACGTGATCGCGTTCAGCGGCATCAAGGCTTATCGCCAGCTTCAATTATTACAGCAATTAATCAGCTTAAGAAGGGGGCTGAGGTAATGATGCTCTCGGCTGAGCTAATGCGCGATCGGATAGCCAGCCTTGAGAAGGCGAACGAAGCCGCAACAAAGCGTAGGCAGCGTAAGAAGAAGCGGATACAGAAGCAAGGAGTGCTAACAAAGGGAGCTGGAGAGGATCTACTCGCTCAGCGCGAGGCTGATCAGCAGATTGCTCATGAAGAGCGTCAAGAAGGAGAGCGATCAGGTGTCAGCCGCCAGGCTCTTGCGCGCTGTAGTAGGTGTAAAGAGACTGGCCATAATGCGCGTACGTGTAAGAAAGATACTCTAGGTACTACTTAATTAATTATATTAATATATAGCAAAATAATTATATTATGGTGGAGCTATACGCCTACAGAGGTGCGCAAAGTTGGTGGGGTGGCTCACTCGCTTGTATGGCTCACTCGCTTGTAAACTACGTTAGCAACGCGATACGGACTTGCCCCTGTTAGTATATCTTACTCTATTACCTTACACAGAGAAAATCCTTTTATTTAAACTTACTATTATTTATGAATAGTAGGTATAGCCTATTGAGTGTTTTTATTTAAAACCTCAAAGTCTTTTCCTTTGGCTTGGAGTACGCGCCCAGACATTGCGCCGTAACCTCGCGGGCAGGTGAGATGGCGTAGTGTTTCATAGGCAACCACTACACTTGGCACTTAGTCATAGGTTACACTAGATATAATATTGATATATAGAGATTATCAAAACCTTAATGCCTAAAGGAAACTCGTTCGGGCTTTCGGCATTTTGTTGTCAGTCGCAACAAAAGATAGTCAATATACTTACCTCCCGGGCGAGTCGCCTACTTTTGCCAACTCCCTTGTCACAACAATGTCTCCTACACATATAGTTGGCATCTAGTGAGCTTCTACATGGCTCACTAAAACTACGCTCAGACCTGGTAGGATAACATGCGCATCACTGACAGTGCTTACTTGAATAATTGTACTTTTTCTCAATCTGCAGTGAATTCAAACAAAGGGATTCTCTTCGTTCGTATCATACAGTGAGTGTCTAATATGTATTTGAATAAGTTTCTTGTAACAAACATCTCAATCTACTAAGCAGCATGCTTCACATCGCTAACAACATCGATATGCTGGACCCGTCCCTCGAACTCGCTGGACTTCTCCTGAGATTTGTACTCTGACGTCGATTCAAATACTGAGAAGATGAGTTAGTTGGTCAGAGTCAAGGTTATTAGGGAAATGGGTAGTAAAACTTACGCTCGACCTGCGTATGGCGGAACCTGCGGGCAGGTGTCTTCTTTGCGAAAAGGTAATCGATCTCGGCAAAGTTTCGATCCTTGGTCTCAGGAAGGAAGAAGAAGATCCAGATTACCCAGAGGAGACAAAATCCGAAATAGAACATGCCAGTTTTTGCACCCCAGTTCCATGCGGTAGGGTCATCGTTGAGCATGCGGGGGTTGAGTTGCTGTACGACAACCTGGCCACAGACGTAGAGGGAACGACCAATGACGATAGTCTGGGCGCGAACGCGAGACGAAGGTATCTCGCCAGCTATAACGTAGGTAGTCGGGCCGAGAGAGATCTTGAAAGCAATCTGGACAAAGATGAGAAAGACGGCAACGGGAATGGCAACGTCCGAGGCTGATTTGATGGCAAATCCGAGGATACCAACGATAAGCATGAAGAAGCCTATGGAGGCTGAGCCGTAAAGGTAGAAAGTGCGGCGGCCAACTGAACCCATAAGGGCAATGGCGATTCCGGTGGCGAAAATATTAACTGACTGAATACCCATGGTATAGCTGAAAGCATTGGAAGGGCTCATACCAATGGCACGGAGCATCGTTGCGGCAAAGTTGGTTATGGACTGGCCGTTGAAGATCTGAATAATCCAGGCCATGCTGACAATTGCCGTGCGTCGCATGTTCTCACCGCGAAAGCAGTCAGCATAGCTAGCATTCTGGGCATCTACCTTCTCCATTTCATTGGTATGTTGCATGAGGGCCAAGGTCTCGCGCATTGACTGCTCAGTGTAGTGCCCTGGGCGTGCTAAGCGGCGCAGGCTCTTCTCAGCCTCATCAATCTTGCCACGGCGGATGAGATACCAGGGCGACTCGGGGGCGAACCAGGCAACAAGAAACAGAGGGGGGATCCACATCCACTGAAGACCGTAGGGGATCTGCCAGCCAGCGTTGGTCTTAATGTTGATAGTGCCCTTGAGCACTCCAGCGGCTAGAAAGGAGCCAGCACCCCAGCACATAGACACCCACGCGGTCAGGTAGCCACGCATTGCGGTTGGGCTGATCTCGGCGGCATAGGCGGTGGTAAGGGTCTGGAAGATACCCCACGGAATACCGCACATGATGTTACCGACGAGAAGCATTTTGACATTCTGCGAGAAAAAAAGAATGAATATGGTACCTGCCATGAGTACCATCGCGCCCTAAGCGAGCGTGTAAGCAGCGTGTTCCCAGATTGTGTTGTCACAGAGTGACTCACTAAGTATACCCTACGAGAACCGTAGCGAGATTGGAGCCAACCGTTGATCAGGAGACCGACAATGGAGCCAATGTTGTTACCAGCACCAATAATAGTCTGCCATTGGGTTGAGACAACCAATTCACCCTTCACGTTGTAATCGTTGCCGAACCTCCGACGGTAGGCTGGATGGGCGAAAAAGTTGTTGATAAGACCGACATCCATGCCCTCCATGACAAGAGCTAGAGATAAAAGCGCAGAGTAGATTATGGCAGGTCGATAGCGCTTGAAGAGCTCCATACGTGGCAGCTTAATCTCAGCTTCAGAGCTGGCCACGGCGGCCTCGACGAGCTGCTGCTTCGTTGATGGGTCGCCGTCCCCGGCTGAGTTTTGCCGTGGCACCACCGCCGCCGTCTGAGCAGAGACCTGCGACATAGCCATTGTAATAATGGTCGGAGGAGATAAAGGATCGTCGGCTAACGACCTTCACCAGTTAATGTTGGTAAGGAAGAGAGTGGGCAAGGGAAAGTTGAGATGTGCAACGGGTGGGAGGGACATTTGTACATTATCCCTTCAGCCACCACAAGACTAAACTTCCATGAATCAATCGAGCAGATATGGCCACATGATTACGCCCAGCCGGAGTTTTTGCCGTCTTGGGGCCGTACCGCTAGGCCAGAACTGCGGGGATGAAATCCGGGGGGATGAGGTAGGGGTAGCAGTTGGGTGGGGAAGCAAGGAAACTCTCGCCGCCGAGACATCTCGGCCGGTTTTACCGCGAACCAGCCACCCGGTTGAAGGAATAACTGCGACTGCGAAATCATTTGCACCTCGTCTCGATAACATCGTGTCCATTTTATTCTAAGCTGTATCTCAAAGAGTTATTTTATCCTATTAGTTGTCACGAAAAAATTCCGAGTTTCTCTTATCAGGCGTTCTTACGTCGTTGTGGATTTCAGGCCTGTAAGATAAGAATTTTTTTCAAAGTTCTTGGTAACCGGTACAGTAGTAGCGAATTTAGTGCGCTCTAGGCCATTTTCGCAGTCCAGGTTATTTTTTCCAGCAGGTTGTTAGTGTAGGGTATTAATGCTGGAGCGGAGCTTTATACTCCTTCAGGACCGTGCACGTGAGCAGGCAAGCAGCCCATTAGGAAGCAGAGTCTTGCGACCCCAGAACAATCGCCCTTATCACCAATACTAAAGACCTTACTTTGTTGTGCGGAAGATTCATCCTGACCTCACAGTCGCCTTTTATGCACCAGACTCTGTGCGGTCTCAATATATTTCAAAGGCGCTTCCGAGCTCCCTATATTTAGCAGTGAACTAATGCACCATGCACCAGGCTGATTTCGTGGCGCACAAACCAGCTCCCGGCGCGATATCGCTGGTCGATGCACCCATTATTATTGACCACGAAGACTTCGAAGGCATCCGTATCGCAGCCACAACGCTCGCTCAAGACATTGCGAGGGTGACTGGTGAGGAAGCGCCTACCATCACCTCAGAGCAGAGTCCGTCGCCATGCGTCATCATCGTTGGCAGCGTCCAGAGGTCCAAATACATCCATCAATTAGCCTTGAGTGGGAGCATCGATATCAATATTGTTCAAACCAAATGGGAGACTTGGTGTACGGCACTTGTACATACGCCATGGGATGGATGCGCGAATGCTCTCGTGATCTGCGGGAGTGACAAGCGAGGCACCATTTTCGGTATCTATGCGTTGTCTGAGCAGATCGGTGTTTCGCCGTAAGTGAGATGAGTTACTTGACATGCGCAGTCATTGCTGAGGGCCTTTAGTTGGTATTGGTGGGCAGATGTACCAGTGGAGAAAAGCTTGTCTCTCTACGCACTAGACGTCAGAACCGTGCAAGGACCGCCGTCAGTCAAGTACCGTGGTATCTTCATAAACGATGAGGCGCCGGCACTATCAGCATGGGTACACGAGAAGTATGGGCCAAAGTACAATTCTGAGTTCTACAAGCACGTCTTTGAACTGCTGCTCCGGTTAAAAGCGAACTTCCTATGGCCGGCGATGTGGTTCGGTTACCCGCATCCAGGAAATTCTTTCTTCATGGACGATCCTCTAAATCAGGAGCTTGCTGACAAATATGGAATCGTGGTGTCTACATCGCATCATGAACCAATGCAGCGTGCGATGAATGAGTGGTTCGATGTGCCGTACAATGAACCAGAACAGAGCTGGAATTGGACAAAGAACAAAGAGAAGATCGCCAAGTATTTTGTCGAAGGGGCGCAACGAGCATCTACTTTTGAGAGCGTGATCACGATCGGCATGCGAGGTGATGGCGACCGAGAGATGGGAGTTGAGAACCCACAAGAAGTATTGAAAGAAGTCTTATCGACGCAAAGGAACATCATCGGCGATGTGTACGGTAGAGAAGACGCAGTACCTCAAGTGATGGCACTGTATAAGGAAGTGCAGGAGTATTATGAGAATGGACTCGAAATCCCGGAAGATGTGACACTCCTCTTTGCCGACGATAATTTCGGCACAATTCGAAGGCTTCCAACCGAAGCAGAGAGAATGCGAAGAGGCGGTGCAGGGGTGTACTATCACCTCGAGTACGTTGGAGAGCCGCGAAGTTACAAATGGCTGAACAGCAATTCTCTTGCCAAGGTTTGGCACCAACTCGACCAAGCACATCGCCATGGTGCAGACCAGATTTGGATTTTCAACGTTGGTGACATAAAGCCCCTTGAAGTACCACTGAGCTTTGTCATGTCAGTGGGGTGGGATGCGCACGCTATGGCTTTGGGTGACCTTCCAACCTTCCTCGAATCGTTCACTTCTCGTACTTTTGGCAGCGATCTAGCGGTGCCCACTGCAAAATTATTAATTAAGTACGACAAGCTGATTGCTCTGCGAAAACACGAACATGTTGAACCAAAGACGTTTTCGCTCATTAACTATTCCGAGGCAAACAAAATCCTGTCCAGCTGGGAGGCGCTTGTCAATGACGCGGAAACTCTATCTACCCGATTACATACAGCTACTAGGCCTTCTTTCTTCCAACTCATTTTACACCCTATTAAAGCATCATATACCTATATGGCACTCCAAATCTATCGCACAAAAAACGCACTTTACGCAAAACAACGTCGCAATTCAGCCAACCATTTCTTCAATCAATCAATTTCCCTCTTCAAAGACGACTTCCGGCTGTCTCAGGAATATCACACGATGCTCAATGGGAAGTGGAACCACATCATGCGACAGCCTCACCTCGGATACCGCGAGACTTGGCATGCGCCTTCACGGGACATGATAAGTGGGCTGTGTCTCGTACAAGCCAGTCAAGAATCGAACCCCATCGTCGGAAACATAGGTATTGCTGTCGAAGGTACTGAGGGTGTAAGACCTGGGTTGTGCAACGAAGAGAGCGACCGCACACATCCTTCGCGAAGAGACCTCGTATCTGGTGTTACGTTACCGGCAATGGACCCATATGGTCCGAAGTCCAGGGCTTTCGAGTTGTATTTGCGTGGTCCGAAGAGACTCACTTGGCAGGTTGAAAGTCCGGTAGATTGGATGCCGATGAACGCTCGTGGGATCCTGGACCCCACATTCGAAGGGCAAGATCCGTTAATCCAGGTGACGGTGAACTGGAAACTTGTACCAAAGGATTTCAACGATGAGGTCTTGTTGGTTCTACGCAGCGATCTTGGGGATTACGAACATATTCACATTCCAGTGAAGCACCGTAGCATACTGCCTCGGTTCGTTGGACATGTCGAGGCTGATCAAGTCATCTCCATTCCAGCTACTGATTTCGCAAACAAGGACGCGATTTGTTGTTGGAGGCACCCATACCTTGGCCGGGAAGCGAGCGGGGCGGTAAGCTTTCGCATGCAACCTAATTCGGGCTTGCAGAGCTGTGAGCTACTGTACCCTTTCTACACATTCACGTCAACCACTAAGGCGTCCTTACACTTATACTTTACGTTGACGCTTGATGTAAACCCAACATCACCAGCTCTGTATGGCCTCTCGCTTGACGGTAAAGACACTGAGATGCACAAGCTTGTACAACAATCTCAGAAGGCGGGGGAGCTACCACCCGGATGGTTGGAATCGGTCATGGATTGTGTTTGGATCAGAAAACACCAGGTAGATCTTGGCGATGCTGGTGCACACACCTTAAAGATTTTGCTCCAGGATGAGAATATGGCACTAGAAAAGATCGTTGTTGATTTAGGAGGTGTGCGGGAAAGCTACTTAGGGCCACCTGCAAGCTTCTATGCGACAGGTTAACTCCAATCATACTTCTTCACAGCCTTGTCAACAAAGAAGCTGGCTTGCAAGTTGAGTTAAGTCAAGCAGTATAAGCATGGAAATCCAGGAACACAAAGGCCCTATTATGACACGACTTTGCCGACGCCTCTTGAACATCGTAGTACCCAAAAGGAGAATAGCTTCAAGATCATAGGATATGTGTGGGCTGGCAATGAGATAGCGGCACATTGCCAAGAGAAGTGATTTGAGATACATCAGTAGTTAATCATGTGCCTTTTGAAATCTCCAATAGAACGTGGTGATTACGACAAAATGTATCATTCATATCAAAATTCAATAAAATTTTATTATTTGCGAAATATGTAGTTATCAAATGAAGGAGAGTTTCGATGAACGATATAGAGAGAAATGACATGATTGGATAAGTGTCTCAGTCCTTGCAAGATTATCTTCGGCTAGCCTTGCTGCGCTATGTTAAGAGTTGTCTCGCAGCACCCCCCACTTCGACCCTTACTTCAACAGAGTATAGCACTGTCGTCTTGCCGTTTTACGCTTGTGCACGTAATACGTTAGTATGCCACAAAGAGCTTCGTTGTTTTCTCTACATCATTACTAACCCTGATGGGTAGGACTGGTAATCTTACCAAATGAGCGTGTCGCTATGCTAGCCTTCTTCGCTAGGCTGTCGCGTTTGAACCCGCCAACTCCCATCCTTGCCCCTCTCACCTGTCCAGCGCATACACAACCATGCGACTATTGCGACGCAGCGATACTGGCGATATCACTCTTACTCAGTTTTCGGATAAGGACATTCCTCATTATGCAATACTTTCGCACACGTGGGGACCAGATGCTGAGGAGGTCACTTTTGGAGACCTGGTAAATGGCACTGGGAGGGATAAGTCGGGCTATAAGAAGATCCTTTTTTGTGGGGAACAAGCCGCACAGGATGGCCTGGAATACTTCTGGCTCGACACATGTTGTATCGACAAATCAAGCAGCGCAGAACTCACCGAGGCCATCAATTCGATGTTTAAATGGTATCGAGCCTCTGATATTTGTTACGCATTCCTCAGCGATTTGGAGCACGGAAAACAATCGCTCTGGGATTGTAAATGGTTCAGACGCGGTTGGACGCTCCAGGAGCTGATTGCGCCATCCATCGTTCGATTCTATGACGCGGAGTGGAATTTTCGAGGCGATAAGCTCACTCTACGTTCAGAACTGGCGTCCATTACTCAAGTTGATCCAGACGTTTTGACCAATGCTGTATCTCTCGCAGAGGTGCCGGTAGCTGTGCGAATATCATGGGCCGCTAGGAGGGAGACAAAGAGAGAAGAAGACCGCGCATACAGTTTGCTTGGGATACTTGGAATCAATATGCCTATGCTCTACGGAGAGGGAGAGAATTCGTTTATCCGACTGCAAAAAGAAATCATTAGAAACAGTCCTGATATGTCCATTTTCGGATGGACTCGAACGAACACGATAGCCCAGGGTGGCCAATATAGTGGTCTGCTTGCCTCATCACCAGCTGACTTCGAAGACAGTAGATCCTTGGTAGTCGCGCAGGATACTGTCTTCGATATTTGTGAATTCTCAATCACTAATAGAGGACTGAAGTTCGAAGTCCCACTATCAATGGATCCGAGCACAGGCTGCCACATTCTTCCTATCAATCATAAACGAAATTCACCCAACACGGGAGGTCATTCTCTTGGAGTATTTCTGCGACAAGTTGGACCTAGTCTATATGTACGGGCCCTTCCACATCTCGTAGGGTCGATTCGGCGTCGTAGATCTATCAAATCTTTTCAAGTTGCTACGACACTTTCACTGAAGGAAGCCACTGCTATCCGGGAGCGAGTTCTTTCCATTACCAGGCCAATACATCTGAACCATCCGGACATTGGGCTTTCCGAGATTGAGCCTGTTGGTTGTTGGGACCCGTTTCGAAGAATGTTGTTTGCAGGACATACAGGCGTGTTTCTGGGCTTCCTCCATTTTATGCCTGAGTGGGCTGACGAGTTTGATTCTTTTGTCCTTGTGTGCCGTTTTGATTGGACAAGAGACCCATCTTGGCGATTTGACTTAGTACGTGGCGATGACTGGCTGGACATTCGGCCGAGATATCACAATCTATACGAATACAACTATAGCGCATTCATGATGTATCGGCCAATGCTAAGTTTGGATCTTCCGCATCTGTATGATGAATCAAGAAGAAAGCAAGTAGTAGTATATCTGGCCTCAGATGAGCTCCCTACAAAGGGATGCGCTTCTCTCAGCTTGGAAGTCAAAGATTTGGAGATAGCAGCTGAATAATACCCTAGCGGGTTTATCCTCTCTGTACCACTTCTCTGTATGGATCAATTCGTATTTAAAGGTGCATTTAGACTTTCTTTTGTTCGTTCATTATAGCATTGCTCGTCCCCAGTCTATATTTGACCAGAGTAGCTCTACCATGGCTCTTTCATTGCAAGATAGATAGTTTTCTGTTCGAAACCTTTGAGACGGCGAACATCAACATGATACACCTCTCCACTCGCATATCCCTTCAAGTGTGGTGCATTTGCAAGCTTTTCTTGGCTGACTGAAACCACTCGAGTGCACACTGCATACGTTGCATACGTTGTCCAATTCGATTCCTGAGTACAATACGTCCAACAAATGAGATCAGGACCAAAGTTTTTAACAAACAGGCTCATCCTTAGTCCATGTGTGGTTATCTCTGGACGTTGTAAAACGTTTATGCTAGACGGTAGATGGCTTGCGAGATGCTCTGTGGACGCAAGGTCTAATAGAGAATGTCGCTCGACGCTGAGCCATTCCAGCTTTTCTGAGGTGTCCTTTATTCTTTCCACTGATAAGGTTGGGGGTGGAGCTAGTAGGTCCCAGACTGCACTCTGCTGATCATTGTCGGTATCCGAGGGCCTTGTGCAAAGCAGAATCGTGTAGTCCTCGATTCTCCTAAAAATCTCATCCCAAAAGCGAAGACAGGCGTTCCAGCTGCCTTCTCCATACATCATCGTCATTTTGATGCCGAAAATGCCTAGAAGAGAGTATACCTGGTCTTCTTCCAGTGTTGCTCCGCGGTTTGCTGCCCACAACAACCGCTCTCTTACACTGAAATGAGCCAAAGGTCTTCCTTCAAGGGCTTGGGTAGCAATTCCAGTTATCTCATGGAGAGTTTGCCGAAGTGTGTTCTTATCGCCAAGCTTTTGGCCTTCACAGGAGAAGAACTCGGCCGAACGCGGGGCAAGAAGCTCCTGAAGGGTCCAACTCCGGGCGAACCATTTGCTTTTCCTAAAAGCTGACTGCCACCTGCAATCAGATTTTTTGCTAGTTTCTTCCCAGTCCGGTGTGGAGATATCAGATAGATAGATGTAGCATTTTGCTGCATTCCGATAACAGTAAAACAAAGAGTTGATAGCATCTTCAAGTGCGACCGAATTAGACCTGTCAATGCAACAGGAGTCCACCCAGAAGTATTCCAGACCGTCCAGCGCAGCCTGTTGAGCGCAGAATAGAAGCTTCTTATACCCTTTCTTGTCTCTTCCACCATTAGGTGAATCTTTCAAATCGGCAAGCGTCACCTCCTCCCCTTGCCAGGTGTGCGAGAGGATCGCATAAGGGGGGATATTTCCCCCTACTAAATCGTCAGTCCATCCAAATCCCCTGTCAATCTCAGTAAATAGCAGCAGCATTAGGCTGTGTGTGCATCTATATGCGCGAGCGGCAGAGGTAAGTGTTGGAGCTTCGATGCAGGCTGAGGAAATTGATGGCGGCTCGGGGTTCACCCACGCAGGGCAAAGAGATGGTAGCTCTTAGATCTATTGCTAACGCTAGGTGATGGTTTCCTAAATCAGAGGTGAGGAGGAGTGGTATCCAGAGGCTTTGTAGTGTAGCAATCCGAACGTTGGGGCGGGAGGCGCAGCTCGCCTGCGCAGTAGCGTACGTAAGGCTGGCATTGCATAGCCTTGTGGCAGCCACCATACTATGGATCAAGAAGCGATCCTTACATCAGAAATTCAACTTGTACACTGTTTTTACTACAGGAGTATCAAGATGTCTATTGGGTGGTATTAATCCGTGCACAGATAGATACCTTGGCCTCAAGGACTGTGCCGCTAGTTCGTAGTAGGTGGAACCCCACACTAGTTTCTTAGCGACCTGTTCTGACACACACTGATCCAGAAACCCAGCAACCCGGAAAACCCCTGACAGCCCAAACCTACCCATCACTATCTCCGCGCTCTCAATTCCCAAGACTTAACCGACATAAGTACTTAAGCGCAATGGTGTATAAAAATCCGAAATGTTCTCTAATGTATGCTTTTCATTGGCTGCCCAAGCCTTATCTCTTGTCCGCCCCGCCGTGCTCCACGTGCCGGATGCGATAAGAAGATGGGACGGGTGGGTATGGTAGGAAAGCAAAGCCGGACAATTCCAAGCCTTGGTACGGTGGGGGATGCAGATTGCAGATAGTGAATTTGGAATGAAGAATGTTTGCGTTGGGCATGATGCTGATAGTCACGAGTAAGCGTGGCAGTATATAATATGGGGGGGGGGGTGCTAATGTAGATATGAAGGTATTTGTGTTACAGTTCCTATCTTGTACAGTGTGGGAACAATGGGTACAATAAAAGCCCTGGCCGCAGTTTCGTTGGTTGCAGCGAATGTCAAGGCTGCTTTGTCTTCTACGGGCTTCACAATATCCATGTCAGACATTGACTATTTCCTTCCCCCAAGGCCGGTGGCCAAGATATTTAGATGCAAGGAAACCCAGACGCTTTTCGACGATGCACCATTTGTGCCGTTTACGGTAGTGAAGGGCGATGACTCGGTGATGGATGTCGCATCGCTGACGATTGGTTATGCCGACGACGATGTGTGGCAGGAAGGTTTCATGCAAGGTACTTACTTCATAGAACATTTGCAGCTTTGCAAGTAACCCATCATTCAGCAATCCATGTGTAGGTTAGCAGTGTGAGATTTACAAACTCATCTATCCCTATTCTATCTGACAACTCCTCATCTCAATTGCCTGTCGGACCCTACTTCATCAATGCCGCTGGTCATGTTTTCGAGGCTTGGAGGCTGTTTTTGGACGTGCAGGATGCATTTACAGTCAGCAATTGGAAATGGAGACGGTTCATATTCAGTGCTGCCTGCTGGCACAGTTGGCCAACGCCAAGCGATCGCAGTGCTTTCTCGTCTGTACTTTACCAAGACCGCTGAAAAGCCACTGGCGGGTGTACGAGTCGGTATCAAAGACATTTAAGGTACGTTGAGATGACCAAGTGGCTATCGCATCTTACTGACTTTGCCCAGATATCAGAGGTCTTCGCACTTCAAACGGCGATCAAGCGTGGTACTGGCTATATCACCCAGCCAAGGCCACAGCACCACCTGTGCAGAACTTGATTGATGCTGGAGCCGTTATTGTCGGCAAGATGATCACCTCTCGATTCGCCAATGGAGAGACTGCGACTGCTGACTGAGTAGACTACCATGCGTCGTTCAATCCTCGTGGAGATGGCTATCAAGACACATCATCCAGCTCCACTGGCGGTGGTGCTGGTACCGCATCGTACTCATGGTTGGATGTCAGTCTGGGCTCTGAAACTGGTGGAAGTGTGCACGGCCCAGTCCAAGTTCAAGGGTTGTATGGCAACCGACCGTCACACAGCCTCGTCTCTTTGGATCATACGATGCCGCTCAACTCTGTACTTGACACACTCGGTTTACTTGCTCGCAACCCCCCTATCTGGATGGAAGCTGCCAAAGTCATGTATGGTCCCAACATCACCATAACTAGTAGCTATCCCAAGAGTATCCAGACGATTTGCTGGCCTACGGAGGTAGAAGACGAGGCTGACCAGCTGCTTATTGACTTCTTGGGCAATGTAACCAATTTTTTGAGTGTGAATCCAATGGCATACAATCTAACGGCAGAATTTGATGCTGCCAACCCAGATGTTGCACTTCGCGTCCCGCTGGGTTTCAGCAGCGGCCGGATTTCAGTCATGTCGGAAGTACCCGACTATGTTTTGCCGCTGGGCGAGACGCCATACAATTCTTTGATTACCGGCCATGTAGAGTACCTCCCTGTCACGGCCAACCTGCTGGTGGCAAAGGGATGCGACGACATGCTGTTTTCACTCATCTCGGAGCTTTACGATGCGGGCATACTGAAGGAGAGCAAGGTCGGACAGAGTGGAGTGACTGGTGGGGAGATTCTGTACCGGAGGGGGATGCCAGTATGTTGATAGTTGGTTCCTAATACACTATAGTTTCCGTGAATACCTTTGAGACAACTGGTGTTGTGGTTAGCCAATGGGAGGGTTCGGATGTGGGGTGGAAGAAGAATAGGGTTGCTCAGCGGAGTTCCGTGTAGGTACCCAAGCCATTGGCCAATCACAGCGCAGACAATGAGCTCCTTCAATCCGGATGGCGCCCACTGGCCAATGCGAGTACAGACGCTGTTCCGCGCCTCTTCTTTGTGTGACGTCCGGACTTGGTGATGGTGACGACACAGCAAAATCACGAGTGAATGGTGATGGGATGGCCTCGCTGTTGCAATGAGGGGACACTACGCACTCGATTCGGCTCTCCGCTGTGCTTTGCGGAAACAGACCGCCTGTTTGCAGCTTAGAAACTTCACGCCCACGGTCCGAGTAAGCTCAGCACATTGCTTTCTGCACCTCTAGCTTATCGATTGTCCCGTATAAGTAAAGACGCGCACCCTCGGATCACCTCTCACTGGAAACCACCTGCATCGACATCTCTCCTACACGACACTCGGCTTGCTTGTTAGAATCCCTAAACATGTCTCTTCCAGCCCACCCAGCATTCGTCCACTTTCCCATCACCACGACCCTCTTGACCGGTGGTCTGGATGCTTTTTACTTCTTCTACAAGTATCCAGCCACGTCTTCTACTGTGGCCTCCATTTGCAAGTAGCTTCAATCCCAGCCAGAGAACACTATGTATTAACAATTGCTCCTCAGACAAGACTCTTGACATCAAACTCGCCCCCCAGCTGTTTCCCTTCTTCAGCTACTACCTCACCATCCTCACCATTGCCTTCTCCGTCCCTGCCGTCATGACCGGAGCCTCTCAATTGATGCCGCTGATCAAGCGCGACGGCCTCAACTCCCGCAAGGCCAAGATCGCCATAGCCCATGCTGCTATCAACGACGTTACCGTTGTCGCTGCGGCCCTCAACTGGTGGACACGCCGAAGCCGCCCCATGTTCGAGCCCACCAGCACAAACATCCTCGCCAGCTGTGTGTTGGCGCTTCCGGCCACTCTTTTTGCTGCCCATCTGGGTGGAAAGCTGGTCTACAACTACGGCATGGGCTTTACCGGTGCTCAGGCCAAGGCGAAGAAGTCACAATAGAAATAAAAACATATTTTTAGGAAGCGACAATGGATGTTGGAAATGGTTGAAGAGACGAGGCTCAGCATGCTGAATTGCTAGACACGTGCAGCTTGAGAAGCTGCTTTGATGAACAGATGAACATAGGACTAGCAGTTGAGTATACACCGAAAATTACATTATATGAGCAAATACTACAGCTCAAATTCCAATACATCATACTGCCCACTTCCTTGTGCACAACAATGCGTCCTTCCCCCTTGCAGCGTCTGTTCCAATAGGCGACTCATCTGTACTTGACTCAAAATCTGGCACCGCTGCAATTCAAGCAAGTCGCTCAGATGGCAGTGAAAGCACAGTGTCGTCTCGCTCAAGAACGACTGTTTCCGAATAGCATCGTTGCCACTGCGCGCTACAGCCGGCGTCCGCAGCTCAGGTAAAAGTATAATCGCAAACCCCGAAATCAGCCACTTACCGCCCGCACTCAGACGCAAGATAAACGCATTATTCGCATCGGTAACGCCCGAAAAAGTGCAGATGCGATCTCCAGATCGCACCTCATACGATCCGGGACCACCGCCACATGCAAGGCCAATAATGCCATTCGTACCCACAAACGACGTGTACCGCTCGTGCCGCTGATCCGTATCCCGTCGGCTCAGCCGATGGCTTCTGGCTTCCAAATACAGGCCTGCGGCATCGTTCGTCATGCTCCGCTTGATAATGTCGCGCATAACTATACTCCCATCACCAGTCTCCGCCTCCCCCCACGGCTGCGCATCCCGCGCCGCAGTCGCGCGTATAAGCCCCGTGATAATCAGATCCGTCGACTCTTCAATAATGGACTGGCGCACCTTTTGCGACGGCCCAGGGTTCCCGTACGGCACGTAGGGATCCGCAAAGCTGAGTTGGATGTCGGTCTCGTTTTTCGTGACGAGATCGCCTAGATCGAGGATGTCTTGGCTTAAGAGCGATTTCGGATGCATGTTTGAGCGCGTCCAGCCTGAGCTCCAGGTTTTTGGGAGAAAGGCTTCGTCATGGTCGACGAAATCGCCGACTTCAGTTATGGTGCTGATGAAGGATATCGAGGCCGTCATGCAGGGTGTAGCCGTTAAGACGTAGACGTGGGGTTGGACTTGAGGGCACAGTTGTAGTACGTGTTGGGCGAGTTTTTCGGGTGAGACGTTGAGGGCTTGGGTGAGGAAGGCGAGGAATTTGTAGTCGTCTTTGTCGCCGCCTCGGTGGTCACTGTTGCATTGATTGCGGAGGACGTCGACGAGGAGCTCCACTGCTGACTTGCTGTAGTCGGGTAGAATCTGTTCTCCACGCCCCTTTGATGCTACGCCTAGGAACCCGTAAACACGGTCATGTTCCACTGTGCTCTGGGATGAAGCAAATGCTTGCAAAAGGTCACGCAGCCGGAATGTAGCCTTCAACGTCCTGCTATTTCGCCGACCCATGACCTCTCTCCTATACTGCTTCGAGTGCTTGAAATCCCGCCGATACTTGAACAACAAGTACCCGCGACTCGCATAGATTTGCCTTGCAGCAGATACAATCGGTTTAGATGTCAATCCGTCTTTCCAGATATTTTCCACGACTGAGGCGTCGACACTGTAGTCGCCACACCATATGTCGACGCGCTGAGCGAGCACAAACTCCTGAACTACCCATACACGGCCCCAGTACGGTTTGTCGAGTACGGTTGCCAGTGCGTGATGGAATTCCTCGACCCGCAGCAGATATGGATGCCGCGCGAGCATAAAGGCTAGCTCTTCCGTTCCCGTAGCGAGGCCGAGCCATACAATGACGGATTCCGCACCAGTGTATATATCGCGCATGAGAGAAACTTGGTGGTTACGTTCTGTCATGTTGCTCTGGTCAATGACAATAGCGTCAATCCACAATGACATGGGTTTGATTGGATCCTTTTCAGAGCTTTGTCGCAGGTGCTCCTTTTTGCGGTACTGTCTAAGAAAATTCCACAAGCCTTCTCCGACTGTGAACTTTGATCCCTGGATTTCAATGTTCTTTCTTTGACCGCCCTTGTCCCACGTGTATGACAGTGCAATAAACGCGGGCTTCTCGTCAAGGTCGCATGTTGATAGTTTTGCTTGGATTGGCTCATACTCTGGTGCAGGTATTATTTCCAGGAGTCTGATAGTTTTCTTGTTTGGGTCCAAGGGGCCATATTGCAACGCGGGTAGCGCATCTAGAGGGTCTTCGAGATTGGGTAAGGAAGTTGCTGTGGGTATGACGGTTACACTGGATTTGCGTTTTGACATGGAAATCCGAAACGGGTCCACAAATGTTTTTCTGAGCAGACTCTGCTTCGGACCCTCGGGTGCATCCATAGCCGTATGTATGTTTTTATGAGCAACTACGGGAGATGCGATGGCCTGACGATTTCTTGGCGGCACGGCTGAGGCAAGAGATATCGGGTGGCAAATCCTATCAGATCATTGTTGTATCTTACTCTGAGGTTGGTGATGTCTTTACCTGGCCTCGAGTACGAGAATATCTTGATGGCGACACGTATTCTGCGACACGACTAATGGGAAATCCTAGTCCATGCAGTTGGCATGACGATATTGTTGGGCTCGGTAACAGCGCTAAGTAGTTGTGGGCGGAAGCCGTCACGCGCTTGGTGAGTGTGTGAATCTGCTACTATGACCAGAGCAATACCGCTCGTTTCATGGCTCCTGATGCTAAGCCTTGTGTCCCAAGTGGACACGCAAGGAGTTTACTGCACCGAAACACAATGCAATGTCGCGCTGGCATGAGGTCATTGAGGAATCTTTTGGCCCCCACGATCAGTCACGTGATCATATCCAGATCCTTCGAAGAGGCGGCGATCACAGTACGAGCTCCAGACCTGAGGTAGTGTAGCGAAACGAAATTGCCCGTATTCTGAACTTAACTATTTTACGTGTATGTTATTTTTCTAAAGCAATGTAGTGGGCTTGCATAGCACTTATTGCACATGCAACTGCCTTTTCAATCATTAGCCCATTTCATGGCAAAGTATTTATAGCTTTCTGCCCCTTTCCCTTTAATATTGGTATTCGTACTCGACCAAATCCGATATGGTGGCTGAAAACCAAATGATATTGCCAATCTTGAGTGGCCTCTTAGTTTTTGGAGTACACGCATTCTGAGTGCGTTCGTGGAAAGAACCTGTTCGTGTTGACATTGTAGGCTCTCATACTCTAAATGCATATGGATTGGTGGCGTTATCATATTTAATAAAGTTGTACTGAGTATTGGTTGCCTAATGTACAAAAAACCAATCACTATGAGGGTGCATCGGAAATACAATTTATCGTATTATTCCGAGTGCAGCCAGGCTTTGCGTAACCTGAACGAGCCGAAAACGCAACACTCCAAGAATCCCAATACATCTTATGCAAGGGATATAGTTTTCTTCACGCCTTATTTTAATCTGCAAACACTAGCTCGGGGCCCATACGTAGAGTGTTATTTTAGTGCAGTCACTAGAGCAATGGCCACCCATAGATCGACCTTTGACTACACCTGTCTTCATATAAGTATGTTAAAGTTCGTTCTTCCTCCTCAACTATCCCATCAATACCTTCTACATGAGCTCTAAGTCTCAATACCGAATGTGCCCGCGTTTAGCCTAATCTCAATGGGCGCCTTACCCGCGCACCGCGCTGATCCTGCATGTCAGCCTCATAACCCCACTTCTATGCAATCAATATTTCAGCATCACATCATCGAGGTTCGCCTAGTTTCATCCTGTGAAAAGCGTGCCCGAATACTAATTATTTCCTCTATGCTTGCTATCTGAAATGAATAGAATTCACTTTGTGCAAGATGTCTGATCACTTATTTCTTTTCTAGACGTATATTGCTGTTACACCTCCTGGTTGCACCATGGTTCATGATTACATACAGATACGAGTTCATATATTTTCACATCCTAAAAGAGTAGTCTGAAATCCTTCTGTACACAGCCCTGGCTGGATTGTCAGCTGTCATATGTAGGTTGATTCGGAAATGAATATTTATACTGCTCTTGTTGCCAATTTTTTCCTAATGATTCTTAATCCTCCCACACTGGTAAACATTCATTCTACTATAACCGCTTGCAAGCCAACATGCGTGGCTTTATTTCTTCGTTTCTCGTAACTGTAATAGTTGCGGCTGTGACAGTGCATGCCCAAGTCAAGTCTTACATTCCGACTGAAGCAGAGTACCGCACAGAATGCAAAACATGCCCACGCTCGCTTTGTCCCAATAAGCTTTACTACAGCGGTGGAGATGGTCTCAATGCAACATGTTGGACACATGGAACAAAGATCATGGGAGACAACCTATGGCTCAAGACTGAGGCTGGCTGCTACATAACCCAGTACGATGTGCTAGAGTATGCTGGAGACTGTAAGTATAATTGAAGTTAGACTTAAGGAAAACAACTAATGGTCTCTGGCTAGACACAACTGATCTTAAATACTGCGGCCCCGCATCTGAGGTTCAGAAGCTTACCCTTCAAGATGCAAAACTGAAATACAAGACTGAGTGCAGAATCTGTCCTGAGCTGAGCTGCGACGTCGTATCATATCTAAACGAAAATACCGAGCTGGACCTAACTTGCTGGTATCCAGATGGACAACTCATCATCGATGATCCGTGAGTGATTCTTCTTTGGCCAGCACATGCACGGCACGAAAGCCCAGCTGACATGAACGCGCGCACAGGTTCTGGCTCAAAACAACAAACAACTGCTACGTCGCAAGGAAAAACCTATACTCGAAACCCGACCTAGCTAAACTAGATGATTGCGGACCCGTCCCGTTTCTCGAGATTTTACATCACAACAACGAAAACGGAACAAGTGATGTGAATAAGCGCGAGCCGACTCCAGAGCCCGAGCCTGAGCTCGTGCCTGCGCCTATTCCCAAACGCGAAGCAGACATGAACGTCATGTATCTCGTCAACGTCACTGTCGGCGAAGAATACGCCTACTGCCGCTCCTGCCCCAAGGAGTCTTGCAAAATAGAGAAAACATTCGAGTTCAACAACGAGGTCTGGCTGCAATGCCTCAAGATCGTGAACAACCTCCCTAGTGAGGGGCCCACCGAGTACTGGGCCTTGACGACCGATTTCTGCTATATGAATAGGAATGATTTTTGGGAAGATCCGGCGGGAGATTTCTACCGTTTCCCTTCTTGTGACCGGTTCGAGCAGGGCGGTGGCTCGGGTGGCGACGAGGATTGAGACTAGTGATATACATAGTACGGTATTAGTGCATCATGAATGGATGACATAGAAAGCCTGACTATTATCACTTTGGCCCTGAATGCATAACCGTGGTATTACAAGATAAAATTATTTACAAAGGAGAATGTAACTATTGACAGCGCAATACTAGAATATTTTGACTCTCTTCGCCTTGAAGATGGAGAAGGGGTCCAAAATATTAAAGGAATGTCTTTCCTTGATAAGATCAGCGGCCTTCTCCGCAACAGCATACATTGTGGATTGCAAGTGTGTTGCGGGAATCAGCGGGATGATACTTGCATCTACGATGCTGAGACCCTTGATGCCGTACACGGTGAGATCGCTGCCCACACAGCCGCCATACGCCTCTGGCATCATCGAGCAGCTGCCAGACATATGTGCAAAAGATGCTTGAAGCCCTTTTTGCCCTATGAGATCGTTGATTATCTCGTCGTCTGTCTGCGCTTGTGCACCGGGTGAGAGTTCGACGGGGGAGAATTTGGCGAGCTCAGGGCTCGTCCAGTGATTGCGCGTCCATCGGACCATTGCGAGGATGATCTGGCGGTCGACAGGGTTTTGCAGAGAGTTGAACTGGACAACAGGGTTTCCGTATTTATTCCTTGGGTTGAGTGTGATTGTACCCCGAGAAAGCGGACGCTGCAGGGCGTTGATGGCGAGACCGAAGGGAACCATGGGGAACTCGGCGACGGCAGCGTCGGGACTGGCGTGGAGGTTGGCAATGATGTCGCGTTGCTTTTGGAATCCGCGCAAGAGGTAATAGTCACCATAGACAGAAGGGAGGTAGCTGCGCACATCTTGCGACTTTACTGTCTGTACAATTTCGCTCCATTTGTCCGTGATGGTCTGCAGACTCAAAAAGGCCAGGCTGCTACCATGGGCCTGAGTGAGGGGTCCACTGGCGGTACTGTCGTATTCAGACCACACCGTAGCGTTGAAGTCGGGGTTGGCGCCGCTGAAGGGGTTCGGAAAAGCGAGGTTCTGCAGATCGAACATCATGTTGGCATTGGGGTGATCCTGCATGTTGGCACCGACAGCTGGCATATGCTTCTTCACTGATACACCAGCAGCAGTGAGCACATCCCTGGGGCCGATACCACTGAGTTGAAGCAGTTGAGGTGTAAAGACAGCACCGGCCGCCATGATCACCTCCTTCCTAGCATACACCCTTTTAACAGAGCCATCCCTGCGTGACCTGTATTGCACGCCACTAGCTGTAAGTCCAGTCAACAGACCGCTGTTGAAGAGAATCTCATTTACAGTATTTCCGGTGATGACAACGAGGTTCTTGCGGTTCTTGACAGGGTCGTAGTATTCATTCTTTGCGTGAGACCGTGTTTGTGTCTTGGGCCGCAGAGCAGTGGGTATCCAGAACGCGCCTACAGCTTTGCCTGAACCTTGCTCCTTCGGCAAGGGCACACCCGCCCTCTTGTAGGCAGCCCAAATTGTCTTAGTATCTTGATACTCGAATTTGGGGAAGGAAGCCTGGATGGGGCCGTTGGTGCCGTAGTATGATGCGTCGTATGTGGTGCCAAACTCTTGGATATTGGACTCCGTCGGGGGTGTAAAAGTCGTTGATTTTCTGAAGTAGGGCAGAAGATTGTTGAAGTTCCATCCCTTGTTACCTAGTTGTTCCCAAGCATCATAGTCGGCAGCAGATGCGCGGTCAAAGGCCATGCCATTGACGACTGACCCTCCGCCCAGAACATTCCCTACCCAGACGGGGTGTGAACCACCAGTATTTGTGTCATATGCTGAGGTAATATCATACATGAGTGGCGTGTTGACGCTGTTTGCGAAGCTGGGTACTCGCGTTGAAACATCGTCGACTACATACCCATTTTCTACTACAAGCACAGTGCCTTGAACAGGGTCAAATTGGAACTTTTAAGACCAAGGAAAACACTCACAGCCTGAGTCTTCACTCAGCCGGTTGGCAACAGTGAGTCCAGTTAGCCCTCCGCCCACAATAATGAAGTCGAAGGTTTGCCCGCCAACGTCAGGCTCTCCGTTGCTGTTACCAACATTCAGGGGATTGGTTATACGCGGTACGAAAGAGGAAAGAAACAAAAGGCCAGATAAAATTAAAGACATGATAATGAGCGTAAGTAAGCTGAAAGAATGTGTAGGCATCCAGTAAGAGGTGCAAAATGAGAAATCAACGATTCCTCTAGCTCCTTAAAGCGAGACGAATGTAAGGTTTATAAATGAACTTACTCGCTACTGGCCAGAATCGATAATTGCTAGTACGTAGTTTGCGGGTAGACCTCCCCTGAGGTAGCATAGTTACCCGAAACTTTGTACAACTAGCCAGTTATCTGCTGCAGGCGAAGCACGGCGAGTACGGCGAGTGTGGCGATGTCGTCGATCATAAAAGTCTCCTCGCCTGATTTTCTCAATACTCGGGAAAGCGAGGGTTATCAATAGATCAACGCGCTCACAGCTTGATGCTGAGTCTAGACCGGCGTAGCGTGGACATAGGAGGTAGGTATGTCTTCTTTACTGGCAGGTCTTCCAAATAGCATTTTTTTTCAAATCAGCGGACCGTATAATGGCACGTTTTCAGGGTCTAGATCAATGGAGAGAACCAAAGATCACAAAGATGAACACGAAAGAGAATCTGGCGCAGCTGGACAGCTATTGTAGGTAAAAACTTTGTGCATTATCGTATGACAAGCGCCACTTGAAAAAAAAAAGCGTAGCTCTCAAGTATGCCTAGACCCGTGACCCTGTTTTACATCGATGCCGAAAAAAAAGGTGGGGAAATGGCGATGGCGTAGCTGTTGATGTAGGTGCAAGGGGTTGAAACTTTGGGTCAATCCTGCAGGAGCCGTGGCCTGGAAGCGAGCGATAATAGATACGGCATATTAACTCCTGGCGAGAACGCCGCTTTGCTCATTCTCGGCCTGCCCCTGACTAGTCCTGCTAGCCTTAATCCCGATGCTTAGAGTATCGACATTTGGCTAAGCCAGACGCTACACATCGTCTAGATCGCCTGTGGCGTCTGGTATTGCCTAATTGGGCATCGATGGATGTGGCTGCCAAGCCACATTCCCTGTACAGCGACCAGCAACTACCTAGCGTCATCTCAAACTTTGCAACAATTACAGCTCTCCATCCAACAAAGCCTTTCTCAGCCCCGCTGCAGATCAAACGTCCGATGTTCACATAGGCGGGATCTTGAAACGGTTAACCTAGGGCGCCTGAGGGTTTCGCTACGTCCGTAGGAAAAGCATTAGCACAACTGGCTGACAACCTCGGCCTAGCGAGCTACTTCAGGTAGGTTGTGTCAAGAGGCGCGAGCTACACTGTTGTACTTAGACCGTTCCTAGTTTAGCTCAAGGCTCGTAATCAAATGTAATCCCGGCGGCAGCCACATGCCATAGCACGGCCATGCCGAACCTGAAAACTGTTGGCCTAAACGCCATCCCAAGCTAACCTTGCTTCAACGACACGTACCTTTCCTAGCCAGTCAAAGACGTAATCGCTGACTATGCCCAAAACATTCCGCCTGATCAATGGACCAAAGTCTTCGACAAATTCTCTACCGGTCAGGACTATCGAACTTACCTCGAGGCGTCCAGCCCTTGGTCGACATTTCGAAACTCTCTGCCACTCTGAAATGGAAAGGGTAGCGACGTGGCTCTAGACAAGCGTAGAGATTAAAAAAATATATGTTTTAACAAATGACTTTTGCAAATATGCTAAAACACTGGTTATCCTCATACTAAAAGATAAAGAGAGATCTGAAGTGGGGAAGCTTGGGCGAGATCACCCCTTGACTCACCAAGTATGGATTAAGCGTTGACTCGCGCGACTACCACCAAGCCATATGCAGGTACTCTGGCCGCTGTAGGATTTCGTAACCGTGTGTTTCGAATGGGCAGGTTTTGGCGGCAGGCTATGTCCACCTGTAGCATTAATGGGCGAATTTTATAACGGTTCGCACACCCACGTGGCACAGGGTACAACTACTGCAAAACATTTGTCTTGGTAAGGGCACTAATATATCGGGACAGTACACATCGGCCCGCTCGCTCAGGCCTTTTCTTTCTTTTCCCAGCCTTTAGTTCTTTCCATATCACCATGGCTGTGCCAACGACATCAGAAGGGCTTCCTCTGGACGACCGCTCAAATGCTATCAAAATACCGCTCATTGTGTTGATTATATTCAGCTCCATCTTCGTTGCAATTCGATTGGGCATCAATTGGAAAAACAGGAATTTCTTCCTTCTTACAGATCACTTGCTATGGACTGGACATGTAGGTGTAGCCCTTGGACTCTTACACGATTTGTGCTAACACGACCAAAGGTAATAGCTATAGCAGGCGGTGCATGCTGCTACAAAATGGCTGAATACGGTGGCGGCAAGCACGTCTGGGATCCATTCATGACACCGCAACGCCTGGAAAAACAACTCTACTATGTCTGGCTGAGCCAGATTCTCAATCTTTATGGAATGGCTCTGGTCAAGCTCAGTGTATGCGCCTACATTTTCATGCTCGACTTTTCCAAGACGTTCCGCATCATGATTTGGATATCGATTGTTGTACATGTTGGGATCAACTTTGTGTTTCCCACAGTGGTTCTATTCGGAGAATGCACACCCTACTCCAAGCATTGGGACGTGACGGGAACCAAGCCTGGCTCGTGTTGGGGATCAGAACCCAGGGTTATCTCAGGGTATTCTGGAGCAGCAGTGAACATTGCGACAGACTTGCTGTACACAATGGCGCCTTTGGTGTACATTTCGCGGATTCAGCTTTCCAAGCGCACAATCTGGGGTGTCCGTGCAGTCTTTCTCTGTGGTCTTGTGTAAGTTTCACAGGTCTCAACACACTGGACTTTCTCTGTGCATTCCACTAACAAACACGCAGAACAACAACAATCTCCGCACTGAAACTGTACGAAATGAAGGCGCTGGCCAACACCAAAGACCCAAGCTTCGAGTCCGTCAACCTAAGCATCTTCGCCTCCGCCGAAGTCTTCGTCGGCGCATTCACTGCCTCACTGCCCCCACTGCGAAAAACGTTCGAAAACTTCTTGCGCAAGATCCTTCCCGCCAGCCTCACCGGCTCCTCAGGCAAAGGCTCAAAAGTATCCCGTCAAAGCTACATGCTCGAAAACATTGAGGCGCGGTCAACTGCCAAGTCCTGGCCCGGTAAACAGGAAACAGACGGCGATAGCGAGTTGGGTATTCTCCCAGACGAAGGGATCGCAAGGCCAACCAATAATTCCGACCAAGCAATTACAAAAACCACACATGTCATCGTGACAGAAGACGACCGCAGTGCGATTTCACGGCGTCAAGACGAATGGGCTTGAATGCTGCCCTTTTCCTTTATTCAATCAACTTTTTTTTTCTCTTTCCAATGTAACCTGCTATGTATTACTTCCAACGAAACAAATGATATGATATCCACGATTCGCAAACTCTACACACCCATCCCCCTTCAAGGTTGCGCCCCATGGCGTAACCACATGCATGGTGCAGATCACCCGCTCCTTGCATAACCGAGGTCTCCAATCCATCACCTCTCACTTCTCACCTTCAACATCTCACATGTTTTACACACCCTTCCCATCCCCCGTGACAATGTCATCCAAATCCTACACCCTCCCCCTCTCCTTCCGCGGCTACGCTCAAGGCCGCACATATCACGACTCTTCTACAGGCCACCCTCAATGCCACTTCTTCGGCGGCATCCCCTACGCCCTCCCCGCGCAACGCTTTCAGCGCGCAAAACCACTCCCGCCATGTTATCGCTACGGGACGCAGGCCCAACCGGGCGTGTTTGAGGGCGCATGTAGTGTATGTCCGCAGCCGGCGGCTGGGCCGGGGAAAGAGGACCAAGCGGGGGAGGAGGATTGTTTGCAGTGTAACGTTTGGGTTCCGACTGGGGAAGCGCCGGAGGGGAGAGGTGAGTTTCCTGGGTGAGAGATGAGAGAGAGAGAGAGAGAGGGAACGAGGGTTGTAAGCTAACGAGGGAGTAGGGTGGCCAGTTTTGTTCTGGATTCGTATGTGGATTTTTTTTTTATCTCCTATTTCCTATTTCCCAGTTTTCTGCTTTTCTTCTCTTTTTTCTGCCTATCTTTTAGGCAAAAGGTATTACTGGGCAGGTTGTAATTGCGTCACTTTTCTGTCTCCCAATATCCAGGTCCGCGGGTGATCTTCCCGCCACGGCAATGGAATATCCCGACAAGCTGGGAAATACGGGGGAAAAAAGCAAAAAAACACAAAGACTGTGGGACCCTTGTTTTTAGTTTCATATCACATCGGCACGGTACTTGTTTCTCGTGTTCTAGCACGTGGCAAACTGACTCGAGACCTTTCTATTGAACTTTAGACGGCGGCTTCCTCCAATGGGGCACCCCCAACGGCCTCAATCTCCGGTCTCTCCTGTCAGACTCGCCCACACGCTGTATCGTCGTAGCCCCTGCGTACCGCCTCAACGTATTCGGCTTCCTGGGTTCACGTCAGCTCGATGACGCGTGCGGCACCGACTATGATGCTAACGTAGGGTTTTGGGACCAGCGGCTAGCGCTGCAGTGGACACATGAGAACATCGCGTATTTTGGGGGCGACGCGGCGAATATCACTCTTGGGGGTTACTCCGCCGGCTCACATTCTGTGTTCCATCAGCTATCGTATGATTTGGGGTTGAGCGACGAGAAAGCGGTGGTGAAGAGGGCGATGATGCTGTCGAATGGACCGGGGATGCAACCGAAGAGTTTGGACGAGGCGCAGGACCAGTTTGAAGAGTTGATGCAGGTTTTGGGGATTGATTCGAAGCTTGAGCCCGCGGAGACGCTGGGGAAGCTAAGGGCGGTGCCGGCTAGTGAGATTGTCGAGGCGAGTGGGAAGATGAAGTTGCATCAGTTTCGCGCGGTGACAGATGGAGCGTTTGTTCGCCATGGTTTATTGGAAGAGCTGTCCAATGGTGTATACGCTGAACGCATGAAGAGGCGCAATATCCAGCTTATCATTGGCGAATGCAAAGACGAGCATTTCATGTACGGGACCTGGCGGCCGCCACAGCCAGGCTACACACACATGCTGCGCCGCCTCGAAGCCGACTATCCTCGGGAAGCTTGTAAAGTACTCATGTCACATTACTTTCCCGACCGTAAGCTCCCGCCGCGGTTCGAGAGTTGGCAAGAGGCGTTTGGACATATCTACGCTGATGTTCAGATCCATGCGCTGCGACGGGGAATGGTGAATGCGCTGGTGCAACATAGTGCTGGTAGTCTAATTCATAGATATCGCATCGAGTGGCGTGCGCGGTGCGTGGACAAAGAGCTCCCCATCCATTTCGGCGTCACGCATGGGTCTGACATTGCGATTTGGTTCTGGGGCAATGGCAGCGACTTGACTGAGGAGGAAAAGCAGATTGCGGCACAGACATTCCATCATCCGCTGAGTAAGTTTTTAAAGGGAGAGGACATGGAGTGGGGGACGGAACATGCAATGCAATTGCGGACGTTGAAGAGTGATGGTCGGGTTGTAATTGAAGAAGATACGAGGATGGAGGAAGGTCTCAGGCTCTGGGATGCACTGAAGAAAGCTGGTGCGACGGGGGAGCCAAAGGAATCAGCGAGGCTTTGATGATGTACGGTTCATGAACATACGACGGAATAGACTGATATGTTTGAAATCGAGTATTGTCAATGTGAGATAGGACGAAGTTGTTGTTAAATTATATTCTACTTACCTCTTTAATATTGTTCAAGACAGATACATGTGACTCCAACTAGGACATCACGAGCGTTACTCTCGATATTCTCGTCCGATAGTTTGAGCATGTCAAAAAACTTAAACGCAAACCTTTTCAACAGTTTATCATCCTCCGGAGTGTAACAAGGTCCAAAAACATAAACTTTATTTCAGGAACTATACATCATATCATTTCATCATATAAGCCAGCCCTCTGCCATCAAACCGAAAAAGGAGCCCAGACATTACAATGGAATTTTCATACCAAGATCAAAATCACAAAGACATGATACAGCATGGTGCCACACAAACCAAATTGAGAGCATAGAGGAACTAGAGAACGAGTGGAAGTATGACAAGTTTGCAGCGCAACCCAATGAGAAAAAAAAGACTCAGAATGTTGAAAAGAAGAGAATTGTGAGCTGGGAGTTTTTCAAAACTCGCAGACAGAGGTATCAACCATCATTGCGCCGTTAAACCATCCGACCCAATGCACATAATTTTTTTCAGTCAGATGAAAACGATTATCCAAGAGTATTGTTCTCCTTGGGTAACCGCTTCAAAGCTTCTTCGACATCCTTGTGGTCGACTACGACGCCGCTCTCAGAACAACGGGCCTTGGCACGGAGCTCACTGCATAGATTATCAATGTCGATAGTGCCGTCCTTGAAATCTGGACGACTTGAGAGCTTGTCCCTGCATGGTGTTAGTGAATCAAATGTTTCAATATTTGCAAATTCCACAAACCAAATCTTATGGCAGTTGAGAAGCGAGTTGACATCCTCGCCTGGAACCACCTCGTCGTCACCGTCTTGGCCGTCTTGTGCACGCTCAATCTCCTCGAGAGGGTTTGGCTTCTGCACGGCTGGTGTATCACCAAAGTGGAAGGGGCTGACATAACCAGTGTTGAGGAATGCGTCGTTGAAGAAGCCACCGGTGAAGTCGCCGTCGCCAACAATGGCGTTTTGGGTATCGCGGTACTCGCCAAAGAGAGTAGGGTCGAATTGGCCGCCGTTTTGGTTCGCGAGGTAGTCGATGCCGCTGACGGCAGGAGTTGGGGATTTGGCGGATAAGACTGCGGGAGAAGGTTTGGCGTCAGATTGAGACATGGCACGAGGCATGGGGTTACGAGGATTTCCACAGGCCATGTTGAGCTTTTCGCAGAAGAGCACCTCACCTTCGGAGTTTCCATGGCACACATAGCCGTCTGTGACTGTGTCTGCCTGCTGGTTGGGCGAAGCATGACTTGGTTCTGGGGATGTGCCACAGGACGAGTTTTGGTTGGTGGGCGATGTGGAAGAATTCGAAGGCGAGTCCGAGTGATTAGATGAACCGCCGTTGAATTGGAAAACACGCGATTGCGATCCCATAGAGCTTGTAGTGTTGCTGCGGGTGGCTCCAGCGTTTGATGTGCTGCTGCTGTTGTTGCTGAAGCCAAAGAAACCGTTCAAGCTGCCAGAGCGCTGAGTCTTTGCTCCTGCACTCATTGGGGCGGGAGAGTCGGTAGTGGAACCGTTGGTGTTGCTGTTCGGACTGAGGTCTCGTCCGGTACTATTGTGTCGTCCCGATACGCTCGAAGACACGGAAGCGTTCTTGTTCTTGGTCAGTGAGCCGTTGTCGAGGAGCTGAGCGCCTGGAAGCCCGCCGAAACGTGGGAAATCAAAGGAAAAGTTGTTGACGGCGGTGTTGTTATTGAGCATGGAGCTGAAACCTCCAGTGAGGGGTGGGGTACGGCTGAGGGCGCTACTGTTCATTGACAGGCGTTTCCGATACTCGCGAAGTTCCATCTGCAGCCTTTGTACCTGCGCGCGCAATAAGCCGTTCTCGTGGTTTGTAGCATCAGAGGCCTTTTCGAGCTCCTGGACCTTGGTCTCGAGATCCTTGAGGTGCTTTTCCTTGCGTTCCCGGAAAGCCCGCTGAGCAGCGCGGTTCTGGGCCTTCCGCTTCTGTTGCTAGAGTCAGTTTTCGATCAAGTAATCATCCCCCATTAGCGACCTACAGTTGTAGGCTCGGAAGTCAGCGGCTTGCGACCTGGCTTCTTAGCTTGCTTGTCCTCGCCTTCTCTGCGCTTGCCGCCTCCCTCGTCGTCTTCAGCTTCTTCGTCACCAGGACTCTTGCGCTTCTCGCTCGAGTCGCCGGGGGTGTCGCCAGGAAGGGCGCCAATCATGTCGCCGTCGGCATTTTCAAAATCGAAGCCGTTGTCGCCGTCGAGGTAGTCGATGAAGGGGCTCTCTTCGATGCCGACGTTGCTAAAGCCGGTACCACCTGTGGATTGCTGGGGCGAGGTGAAGTAGGCGGGGTCGAGGGCGTCGACGGGATACTGAAACTGGGCGTCGTCAATGGATTGCTTGCTGTGGTGACCATTGTGGAGGCCTGCGGAGAAGAGGTCGTTGGGGTTCTGGTTGTTGGAAGCGAGGGCAGCGAGGAGCAAGTCTTGCTGCGTGGCGTCTAGATAGAAGGGCGCGCCATTCTGGAAATCGTTGGCTGTGCCGGCCATTGCGAAAGCTGGGGTGAGTATGGAAAGGCGGCTAGGGCAGTGGGTGTGAGCTGGGTAGCTGCGGATACTCCGCGGGGTCGATAGGAGTGAGTGCCAGACTACGAGTGACTATTGTTGCCACCTGAAGCGAAGCGGCGCGGCGTTACGGGAAGGGGGAGCAGGTAGGGTGGTAAGTGTATGAGGGATAAGGATGACGCAAAAGGTGTGGGCGGAACAGAGCAGTGTGCAGGGTGGGTAAAAAGCGGGTAGATTGCTAGTAAACGGCCGCTGAGCAGGTGCAAAAGCGCCGATACCAAGGCGTCCCGTGCAGAGGGCGGACGAATATTGGCGAGAAGAGGGAGAGGGAGAGGGAGACGAGGAGGGAGCGCAGGCAGTGGGCGGAAGCAAGGTGGCCAGAGGCAGGATGAGGAGGCCTAAGGGCGCAGTGGGATGAGGCGACACCCTTGTCCTGGCTGATGGATGGACTTGGTGCGACTTTTTTCCGAGCCAGGCGTGCGGCGGTTGTGATGCGGCCGACCAGCAGCAAAGCACGTGAGGGCAGAGAGAGGAACGAGGGGCTGTGGCTGCGGCTGTGGCTGCGGCTGCGGCTGTGAGGGGAGAGAGGAATGGAGTCGGGTCATCAGAGAGGCCGATGGGAGTCGGGGATGCGCAAAGGGCGCAGCAGTGAATGCGAATGTGAATGTGAACGTGAACGTGAACGTGAATGCATATCTCAGTCAATCAGTGAGGAGCGGAGGGGCGCGTGGCTGATTGCTAAGCATGCGTGCGGGCATAGTGGGGGTGCAGGTGCAGGCAGAAGGCCCTCGAATACCAGCATCATGAAGAGCCGACAGCAAGACCGACGCCTGTTCCTGCAAGGGACAGTGTATTATTATCTAATTACCTATCAACAACTACAATAGCACCACACTCTGCACTCTATCTACATAGTAGTACACAATACACTGCTTGGCCCCAAGAAAGCATTGCTCTCATTTGGACCATGTTTGTATGAGACCCTGGTGCTCGCTGTCCTTGGCTGTGCCGGGCCTGCTGCCGTTGCCGTCGCATGTCGGAAATGCTTCCTGGCGAGCTCTACCATGCAGCCAGCAGCCAACCACCAGCTGCTGACTGCTGATTGCTGACTGCTGACTGCCGACTGATATGCATCGTGTGGTTAGTATGTATGTATGTATGTATGCTGTATGTAGTGTCTTGATTGATGGCGGGTGGAGAGCGGCGGTAGGGCTGAGAGCTGGGGAACAGTCAAGGGTTCACAAACGGTGGGGCGCTGCCAAGACTCGTGCCTGCCTCCAGCCGTCATGCTCCTTCCACGACGCGACTTCCTCACCCGCCACACCCACGTTGACACCACCCTAACCCCCACCTTGCCCACTCCCGCCTGTCCATCCCGCACCTCCTCACAAACATGGCCGACCAGCTCAAACACACCAAGAATGCCATCAACGCGAAGAAGCAGGAGATTGCCCAGGAAGAGGCCCAGCGCGCAGAATGGGCCGAACAGCTGGCCCAGATGGATGCCCTGCTCAAGGACACTGGCGACAACGAGGAAATGAAATCCATGCGCAGTGAGATGGTCCAAACTATTGCCGCCCACGACGCCAAACTCGATCGCCTCCGCCCAGAGCTGGCCACTCTTGAGGCTCAATTGCCCCAAGCCCCGGCTGCTGCCGAGCCTGCAGGCCCCAAGTTCGACCCCGAGAAGCATCCCCTTCTGCGCAAGGCCGTGGAGAAGCAGGAGCCCGAAAAGACTGTCGCCTTTAGTATCGGAGACATCTGCGAGGCCCAGTGGACTGACAGGTCCTGGTACAAGGCAAAGATTCAGAGTATCCTGGGTTCCGTCTCGGCTCCCAAGTACCTCGTCCGCTTCATCGAGTACGATGACACCATGACCGTTGACCGCACCGCCGTCCGCCCTCTTCCAACCAAGCGCAAGCGAGAACCCGAGACAGCCTCTACCCCGACTCCTTCAGCCCCCGTCACCTCTTCGCATGTCATCTCTGGTCCTGCCACGACGAATCCCAACGCCGTGGCTGCCAAGCCTGCTGGCACCAACGAAGACATGGCCAACAAGAAGCCCAGCCGAGTTCCTACAAAGGGAACCCTCAAGAAACGGGCATCGGCTTGGGCCGACTTCCAGAATAAAGTTTCCAAGAAGGGTGTCGCCAAAAAGGAGTCCATGTTCCGTACCAGCACCGAGGCTGGCAGCAGAGGTATGTATCTCTTCCATCCTCGTACTCACTCTTTGCTAACAGTCAACAGTCGGCTTCACGGGCTCTGGCAAGGGCATGACCGAAACCCACAAGCGTCAGCGCTACGATCACAAGGCCGATGCCGACAACGACGACGACTACCCTGCTTAAGGCGGCCTCTCTTGAAACAGCTACGCATCAGCTGGCTGAATTCTCTGTGGTATGTACTAGTAGATTCCAACGCCTATCAAATGTCTGAATCTCTGGCTTACAATGCCCTTTGGCCGACACCAGACCTAGACACGTCGGGCAGGAAACAGCAAAACACACCTCGTCGAGCCACCATGCTCTTCAGCCTTGCTCCAGAAGGACCCTTGCTGACTTGATGCAGCCCTTTATCTTACATGATATTCACACCCCACGACTCCTCGCTTGCATCATCACGGCGTTCCCGGCATCTGCATATTTCTGGTATGATTCTTGGGCAAACACATCTCACCTGTCGCGCCATGTCACTAAGCACGATCCGCTCGATAGGCGTTCGATACCCTCCCATATTTGAAGCTGACGCAAGCGACTGCGAAATCTGCTGTGCTGAACAGAGGTCCATGTGTCAGGTAAGGCATACCCCCCAATGTTTCCCTCTTGCATGCCGCATACATGAGCATCACTCTTGCACGTGCACATATCTGTTATAGTCGTTATGTAGTTGCAGGCTGTCCCTATGGGCCAAATTCCCCTTTTCAATAGATTGTTCATCATTTACTTTTGTCCGTGCTATGTCGGGTGATGTTTCTATTCGTCATTGCGCCCAAACACTGTCGCGTCGTTGTGGGTATTCATAAATAGATGCCCCGCAGTTTCACCAAGAGGACGCACCCTCGCACTCGCGTCCCTTAGCCCCAACTACCACTTCCACCCCACGCCCTAATGCTGCACCACCCGCGACGCGACCGTAAACATAGCCAACCAAGGCATGTCGCAGCCGTCTTGTAGACGCACTGCATTGCGATACGCAAATTCATCATGGAAGCGGACTGGGACGAGGTACCATGTTGTTCAACCGTCGAAGCGCATCATCATCACTAACAGACAGCCCGACAGCTAGCAATCGTTCAACTGCCACCCCCAGGACCCCATCTCCCTGCCGTGCCTATATCCACATTCGCTTTTGACACAACCCAAGAATTGCTATGGACAGGCAACAACCATGTGAGTATGTTCACACTCGGCCAGCCTGGAGCGCATTGCAGCTGACACTGCCTAGGGACGGGTCACATCCTTTTACGGACCTCACCTCGAACGATATACCTCTTACCGCGGACACGCGCCTCCCGACGGCCCTGTTAAGCAATTTCTCTTCACCGACAAGGGTATCCTCTCTGTCTCCCAGCAAAGCGTCCACTACTCCCACCGGCGCGGCCTCACACATTGGCATCTGACGTATGTTTGTGCAAGCACGATAATGGGCTGCAGCTAATCGCCAGCGTACAGAAGCCCTGACTTCAAAGATCTGAGATGCATGAACTTTACCTCCAAGGGCACGCGCGAGATCCTCGTCGCAGGATGTCAGGAGCACATGTTCAAGGTAGACGTAGACAAGGGCGTCATTACGGACACTGTACGTTTTGGTCCATACCACAAATGTACAAGGCTGACCTATGCAGCTGCCAGCTGAAGCTCAGTATAATATCATGAAGCGCGCCGGCCAGTACCTATGCGCTGCGACCAAGAATGGTGGCATCCACATCATCGATTCCAACTCGCTATCAGTCATCAAGGTTTTCGAGGGTCACACCAGCAGCATCAGTGATATGGACGCAAAAGGAGATTTTCTCGCAACATGTGGCTGGTCGCCTAGGCAGCAATTCGCCTTTATGCTCGATCCCTTTACAAACGTCTTTTCGCTCAAGACGCTGAAGCAACTGCCCCCGATTCCTTTCCATACGGGCGCGGCCTTTGTCCGAATGCATCCTCGCATGTCGACTACGGCATTCATCGCATCGCAAAATGGCCAGATGCAGGTCATCGACCTGATGAACCCAGACTCGGCAAATCTTCGCCAGCTCAATCTCTATGAATCCTATCTAACTGGCTTTGAGATGGCCCCTTCGGGCGAGGCTATTGCACTGGCAGACTCCAACTCTCATATCCATCTATGGGGTTCTCCGTCCAAGGTTCATTTTCCAGAATACAGCAACCCAACAGAGACTGCGGACCATAATGTCCCGCCGCCCCCAGCCATGGATTGGAATCCGGACACGTAAGTAGATTCAACGGTGGAGTGAGTGCTCTACTGACGAAATAATCAGGCCATTAAATACCGTAGGTATGCCCTACTACAAAGAACAACTTCTCTCAAGCTGGCCTAGTCATCTGGTATTCGAAGTCGGCTCCCCTGCCCCGAAGATTGATAGCGCAATCCTCAACAACATGACGCGTGCTGAAATTGGTTTCTTTGCGAAAAATCCTAAAACTAAGCGCAGGAACCAGGCTGAAGCGACTCGACATGCGGACAAAGTGAGCGAATCGTTGTCGGCACCCAAGTTTTTGAGCGAAAAGACGCGCGCCTCGCAGTCCTTGACGGAAACCGACTGGAAATCATCAGAGACGATGGAGAAACTGACTGACCTACACCTTGATGACGTCACTAGACGAGACGTTCCTGCAATGTACGGAAACGTGGAGATCAAATACAGCAAGTTCGGCGTAGACGACTTTGACTTCGCGTATGTCATAACACCTACGTTTACTTGTTTCTCGTCTGACTCAGATACAGATACTATAATCAAACGTCTTATTCGGGCTTGGAAACGCACATTACGAATTCCTACGCCAATTCACTCTTGCAGCTTCTCCGTTTCACACCGTTAATTCGCAACCTGGCACTGCAACACACCGCATCGCCATGTCTTTTCGAGTCATGTCTTCTCTGCGAGCTAGGCTTCCTGATAGACATGCTCGAAAAAGCTTCAGGATTAAATTGTCAGGCTTCTAACTTTCTAAAGACATTCAGTGGACTCTCAAATGCAGTGTCACTGAATTTACTGGAAGAGTTTGCCCCAAATGTGGCGCTCACAACCATGATTCAAAATCTGAATCGATTTTTGCTTGAGAAAATATCAGATGAGTTCAGACAGATGCTGCCCAGTCAGCCCGGCCCGTCGGCCATGGACCAAGTCTTGGAGACACAGGCCAGGGCAAGCATGCGGTGTGCTCAATGTACCAACGAGACCATTCGCGGAGGTAAGAACTTTGTCAATGAACTCGTGTATCCGGCAAAACACGTCATGAAGAACACGCGCATACCACGCCCTACATTCTCGCAGATCCTAAAGGCTAGTGTCGAACGACAAGATCAGACTAGAGGTTGGTGTACGAAATGCAATCGCTACCAGCAAATGATACAGCGGAAGACTATACAGTCTATTCCTGGCGTACTGATGCTGAATGCTGCCATCCAGAGCCACGACGCTAAGCTGTTGTGGTCGATACCGAATTGGTTGCCGCAAGAGATTGGGATCATAGTAGATCAGGGCCAATTTTTCTGCTTTGAAGGCCAGGACTTGAAGCTGCATCTGCAACGCGGAGTACATCAGATTATGGTGTACGAGCTCGTTGGTGTAGTTGCCGACATCAACAGTGGAGAGCACCAAAAGCCACACTTGGTGGCAACCATCAATACAGCACCGTCGTCACGGGAAGATGATCCAGAAGATAGGTGGCATCTCTTCAACGATTTCTTAGTTCGACCGATACCAAAAGAAGAGGCCTTGCGGTTCGAACCAAGCTGGAAGCTACCGTCTGTCTTGACGTTCCAACTTAAGTCTGCTCGTAACAAGATTGACGACTCGTGGAAAGACACCCTGGACACGTCGATACTGTATAGGTGGTGGTCATCAAATCCAACGCCTCCGGAGACCAAGTTCAAACTCCTTGATCACGCGACAGAAGCACCTCGCCCTGGCTATCCCGTCGCCATCGATGCCGAGTTTATCCGTCTTCAAGCCGAGGAGATTGAGATGAAGGCAGATGGCACACGGCAAACTATTCGTCCAGATCGCAAAGGACTTGCTCGCGTTTCTGTTTGTCGTGGTGAAGGCGAACATGCAGGCCTTCCCTTTATCGACGACTACATCGCTGTCACGGAGCAAGTCGTCGATTATCTCACCGAATGGTCCGGCATTTCCCCCGGCGACCTCAACCGCGAAACCTCACCCCACGCACCAGTTTCACTAAAGCACGCCTACAAGAAACTCTGGCTCCTGCTCAACCTCGGCTGTGTCTTTGTCGGTCACTCCCTCGCCAACGACTTTCGCACAATCAACATCCACGTCCCCAAAAACCAAGTCGTCGACACGAGCAACCTCTGGTTCAAACCAGACTTCAAACGCAAACTCAACCTCAAATTCCTCGCCTGGTGCGTCCTCAAAGAAAGCATTCAGGAGAATACGCATGATTCGATTGAAGATGCCACCACGGCTCTTAAGCTCTGGCGCAAGTGGCAGGAATTCGACGACGCCGGCGTCCTGGAGCAAATTCTTAATGATGTTTATGCCAAAGGTAGTCTTGTGGGGTTTAAGGCGCCTGGGAGTGGGGGGAAAGCCGTGGGGGGTTCGGGCGTGGGTGGGAGGCATCCACCCACTGGTGGTGGTGGTGGGAGTGAGGTGCTGGAGCCGTTGACTACGCCGAAGAAGGGGGGGAGCCAATTTGGGAGTGTGGGATTTAGGAGTCCGTTGAGGAGGTGAGTGTGGGGGTAGGGGGTAGGGGTGTCACTTTAAAAGAGTAGAAAATATCAGCTTTTGTCTTGGTTGTTTTCTTGATTTGCGTGATGCGGGGGTTTTGTTTTTTTAGCTGTGTTTGTTTGGGACTGGGCCGGCGTGTATGCATGGTTCATATTAGACCTGTTGATCGATTGAACTTGGGTTTGTCTCGACGAGGGTTCTCGTGAGTATGCATGCTAGATAGAAACTTCTTGGATAGGCGCAAGTTCGACTCTTGTAATTTTCGAAAAATGAAGGTTCTTTTTTTCGAAGCAAGGGGAAGGGGAAGGTGGGGGGTGAGGTACATAATTCATAACATGCGGGATCAGTAAGCTGGCCGGAACAGTAAGCTGGCCGCCCCACCAAACTCAACGCGACGTTCTGCACAATTGAGCCACAACAATGAGAGATAATATAATTATATTTTATTCTAAGATAGTCTGTTCTAGTCTACATTGAGTCCGTTTATGACCTTGAGTGTGGCACTTCGTGCACGTTGGCGGCGCGCGCTGGCGTCTCTCACCCGCCTGGCTCTGGCTAGCCTCCATGACCACCCTTTCTGCCTCTGTAGTAAGCTGCTGAGCCTGCTGCACCTGGAGGACTCTACTAGAAGCTATATATTGACGCTGCTGACTCTGCTTCTGTCGTTGACGTTGGTTTTCTACACGTAGCTTCTTATTCTCCTCTATAAGTATTGTTGCTGATTGCATCGCAAGCTGAGCGCTTTTCGCGAGCTGGCGTATCGCGACGCTTGTTGGGCTCTCTGGCTGCCGCTGCAGTCGCTCTTGGAGATAGCGTAGCTGCTGCTGAACCTCTGCTACTGTATGTGGTGTCTCTGTCTGCGCTACTGTCTGCGCTGCAATGTTGTTATCTACAGTAGTCTGTGATGGAGACGGTGTTCGGACGACAGTTAGCGACGATAGGATGCGATCTGGACAAGGAGGGATAAGGCCTGTCGCCTGGAAGCCTGCCTGGATATTCTGCTGCGTGAATATAGTCGGCCGGATCCGTGCATAGGCTGTAAGAAAGTCTGTTTTGTCAATATGGTAGACGCCATGGCGGGCGAGCTCCTCGACCTCGCGTCCGTACGCGCGCTTGAGAGGGGAGTAGCAGCTTACGTCTAGAGGCTGGAGGAGGTGCGACGTGTGAGGCGGCATACAGAGAGTGATAATCTTGTTCTCTGTGCAGTACTGGTCGAACTCTGGCGTAGCGTGGCTACTATGGCCGTCTAGGATAAGAAGACGATAGACTCCAGCCGTACGAGCGGCTGTATACTGGTTGAAGTGCTTCACCCACTCTACACCTAGCTCGTCTGTCGTCCAGCCGTTGTCTGAGACGCCGATAGTCCAGTCTAGTGGGAGGTTACGATACCAAATATCCTGGTGGACCTTACCAGATAGAATCACGAAGGGTGGAAGACACCAGCCAGATGCATTAATACACTCGATAGCTGTCACCCACTCGCGATTGCCTGGCTGTACGATAACTGCGCGACCAACTCTGTCAGAGCTAGTAACTACCTTAGACGTGCTAGCGACGCCCATCGCGAAGCCAGTCTCATCAAAGTTGTAGATGTCTTGATCTAGGATACCGTACGCCTGGCGCGTCTCCTCTACTAGCTTAAACCAGGCTGCGATTGCGACAGGATCCTCGCAGGAGGCACGCTGGCTATTAAGTCGCCTACTCCACTTTGTCTGAAGCTCTGGCTGGCTCTGGATAAAGCGTGACACCCATTTCTTGCCTATAGGTTGTGGAGGTGGATCTTGGCCACGCGCAGCGAGTAACGCGTCTGCCATTCGTCGCACGTCAATGATATGGGGTGGAAAGCCTCGTCGGTCTAGCTCTAGAATCCACTGAATAAGAGACTGCTCCTCGACAGGTGATAGCTTACGCCTAGTAGACGGAACCTCTGATCGTGGCTGGATACCGCGGAGGCGTGTCTGGAGCGTCGATTTTGGCACGTCGTACGCTTTCGCGAGAGAGTAGATAGATTGTTTTGGATTATTATGATAGGACGCCATAGCAAGACTTATTCTACCTTCACGAGAAGTCTGTATAGAACGTTGTTGTCGCGGCATTGTGGTTGTTGTGTAGAGCGTCGCGTTAAGTTTGGTGGGGCGGCCAGCTTATTGTTCCGGCCAGCTTACTGATCCCGCACGTTAGCCAGTTCATAGCCAGACACTACGCTCCTCCATGTTTACCATTCGAGGTACAAGCGTCGAATCGGGCGTTTACCACTCGCTTCGGTTGTGTTTGTAGGTTATACTGGTGCTTGTACATGCGGTTTTGCGATTGGTGTTTGAGAAGTTGGGGTTGAAGGGTGGGTGGAGAAGTAGGTACTGGGGGTGTTTGGAGTACTGGGTTGGGTATATGAAGGGCTGCTTAGTAGGGCTGGCATTAGCGGTTTGGGAAAGGAGAATTAAGTACTGCGGTATCGAGTTTGGGTATGTTTTTGGGGGAAGAAAGAAGTGTGTGGTAGCGAGATGGGGTTGGAAGGGGTAAAAGGGTGTGCTGGGGGGTAGGGATTGTTGTTGGAGGTACCTGGTGCCAGAGAGTTTATTTTTGGGGGTAATATGGTGTAAGTTGAGAGTGGGTATCTATTTTTCTCTTGATAAATGTGAAACCAGGGTTTTGATTCTTGAATAGTTATTTGTCTTTTCGGTTATGTTGTGAGATCTTCTCGAAGGGGGGTTGAAGTTCCCATAGCTCCCAATGTGTATTCAGTTCTTTGCCATACGTCTGCTCTCAACCGTCATATCTTTGTGTCTCTAGCATCCACGGTAAAATTGATAATTCGCCCCTCCACTCGGAGCACTATCACATAAACGTGAAACATTGCTCCACTTGAGGCCAAGCTGGTAATTACCTATACCAAGTGTTAGTCCCAAGACTTCCCATAGATTCAATAAATATGCTCAATACAGGCCGTTGGGACTGGGTATCTGGCTTACCTTTGGGAAGGGCAAAGTACCCATGTTGGCCACCGTGTTTCTCCATGCATTCATCTGGAGGTCCGCAAGTAGACCAATCCAGATCACCAGTTCCAGAAGTCTCCCCTATCCAATTATTATCAATGTATACCTCAAAGTGCTCGCAGCGGCCCGCTGAATCCGATATCACAAGGATACCGTCTTCCGGCGCCTCAAATGGTATGTTATGTACGTCCGAATCTGCGCCCGAGTTCGGAGTACGATGGACTCGTGTTAACGTCCAGGGCTTGAGGATTTGTCCAATGCATGGTTTCTCCTTGAGCTGGCGAATGGGCTCAACAACAGGTGGTGGTGGTGGTGGACCGCCAGAGGATGGTCCCAGGTACGATGGTCGCTCGTGGTTGAACATTGCGCCATCGCTGCATGTACAGCCACACATTTCTGGGACGGGATCTGAGCAGGCTATAGTTGGAACTTGGCCTTCGAGCTGGTGTTAGCTTTGAGTGTTTGTTCAGATATCAATTTTAACTCGCCGTTTGAGCATGTCATTGCTGACATGCTACCGAGAAGCGTATCTGTACCGAATTGGGCAGTTGTGATACCGCATAGAAGGAAGGTTGCAAAGGGAGTTGAAGTACGCATGTTGGTGGTTTTGTGGAAAAAGGTTGATGTAGAAGACGTTTGAAGTAGTTGATGAAGATAGCGGTGGATGATGGTAGGAAATCTTGTGTAGAATGCCTTTTACTTTTATACTTTTACATGTCCTTCGATATTCAATGCGCGCTTATACTTTTTGCAACTGCGGTATGGTTATAGCTAGCTCAATCGTTCTGTCACCCCGTGGTGCAGCTTAAAAAGTAAACTTGTTGAGAGCAAGGATCCCGGAGCAAGGCTGTGTCGTACGGATAGCATCCGTTCGGAACATTTACCACAAGTATCATCGGGAGATACATTTTCTACACGATGTATTATATATATTCTTTTGCTAAACATACTCTCACCTCTCTTATAGACTATTGTTTGTCCAGATATGTCAAAATTCTCACTAACACAATTAGTACCCAAAGAAAATGTCACAAGCCACTATGAGCTGATATCTGCAAAATTGACAACTTCCATTCTATGACTCTATAAAAAGTAGGAAAAGCATAACGCATTATCAAAAACAGGTATCAAGCGATTTCAATGCTTGGTAGACAGTGCAGTCTAGCCAAGCTTGCAAGACGCACTTTGGTATCATACTGGACCCTTCCAAACTGATTAATGTACATATGAAAATAGTGCACTGGAGATCTTTGCAGGGCTTTTGCTGCAAAGAGCGGTATGTAATCATTCATGACACTGACGTGTTTGATAAAAGAGCTTTAGTGCTCAGCGTGATAGACTAATGCAAAAAGTATGGTAACGGTGTTTGGAAAAGCAAAAACAGCTAAATTGAGGAGCAATGGCATGACCGTAGAAGAGTCTTATAAAAATCAGTGAAGATACTGAGTACATGTTGGGAAATGTTGGAATTGTAGCTTCTTCAATGGTATATGGGTGCCAAAGTGTAGCAGCTTTGTTATTTGCAATAGCCATGGTGGTAAAACACAATCCCGTCTCATTTGAAAAAGTCTTTACATGATGCTGCTTTTGTGTCAACTATTGAGACTCTACATATAGATGTACTGTTCCGTCCTCTTCCTCCTCCCTAATCTGTCTCTCCACCGCTCAGGTTGTTTCCTTCTTGCACTGGTTGTGCAACTGAATTCTTGGGTACCCTAGGGAGACAATTCCACAATTTTCCTTTGGTGCGTACCTAATGTCAACCGAGTATTTTCCTAGAGATTGTTTTAGCAGTGAGATCATGTATCTACCGCATTGATCGGTCTAAAAACACGATCAAATGAACCTTTATGTGGCTTACCTTTAGGCAGGGTAATATAAGCCTCCAAGTAGTCACTCTTTTTCGTGCAATTATCTGAATCTTCGCAATCTTTATGACTTGAAGAGCTCGACCTTTCAGTTTTTGCGACTCTCCGCCCGTCAATAAATACCAAAAATCTGGCACAACTTTTAAGCTGCCAAGAGTCGACCACAAGGATACTGTCTTCGTGAGCAGTGATGACTTCGGGAATAAGCGATTCTGGATTCCATCCCAAAGAGGTTACAACGTAGTTTTTCCAAGGTCGGCTAATATCACCCAAACATGGTTTCTCGTGGAGTTGCCGGATTGGTCTAACGACGGGGGTCGGTGTCGCGCTGGTAGACTCGATGACGGGTGATTCCAGGGGTGAAGGCAGCGTTATGCTGGGAGAGATTTTTGCGTTGGATTGAGCAGTTGCGATACCGCACAAAAGAAGAAAAGTGCTTGAAAGGGATAATAAAGCACGCATGTTGCCGGGTTTGAAGGATAGGTGAAGCACAAGATGTTTGGAGTAGGGGAGGATGGGGAGCGAGTATTTTGCAAGAAGCCTCGGAGTTTGTATCATACATATCTTGAGTAGAACTTTCGACCCTAACATGCTTATATACCTTTAGTTGATATGGCGTTGTTCTAAGGGGCGTAATGCTTTTCTCTCGATGTGATGCACTATAAAAACTGAACTTGTTGGGAATACTGGATCATTTTTCTTCTTTTTTTTCCCTTGTCCTAAATGTTTTGACGCGAATTCCCTAGATAATTCCCTCCTCAACACCATGATATCCTCAAGATTCTTCCTGCCATACCCTACTACAATTTTCTCAAGCACCCTTTCTCGCCCAGCAATTTCAACGGTCCAACATCGATGGCATTAGTGGTCCCGGGAAAAGCACATTGGTCCCCTGTGAAGCGGTAAACTAAAAAGCAACAACCTTCACCGTATGCCTTTTTTTAGAAGAAAAGAGAGGAAAAGAAACCATGGTAATCATTGCACAGTTTCAGAAACAGGGGAAACTGAGCGATATCAAGGTGCTGTAGTAAATGCCGGATAAAGTAGCCTACGATACAGACTCCACCACCATTCCAGATACTTTTGGAGTTGCTGTATAGACACGAAAAGTTGTTCATTGGATTTTTGTGGATTCCGGATCTTTGTGTGGAAAATTCGGATGTGATGAAGGGCAGGTGGTTGGTTGCGTTTATTGTACGGGAAAGACGTGACGTGCGTAGGAAATAGAGGATAGACTAGAGGATGAGGCATTTGGCGAAATCCTTGGAAAGAGATGAGTATTGAGCTCCGTCTTGAATGTCTTTACACAATTGAGATAGTACATTGATTTTGTCATCATAGGGTTTAATCTACAAAAATCGAGAAGTTTTGATTTCTTCCTCCTGTATGTGAGTCTCGCAGAACTTGACACGATGCAATGTATTCAACCAATTCCTAATGACTAGACGCCGGCCGATAGCATGTGGACTCATATAGCTGTAATTCTATTCACCCAAACTATTACTAAACGAGATTAGAGTGACGTCATTTTTACAGTCGCGTTCTCCTGACGCGTCGATTCATGGATGGAATGCATTTCACGTGTCGCACAGATTGATGAATATTGAACGCGGATTCTAAAGTCGCGTAGGAACAAAGGTGGTGGACGAATGGGAGACAATTGGCGTCAGTGGTACCTGGCTGGGGTAGTGGATATTGCCGCGAGCGTACTAGCGCCACATGTCCAGACGCGCCAAGCACCGTCGACATTATTCTCCCATGGCTCTGGCTGTATACTGCGCATTCACCTCTCCGCACCAACACGCTTTCAACGCGTCCCTTGCATCCCCCCCACGACCCCGCCCAGTCACTACACACCGCGCCACAAATACTGGAAGACGGCGACAGCAAGACAAGTTGAAATCGACGCGGCGAGCAGCCCAAACAGGCAATATGCCGCGGAAGAGCGCTGCAAAGGCCGACGAGCCATCTTCTGAAGACGTGTCGGCGCATTCCGACGTCGACATGCAAGACCAGCAGGAAGACAAGATGAGCGGCTTCAAGAAGTTCGGAGTAAGCACAATCTGGCCTGGCGCCTTCCTGCGCTGTGAAAGGCGACCTCATTGCATATTGAACATTCGCTGATGTTGCCATGGCAGTACAATCTAGATACCCCAGACTACACAGTACGCACCAATTGTCCGCCGCGCCGCGTGATTTCTGTCCACCAACTGACAACCCTGTAGGACTCCGACACAAACACAAGGGGAAACAGTGTCGCAGGCGACAGCGCGCCCCCTGATGGCAGAAAGCGACGCGCCGAAGAGATGAACATGCGCAAATCCATGTACGGAAAGAAAGCTGAGGGCCTGAGGGCATCAATGGTACGCAGCATTAAACGGCCCATCGCGTCCCAAGGGGGCCCTGACTGACTCGGGAACATTGTAGGAAGACGACACCATTCGCCGCTTTCGATATCTCCTTGGTCTCACCGACCTGTTCCGCCACTTCATCGACACAAATCCCAACCCGCGTATCAAGGAGATTCTCGCCGAGATCGACCGGCAGGACACCGAAGAGAGCAGCAAGTCAAAGGCCAACAAGATTCGCAAAGGCGGCGCTGCTGCCGAGCGTCGACGCAAGACTGAGCAGGAAGAAGACGCCGAGTTAGTGCGCGAGGAAAAGCATGGTGGCCACAACGAGACAGTTTTCCGCGAGTCGCCAGGCTACATTCAGGGCGGTACAATGCGCGACTACCAGATCGCTGGTCTCAACTGGCTGATTTCGTTGCACGAAAATGGTATTTCAGGTATCCTGGCTGACGAGATGGGTTTGGGAAAGACACTACAGACCATTTCCTTCGTCGGCTACCTCCGCTATATCGCCGGCATCACTGGACCCCACCTGGTCGCAGTGCCCAAATCAACCCTGGACAACTGGAAGCGCGAGTTTGCCAAATGGTGCCCCGAAATCAACATCTTGGTGCTACAGGGTAGCAAGGATGATCGTGCCGAACTCATTAAAGACCGCCTTGTCCCTGATGGCTTTGACGTGTGTATCACATCCTACGAAATGATCTTGCGCGAGAAGTCGCACTTGAAAAAGTTTGCGTGGGAGTACATCATCATCGATGAGGCACATCGTATCAAGAATGAGGAGTCGTCACTGGCACAGATGGTTCGCATGTTCAACTCGCGAAGCCGGCTGCTTATTACCGGTACCCCTCTTCAGAACAACCTCCACGAACTTTGGGCTTTGCTCAATTTCCTTCTCCCAGATGTATTTGGTGACTCAGCTGCCTTTGACGACTGGTTTTCACAGCAGAATGAGGACTCCGATGCAGTCGTCCAACAGCTACACAAGGTTCTTCGACCCTTTTTGCTCCGCCGTGTCAAGGCCGATGTCGAAAAGTCACTGCTGCCTAAGAAGGAAATTAATCTCTACGTGGGCATGTCGGACATGCAGGTCCAGTGGTACAAGAAGATTCTTGAAAAGGACATTGATGCAGTCAATGGTGGTGCTGGAAACAAGGAGTCTAAGACCCGCCTTCTCAACATTGTCATGCAGCTGCGAAAGTGCTGCAACCACCCTTACCTCTTCGAAGGCGCCGAGCCCGGTCCACCATACACTACCGACGAGCATCTGGTGACCAACTCAGCCAAGATGGTAATGCTTGACAAACTGCTCAAGCGTATGAAGGCTCAAGGCAGCCGTGTACTCATCTTCTCCCAGATGAGTCGTGTGTTGGATATCATGGAAGATTACTCCGTCATGCGCGATTACAAGTACTGCCGTATCGATGGTTCGACCGCACACGAGGACCGTATCCAAGCGATTGACGACTACAACAAGGAAGGCTCTGACAAGTTCCTGTTCCTCCTGACAACGCGCGCTGGTGGCTTGGGTATCAACTTGACTTCTGCCGACATCGTCGTTCTCTTTGATAGCGACTGGAACCCACAGGCCGATCTTCAAGCCATGGACCGCGCTCACCGTATCGGCCAGACCAAGCAGGTATATGTGTTCCGATTCGTTACTGAGATGGCCATTGAAGAAAAGGTGCTCGAGCGCGCGGCACAAAAACTACGTCTGGACCAACTAGTCATTCAGCAGGGTCGCACCCAACAGCCTGTGAAGAATGCAGCATCCAAAGACGAGCTCTTGACCATGATCCAGCACGGCGCGGAGGCAGTGTTCCAGAGCAAGGGCCCTGTTGGATCAGCTGCCAGCGGCGAACTCGGAGATGACGAATTCGATGCCGTCATGCGCCGTGGTGAGGAGATGACTGAGAAGCTGAACAAAAGGTACGAGGCCCTTGGTCTTGATGACCTTCAAAAGTTCACATCCGACTCAACCTACGAATGGAATGGCGAGACATTCCAGCCTCGCAAGAAGGAAATTGGAATCTCCTGGATCAACCCATCAAAGCGTGAGCGCAAGGAACAGAACTACGGTATTGATTCGTACTACCGAAAAGCTCTTGTCACTGGCGGCCGAACAGAGAATAAGCAACCCAGGATACCTCGCGCACCAAAGCAGATTGTCATTCACGACTACCAGTTCTTCCCAGACCGCCTTGCGGAACTCCAAGACAAGGAAACAGCATGGTATCGGAAGGAGAACAATCTCAAGGCACCCCTTCCGGAGGGTTCCGACGAGGACCTCGAGGTTCGCGAGGCTGACCAACAGCTTGCACAACAAGAGATTGACAACGCCGAGCCATTGACCGAAGAGGAAAAGGCGGAGAAAGAGCGACTGATTGAAAAGGGTTTCCCCGAGTGGAATAAGCGTGACTTCCAGCAGTTTCTCAACGGCAGTGCCAAGTATGGCCGTCAGAATTACGAGGGTATCTCAGAAGAAGTCGACGGCAAGACTGCCGAGGAAATTGAAGCATACGCCAAGGTATTCTGGAAAAAGTACAAAACGCTAGACAACTGGCAAAAGCACTTGGGTGTGATTGAGGAGGGCGAGCAACGCGTACGACAATCAGAAGAGAAGAAGCGGTTGATCGCAAAGAAGGTTGGCATGTACCGCATGCCCCTCCAGCAGATGCAGATCAAGTACACAGTATCGACGACGAACAAGAAGGTGTACACGGAAGACGAAGACAAGTTCCTTGTAGTCATGCTGCACAAGCATGGTGTTGAGGGCGACTTTATCTACGAGAAGATCCGCGACGAGATCCGGGAGTCGCCATTGTTCCGCTTCGACTGGTTTTTCCTGAGTCGCACGCCACAGGAGATTGGTCGTCGTTGTACTACGCTGATCTCAGCCATTGTGCGCGAGCTCGGTGACGGGGATGCCAAGAACAAGAATGGCAAGCGGGGATACGAGGAGGAGGAGACAGAGGAAGAGGAGGAAGAGCAACCAAAGAAGAAGACCAAGAACGGCGTCAAGGTACGTTGGGATGACAGGTAGTCTACTTGTCCCAATAGCACTGCTAACATGGAACAGAATAAGCAACTGGATACTGTAAAGAGCAAGGCTTCTCCCGCCTCGGCAACGCCGTCTCGAGCAAGCAGTGTAGCAACGAATGGATCGGCAACCAAGGGATCAGCAACCAAAGGAAAGGGCAAGGGCAAGGGCAAGGGCAAGAAGAAATAAGGCAACGCAAGGGCTCGGTATGGGAAGCGGGCATGATATGGTGTTTTTGGCGCATGTGCAGCCGGATTACAGCGGATGTTTTTATTTTACTTCACCATACTCGGTATGGTCAGCAGGTGGCATGTTGAGTTTACTAGATGTTGCAAGGTGACGTCTGGTGTTGTGCACTTGGCATTCTGCATGTGTAATAGTATCGAGAGAATAGTAAGAGGTTTGCAAGGACAAGGTCTTCACGTGAAGGGATATGTGATTGGCGTGTCGGAGAGCGTAGCGAAGCGCACGAGGGCGGCGGCGGCTGCGGGGTGACGCACCTTGTCACGGTGACTTGGTTCTCTTAGCTTTTGAGCTTTTGGGCATAACCAACAACAACATCGACATTTGCACTGCTTTGACGCTGCTGCTGGTAGTCCATGTAAGTACTATGTGTGTTGTGCAGTGCTTCGAGAACATTCTGTTGTATCCCGGTCTTTTGCTGAGTGGCATCGACCGCCTTCGCAGCAGACTCCCACTCCACTTCACCTCACGTCAGACCACACCACCACACCATCTACGCCCCTCGATCCCATATCTTAGCGCGCCCGCTTGACTTATATCGCGACCATGGCCTCGACCGCCCTCATTGATGCTGACATGGCGCCAACACTCCAGTCCATCCTTGACCAGAAAACACTCCGGTGGATATTCGTTGGCGGAAAAGGTGGTGTAGGCAAGACGACGACATCGTGTTCACTCGCCATCCAGCTCGCAAAGCACCGCAGATCAGTCCTCCTCATCTCCACGGACCCCGCCCACAATTTATCGGATGCCTTCAACCAAAAGTTTGGCAAGGACGCGCGACTCATCAATGGCTTTGACAACCTCAGCGCTATGGAGATTGATCCCAACGGCAGTATACAGGATTTGTTGGCAAATGGAGCAGAAGAGGGTCAGGATCCTATGGCTGGCCTGGGCGGAATGGGCAGCATGATGCAGGACCTAGCATTCAGCGTATGTGCACCATACCAAGCCCTCAAGCCGCAGTCAAGTAAAACGAGATAGGGATACTGATTGCTACGGACAGATACCTGGTGTAGACGAAGCCATGTCATTTGCCGAAGTGTTGAAGCAGGTCAAGTCCATGTCGTACGAAGTCATCATCTTCGACACGGCACCCACCGGACACACGCTCCGCTTCCTCCAGTTCCCCACTGTCATGGAGAAGGCCCTCTCCAAGGTCTCGCAGCTCTCCCGCCAGTTTGGACCCATGCTCAATTCCTTCCTTGGCTCGTCTGGTAGACTACCAAACGGACAGAACATGGATGAGCTGATTCAAAAAATGGAGGCGTTACGTGAGACGATAGGCGAAGTCAACGGCCAATTCAAGGACGCCGATCTTACAACATTTGTCTGTGTCTGCATTCCCGAGTTCCTTAGTCTGTACGAGACGGAGCGCATGATTCAAGAACTCAACAGCTACGAGATCGATACACACTCGATTGTCGTCAACCAGCTGCTGTTCCCCAAGCAAAGCAACCCCTGCGAGCAATGCAACGCGCGACGGAAAATGCAGAAGAAGTATCTTGACCAGATCGAAGAACTGTATGATGAGTTCAACGTGGTCAAGATGCCGTTATTGGTTGAGGAAGTGCGAGGTAAAGAAAAACTTGAGAAGTGGGTATTTACGCACCGACTTGAGAACTGTCATACTAAACGAGATTCCAGATTCAGCGAAATGCTCGTGAACCCCTTCGTACCTCCGCAGTAACTCCGCGCATCCAACGGCACAAAGGGCCGCATGCACGCAACCGAGGGCATTTTTGCGACGCTCAGGCACAAAAGAGCGGTGGTTTTTCGTTTTTGCCGACGACTTGCCGTCTCCACCCTACGGTAATTTGCACTAGTATTCAGGTTTTTTTCCACGTTGACCGTTTTCCCCCACACTTCACGACTCGAGGGGGACGGAGAATGGTACTCTTAGCGACTAGCTTCGATCTATGGCGGCAGTAGATACATGAATCGAAATCGCTACTACCAAGACGATTACCAACTGTTTCCACTTTGTTGTACATGTCCGTTGACAGCTGACTCCGGGTACCTTACGCCTTATCGCAGCAATGTAGCATGTTCCTGTTGTGGATGCATGAGCCACAGTTTGTCAGGCGTCGCTGGATACCCCGCGAAAGTCCCGAAACACTAACTGCAACAAGAAGTGACACCGAACGTCTTCTAGTCCAGCCTACACCAACCCGGCAACCTCTTATGCCTATTAGTCCACGCTTCGGACTGTTTTGATTGTGGTGGTGCCGAGACCTTTGGCTATTATCAGCGTATTGTCCACTTGCGCCCGCTACGTCACCACTATTTACCCCGCATCGTCCATGTTTGGGAAAATGGGAAAACGCAAGTGAACTTGTCGTGGCCCCCAATACAGATAGCCTGTTTGCTCAGCCACAATGTTTTCATGCATACACAGCAAACTGAGTGTGAAACACCATGCGAGGCAGAACCCAGCCTTGTCTGGCTATAACGCTTCGTCGAGAGGGTTTTTCTTTTGCTCTGCGTTTCAGAAAAGAACAATTCTTCCGGCTCTTCACTCTGCGAACTCGCAAACCTGGGTACGGCCTAGGTCGAACTTTGTCCGCGAAAGCTGATTCTTGACCCGTTGACTTATTGGACACTTGGATTTTTGGGAACAGATAGTAGTCCAAAACTGTCGTTCACGCCGCGAGCTACACAACGCCCATATCCGTGCATGCGTTCGGCGTGTTGTACCATGCATACAATATTCGCGTGCATGAAAAAACCACCAGTGATGTGTCGAGACATGTCGCTGGCTCTAGACTCGATGTCGTTGGGTGGAGCTTGGATAGGGCCTCGGAACCCGAATCTTACCAGTGTTCTACCAGAACTTGAGCTTGCATACGATGGCCTTCCGTTTTAGTACAAAGACTGTCACGGGGCTGAGTATGGCACTAACATGGTGGCCCCTGGCGTACCTGGCACGAGGTTCTCCAGCGCCTACCCAGCAACGGCGAAACATCTAAACTTAGTAAAGTCTGCCCGTCTGTATCCCTGATAGGGCACTACTCGACCCCAGCTCGCGTGGTGTGTTCTTGACAGATGCCGATCACTGACCGGGGTTGTACACCATCACGGCTATCCACTTGCCGTCAGTACCACTTAACAGAATGGCTCTGAGTGACTCGAGGCCTCGTATATAGAATGCATGCGTTCTTACTGTTTGGATGATCCAGGCGTTGCGCACAGTTTTCTCCTCGTCCCAGTCTCTTGATCCGCTCAAGTTACGTTGCGTTGCTGCTTGCTGTCCAGCCAATTGATCGTCTTTGCAATAAGATCACGTAAAAGCATACACAGCCTTTCACAATGCTCGGAATAGCTACCCTCCTGCTCAGTGCGGTTTACTCCGTTACTGCTGCACCAGTCGAGATTGAGAAGAGAGGTATGTATACCTGATGCACAGTAACTGAGACTTCAACTGACTCTCCTCAGCTGTATCGGCAAACGTTCTGGATCAGCTCCAATTCTTCTCCCAGTACTCAGCTGCCGCATACTGCCTCGGAAACAACAACAGCCCAAACACCAAGGTCACCTGTCCTCAGGGTAACTGCGCTCGCGTCGAGGCAGCAAACACCAACACTCTCACCGAGTTTGAGAACAGCATCAAGTCAGATGTTACCGGCTTTGTTGCAACTGACACGACCAACAAACTCATTGTTCTGTCCTTCCGAGGATCAAGAAGTGTACGCAACTGGCTCACCAACGTCCAGTTCCCTGTAATCAATACCTCGATCTGCACTACATGCGCGTCATCCATTGGCTTCTGGCAGAGCTGGCTGGAGGCACAGACCAATGTAGTTGCTGCCATCAACAAGGCAAAGCAGCAATACCCAACCTTTAAAGTGGTTGCAACCGGCCACTCACTGGGTGGTGCGCTTGCAAGCCTGGGCGCTGGAGTGCTCCGCTCCCAGGGCATTGCAGTCGATCTTTACACCTATGGCGCCCCCAAGATCGGTCTCGAGGCCGTTAGCAATTACATCAGCCAGACGAACATGGGCGCAAACTACCGTGTCACCCACAAGAGCGATCCTGTTCCAAAGCTCCCTCCTGCGGCCCTGGGCTACCGCCATATCTCGCCCGAGTACTACATTACCACCGGAAACGACGTACAGCCTGGCACCGGAGACATTAACGTGCTCACTGGCACTTTGAACCTAAAAGGAAACGAGGGAGACTTTGGACTAGACGTTAACTCACACTTGTGGTACTTTGGACCCATCAGCGCGTGCGAGGGATACCCCGGCATCGAAATTAAGCAGTAGTCATTATGTATCATTGGAGTAAAAGAAAGAAAAAAATAAACGAATAACGACATCAAAAAAATGTAAATACATGTTCTATTAGTTTACTACATCTTCATGCCTGCCACTTTCCCCTTCTCCGGCTCCCCTTCATCATTCTGATACAGCCGATTCACCTGGACTTCACGCAGCCACAACCGAAACGACTTATCCAGCGTCTTCCCATTCATAACCGCACAATCCTTGATCTCCTCCGACGAAAGATACTGCACCGCCTCGGCATCACCCCCCGCAATCGCAATTGCGCGCTGCAACAACACACAGTTTTTCTGCGTATAAATCGCGCGATACACAGCTTCTTCGATGCTGATCCCAAACGTCGTAAAACCATGTTTATGCTGCAGCACCACCGGACTCTCCATGCGCAGCTGTGCGGCGAGTGCTTCTCCTAACTCCGCATTCTTAATTAGTAAGTCGCGCTCTGTCGGCGCCCGCGACGTGCCGTACAGTCGGTCCATGGTAAATACGGATGCCCCGCCCTGCCCTAGGAACCCAGCCATGTGGAACACGGGACGCACAGGGTGCGGATGCGCAGCACCGTGAGCAATGGTAAACGGGATTACGTCTTCAGAGTGCGAGTGCACGACGCAATTGGCTTTTGGGAATTTCCGGAGGATCTCGCCGTGGATGAAGCGCTCGCTGTAGCCTTGGGGTGCGTCTTTGTCGACAGGGGACGAGTCCCGGACCCAGTAGGAATTGAAGTCGCTGACGTTTTTGACGAGGGCGGGGGCACCAGGGTCGTAGGCGGCGAGGATGTATTGGTCTTTGTTTAGGGGGTGGCGGACTGAGATGTGGCCGAAGGCGTCGACGAGGCCATGGTGGTGGAGGATGTGGTTTGCGCGGATGAGGAGGCGCAGTTGCTGTTGGAGGGCGGGTGGGATTGACATTATGGTTGAGCGGTTGGACAGGGGGGTTTCTGTCGGGGGGTTTATCTGGGAGAGCGAGGATTGCGTGGAGTAGACTGAGGACGAGGAGGATGCTATTGATGTGGTTGATGTTGATGCTGCTTGCGAGACTGTTCGGAATCGGGATGATGGCCGTCCTCGCGGTACGCTTAGCTCTCGCGGTTTATCTCGCGGCCGGTATAACTCCACAGAAGGTAGAAGTTGATATGACAATTTTCGGTGGTGGGCCGGGATTGAGGGCACTTGTGGAAGGGGTGTTTGCGGAGGTGGGGATGAATGTGCTCGCAGTGGAGTGGGATTTAGGCGAAACTCTGGCCTCTCCAGTTCTTGACTGCGTTCCCGGATTCTCTGACGCTGCGGAGACTTAGGAGGTATCGTCGGTGGTTGGAATTTCGATCGGACAGGTGAATGCGGCTCAGCGACCGGGGGCAATCGATGCTTGTCAGCGCTGCAGCGTTGGCAAAGTACCATGTGTCCATCCAGCACTTGTTTCCGGTGCGGTTGACCCGACACAGACTGCGGATGGCCTTCAACTTAAGGCACCTTTTAGCAAATGTTTCATGGCTGAGGTGGAAATAGAAACGTTTGAAACGGCAGACGCTGATCTCGAGCCTAAGATGTTCTTTTGCAACCCTGCGGCGTCAATGTTGGAGTGCAACACCAGCAAGACAAAGTGATGATCAAGCATGGCCTTAGGGATTTTCCCATCATCAAAACGTGGAATACCGCGTGCGTATCGTGGCATGCTGGCTGATGACGTGCGCGAGGTGTTGCGAGTGGGGACCAGCGACGGGCCATTGGATCCATCTGAGGGGACCCGAGGGTTACCCGCATTAGCCCTCCCGTTAGGCTTCCGACGCTGCATTCCCCCACCCTCTTCCACACCCCAAGCCCCCGAGAATCCTTCAACCGGGTCAACTCCCTGATTGGGAGGCATTGTTATGCCAGCCGTCAAAGCCATTATACAGGCGTTACGCCCTTTGCGCCCGCAGATAGTATCCAATCTATCCCGCGGCACGCTTGTTTACCCGTCCTGATAATGGCGGCTCGATATCTTCTTGCTGGTATTACAGCAGCGGGATTGGCCTTTTGGTACGACTTCAAGAGCTGGCAGAGTTTCGGTGACGGTATCTCGCTCCACGCAAAGGTTGGTAACTGACAGCTGACAGGCACCGGCGGCACGCCACCAACACTGCAAGGCTATCTCAAGATTCGGCGATGGGGACTCTATCTGCTCTACTCGCGACAAAATCTTCTGGATCCATCGCCAATTCCTGATTCGGGGGAATCATACATCAATCCGGAAAAGGTCCCAAACAGACCAGGACCCCGGCCAGGACTTACGCGCTGGACGCTTCCTCAGCGCCAAGTCCCGGAGAACATCACAGCAGGTGCATCCGCTACACTTCACAATCTGATGCAAGAATTCGCCAGTACTGCACCTTACAATGAATACATTGAGACCCGACCAAGCAAAACGGAGGGTGGTACTGGCCCTGCTATTTATGTAAAAGAAGGCGTCAAGACCATCAATCCTGTCGCACACAAGATCTTCTATGAAGTCGCCCATGTTCACCCTGCAGAAAACTCGCTACACGTATATGTTAGTCCTCAAGATGCGAAGCTGGTCATGAACCGAGGCTGGGGCCAGCGTTTCCCTGTGACATGGATAGCACCGCCGAGCTGGATCATGGTGTACGCACCGAGAAACGAGGATGAGGTTGAGATTGTGCGAGAAATTGTTAGAGCCGCTATATGCCACGCCGTGAGCATGAATATCGACGAGTAAATGGAATGAATAGCGTGCTGGCTTTTTTTTAATTGTCTTAGGTATATCAAAATTGTTTTTCGACTCATACAAAAATAGTTCGAAGAGACTGTAGTCAAAACGTGCTACGATTCTAAAACAAACTCAGCCCTGTAACTACCAAACATCCGCAAGTATAGCATCCAGATACTAATATTCTCCGATGGTGCTATGTCCGGCATGCGGCAATGACGAAGTGGAGAACCGGTCGATTGGCGCCCCTCGAACGCCGCTCCCGCTCCGTTGCATCAACATACTACACTAGTACTAGCATAGGGATCCGGCTCCAACGCCATGGTCCGCTATATATAAGAAACCAGAGCTATGCAGACATTTCATGTCGCATAACTTTGTGGTAACAAGTTTCCAAAATAGCACCCCTCATCCTGTCATACTGTATCCTCAAGTGCAGCCTCCCAGTTTACACGAGTAAGTCCCTGTGCGTCGCTTGATGCCAGGTGCAATGGGTAGCATCGACTCAGCGATGAAAGTGATCATCATCGGAGCAGGTACAGGACCACTATGATATTACCGTCGAACCTCTGCTTACATGGTTCAAGGGCCGGCTGGATGTGCACTTGCGCATGGTCTGAAAAAAGCTGGAGTACCATTTAGGATATACGACAAGGGCGCGGATGTTTACCGACACCGTCATTGGGCATTTACCCTTGGCTGGGCACGACCTTATCTATTCGACCTCATACCCGATGACCTTAGCACGCAGATCAACTCGTGTCAAGTGGATCCTTACGTGGACTGCGCAGCGATAGGAGAAGATCGTATTGTGATTTACAATGGTCAGACCCGGGAAGAAGCGTTTGCGTTCCCGATTCCCAAAGCGAGAGAGATCAACATCCGGAAGTTGCGCGTTTTGCTGGCGGAACGGCTCAATGTCCAGTATGGGAAAAGTTTCTCACACTATGAGCTAAAAGAGCAGGGTGGTGTCAAAGTCTACTTTGAAGATGGATCAACGGACGAAGGCGACTTGCTCGTTGGCATCGATGGTGCCATGTCCAAAGTCCGCCGTTGTCTGCTTCCCAAAGAGGGAAACATGGAGACGCTCCCGTTTGCACTGATGAACTTCAATGCTTCCTACACAGCCGAGCAAGCACATTTTATCAAAGAGCGTCTCCATCCTCTTGTAGATATTGCCATACACCCGGCTGGCCATTACATTCGTGCCAACGTGCTCGATATGCCTGATGAAAAAGATGCCAGTACTTGGACATTCCAGATTCTCTCTACCTGGCCGCTCAAATACGTTGAAGACCACGACAATGAAGATGATCGACTGCAAAGACTGAAAGCGCATATCAAAAGAGATGGCTGGGCCGAACCATACAAGAGCGCTATCGAGTGGATACCTGACGACACCAACGTACTACGTGATCAGCTCAAGATCTGGAAAACCTTCCCCTGGAACAACCAAGGCGGGCGAGTAACACTATGTGGCGACGCAGCACACGCCATGACATTCCATCGCGGTCAAGGCGCCAACAACGCTTTTTACTCTGCCCACTGTCTTGTCGAAGCTATCAAGAGCGTGCAGCCTGGTAGCGCGACATTACAGGATGCGATTACGGCGTATGATGAGAGTATATGGAAGCGGGGGGCAAATGAGGTGCAGATTTCCAAAGCGCAGAGCTTCTTTACGCATGATGGGTTGGATAATTTTATTAATAGTCCTGTTATGAAGTTGGGAACGAAGCCGAGTCATAATGCGAAGAGTGAGGGTTACGAATAGATGAGGTGAGCGATTGGAAGAAGCTACCTGCCCCATCTTCGGAGGGTAGCAATGTCAGCTTTCAGTGATGCAAATAATAAATTTTACTTTTTCGAATGTTTGGCAGTCGACAGGGTACGCATTATCCGGAAGAGACAGGAATTCTTTCTTCACGTGCATATCATCAGAAGCAATATATATTTCTGCAAATTGCCCATCATATTTGTCACGACTCAAGCGAATTGGTCAACTGAAATACGGGGCTTCAAGAATAAACTTGGCATTCAAGAGAAACACAATCCTAGCTCAAAAGATCCTTGAGCTCGATTGAAAATTACTGTCAATAAAAATAAGCATCCTTTCGTCAACGTTAATTGGTTTAAGTTGCGATGAAGTTTAAGTCTGACCAAGAGCTAGTCTCCAATGCCATCATATCTGAGAAAATTGGAGACATACGAATGTTATTGAAAAAGAAACTGGGAAGAACAGGGATCTAACATCATTCCACGCATATACTAACACTTATCTCTCTCCCACCCGGCACTGCTAAGTGTAAGCTGAAGCTATGTAATAATATTAAGTTTTGGAGCTGGGTAGAGCAGCTTTGTTCACACATGTATGCCCAATGGGCTGTTTATTACTAGCATTCTGCCCCAGTACAGCAACTAGATTAAGGATGTAACGTCTTCGTTATAGACAAGTTGCGTCTTCTAGTATGTGCCTTGTTCAGCCGTACTAGCCTTTCAGGAACCACACTATCCACTCGAAACACCGTTCACGAGAAGCGAGATACAGTGTCTTTAGTATGGAAAAAGCATTCAGCAGCCCTACGAAACATGATATTGCCTATGCCTATTGGATAGAAGCAGCAGAATCTTGAACACGCCGATCACTTTATCCAAGATATCTCTGATCCGGATTCACCAAACTACTGTAATGAACTCAGCTTTATCAAAAAGAAACCCTCTGATGCGTAGTGTAAGAAAATACTGGACTGCCGAGCAAGTCGCTAATACATTTGCGTCACACCAAGAAGTATTTGAAACCACACTTGAATGGCTCCATGACTTGGGAATAGATAGCGAACGGATCAAACATTCCGCTGGTGAGTTATGGATATCCAAGAGAGTATCTATACGTCATCAGATTGTGCAGAACTCAACTGGTTGGAGTTTTCTGCCACTGTAGCACAACTAGAAAAGCTTATAGAAACCCGATACTTCAACTACCAACACAAAAAGTCTGGCGACTTTCGCGTCGCATGCGACGGATAGAGTCTTTCACAGCATATACGCAAACACGTCGACTTCATCATGCCTACGATTTAACTTGATGGATTGCAACCGATTGCGCAGGTCCATATGTCGGATTTGGAGATACCCAGCTACTTGGAGCCAGATGATCTCACAAACTGCACGAATCTTATGACAATCAACTGCTTACGCGCCCTTTATGGCTTCCCGGCTTGTAAGTTCTCTAGTCCAGGGAACAATTCAGGGATACTAGAGTCGACAGGAAATCTCTCCTTCGCAGATCTGGATGAGTTCTGAAGCCGAGATGGATGTTCAGGCGGCTTGTTCGATTATCTGGCTCTATCAGATACGCGTGTATCAAGTCTATTCAAAGGAGAGCATAGATGCCACTGGCCCGTTCAATATCTTCCTGGACACTCTGGTAGGCTCCAACTCTCAATTCGCTTCATGGATCGCTGCGTTGGCCAGGACAGCTCGTACTGTACGTAACTTGGTGCTGATGAACCTGGGCTGCTGCAGTGCGGTGGAGTACCGCTGAGCAACGTCATTTCACCCTCTTGCGGCCAAGTTGAAGGCGATGGCCCTAAATCATACCAGGAAAGACAATGTCAAGAGTGGATTAAGTTGGCATTACAGGGTGTTAGTGTCCTGATTGCATCAGGAGACTCCGGAGTTGCAAATATGGTTGATGGAAACAACCAATGTCTCGATGCCAGTGGCAAAGTGATAGCAGCGGGAATGGCAAGCGTTTCTCTCCCGGATTTCCCTCAAACTGTCCCTATGTAAGTCTCTTGATAATTTGAAACCGACATACCTCCTTGGCATGTCTTAACGACGACCAGGTCACGGTTGTCGGCGCAACAACACTACGCGATGGAACCATAGCCAGCGGAGAAATGGCAGTCACAGGTATCATTGGCAGCTGATCATTATACTCTGGCAGCGGCTTCTCAAACCTTTTCTCCCGCCCAGACTGGCAAGCCACGGCAGTCTCCATATACCTAAAAGAGTACTCACCCAGGTACGACAGTTTAATCTTCAGTTCCTCCCGATGCACATAACCAGACGTCTCGGCAATAGGCCTTCACATACCAGTCGTATATGGCAACCTGACCCGGCGCGGGGGAGGCACGTCGGTGGCAACCCCCATTTTCGCCAGCATCATCAATCTGCTCAACGAAGAAAAGTCAGCAGCTGGTAATAGGCCAATTGATACTCAAACCCGGTTCTGTACAAGCACCCGGAAATTTTCAATGATGCGACGGTTGGTAGTAACCCGGGGTGTGGGACTAAGGGGTTTGCGGCGAGCTTTGGGTGGGATCTGGTTACGGGGCTGGGGACGCCGAGGTATCAGAAGATGAGGGAAGTGTTTTTGTCACTTGTATGAAAACAGGGAATAATGGGATGTGAGATGTAGAGAATTATAGGGATGGATGTAATTGCGGACTAGCAAGATGAGCGGTTACAATTAGAAGCGTTAAATCAGGCATTGCTAAATCTATTACTTCCTCTTTCGCTGGCTGAGGTTAGTGTTATACGTGTGCTAATTTTCTGAATCTACAGAACTACGAATTGTATCTCTAAAAACAACTCTCCCAGCAGCGTCTTTGCGGGCCATTCCTTCTGCACTGTAAATTGTTGCCATACTACTTCTTCTCACCCAGTAAAAGCCCCGGAATATACCAAGATATCAACTGACTGAGAGACGAGTGTTCATGAAAATCTAACATCATTCCAGCCCATTACGCGTTACCCCCCGAGAAACTTGCATTGCAGGGCTTCTATCCACGTTGCCAACACCTTTCTCTAAGCGACAAAATCCTTCATGTCACCATCCATCTCCTCATTCGCAAAAAACATCAACATACAACGTCAGTCAGTTGATCCCACGTTTCCAGCTCATCGCCACAGCCCATGATGCCCGTCCCACCTAATCCGCACGTAACGCACTCCGCTGACAAGAGCCTCCACGTCAGCACAAAAACACAAAACCATGTTGTGTAACTGTGCCCCGGCTGACCGGCAAATGCCGGGGTTGCCAAGGCAAATCCATTCCTCCGAAGGAAGCTGTGGTTGCACTTTCGATGCCACCAAGATGCGCCAAGGACCGTGGGGGAGGACTCGCCAAGAGAGGAACTTGGCGGAAGTTTGCTGACACATGCTGTGGTTTATTTTTGATACATTTTTTTTGGCAGAGGGTCGTAGGTAGTGAGGAGTAGAGCTGAATCCTACTTCCTATGCCCTTCGTGTTCCTGGTATCGCACTAACAGGGGCCAGAGTGTTCGTGTGAATTAAATATGCTTGATAATGATGTTTGAATATAGGTAAACGATAGTATTTTGAGACCCTTGCATCTGATAGGTTGGACTTTTGCGTGATGCTCAATCTCTATGATACTTCATCGCGATGCAACATAATCTGTAGTGGCAGATCTCGGTCATTCTCTGAGCGCTGGTACGATCAAATTCAAGCAAGGGGTGCTTTGTAGCCAGATCCGTACAAGCATCGCATAACAACCTTGAAGCGCAGTTACGATACAGTAATGTACAACTTCTGTTGGTCTGGGAAGAATAGCTGAAGTGGGAAGACGAAGAGCCAACGAATAAATTCCTAATTCTAAGTGACTACAGAGTAATACCCTTGGTTGCTCACGCCTACCTACACAAATCTCAACGTGAATATTACTCTATGGGACCTTGGGTGGGTTTCTGGTAGTCTATTTGGATGCAAATATTCAGATTTACGTACCACTCCCCTATTGGAGTAGCATTATGTTACCTGCTAGCCATTATGTTTATTTCTATAAAAACAGACTACCCATTTTCATCTCCACATCTTGCCAAATCAATTTACATCTCTCGCCATCACCCCTACAATCCTCAAAGACATTAACCGTAAAGCCCTGTTGCCTATTCATTTTCCCCTTAGAGCCCCCCGACATACCATCGAAAAAGAACTTTGTGCGATCTTGCTCCATTGGATCTCTTACGTTCATGCATCGCAGAAGTAGTTTGTGCAAGGGAAGTGCATAGTTGTAAACAGCATGAATGAACTTTTCAACAGAAACTTGTTCGCCGTCTGTATTTTCAATAAGCAAGGATGCTGGTCGTAGATGCTGTGTTTCTGAATCATGCCAGTGCCGCCATCTATGCAGTGGTTCGATCGATATCTGTAAGCGAGACTGTGGGGGATCCATTGCTGAGGCGTCACATAGCGATTTGTTAGCCTTGTCGAAAAGTGCGCGCCATTTCAAGGCTCCTTCGTCGTCCCGTACGTAGACTTGTGCGTATGACGGATGATCCAGAACAGACCATTTTAATCTATTGAAGATCTTGTTTAGCTCTGGACCTGATGACGGCTGTGTTTCTGGGGGTGGCCAGAACATGAGTAGATGAGGTGGGATATTGGCTGCGTTCCACTTGGGCGGGTACCAGTCCATTTGTGATATATTTGCAGACATGGTTCTTTTTGAGATCTGGTAGATTGGATTTTGGGTACGATGCAGAACCTTGACTTTGTTTGATACCGATAAGCCTCCAGAGTGGAGGGCGAGGCTATCAGGACATAGGCGTCTGGATACGTGTTCGGCGGCAGCGATGCCCTGAAGCGAGGTGCGTCAAGACTAAAACCACGCGGCTCTTCACATAAGACCAGGTACTAATGCTAAATGAAAAAATACTAATCAGAATATTTACATCTCAATATTCTTTGGCTTCGGGAAAGCTTGACAATTCCTAAATTATTAACGCTGCTGTACCAGTAACGTGAGACTGTAATTCTTGGGGCTCAGCAGGAATGATATATATCGCAGAATGAGATGATAGATAACTTGAAAGACTCGATTGGCCCAGCCAATCTCACCAGTCCACTTCATGCGGTATTGCTAGTAATACCTCACATACCAAAGGTGACATCCTCACAGCGACATAACCCCCCCATCAACAAGCATCTGCCTAAAATTCTCCAAACTCTGCTCTATCCCCAACCCATCACTCATCGCCCTGTTCCTACTCGCCCCAATCACAATCTGAAACGTCTTCTCCGCCGTAGGCGTCAAGTAACCCCTACTCCTAATAACCTCAAACTCGCTCTTTATCTTGCCAAAGTTCAGCAGACAAACGTGCAATAGCACTTGGTTGCGCATCACGACGTCAAGGCTCTGTAGACCCTCGAGCGATAGAGTGGGAAGAACGTGTGCGTTTCCGATCTCCCAGCTGCGCGTCCGGAGCTCCATATAGAGTCGCTTGTACATGTTGTTTACGTTCATGTTACAAGAAAGGAGTTGGAGTGCCAGGTCTGTGTCCACTTTGCTGTAGGGCTCGGATGCGCTGCATCCGTAGCGTGGTTCAGCGCTCTCAGAGCCCGAGGAACTGCCTTCTGAAATGTCTCCCGCTTGCCGGATGCGCGCCAGTAGTTCTGTGAATATTATTGAGTGCTGAAAGGTCTTAACCAGCACGCTTTTGCTACTGGTGGTGTGCTGTGAGGCCTCGGTGCTGTCTTGAAGGTCGAGCAACACTCTGTTGTTGAATTTCATTAATTCGCTCATGATGGTTTGATCGAGAGATTCGGAATCCATAGGCATGGAAGAGTCGTGTAGGAATAGATCGCGACACTCTTGCGATGTATGGTTGAAGTGGGTGGCGGCAAGAAGGCTTTGCACGTTTGTGAATGAGTCTGTCATGTCGATTGATGGAGTTGGGTTTTGCAACGTCCTGTTTGCAGGCGAGATAGTGGTCAGTCTTGTATGTGTCGAGTTTCCTTCTTGACTTAGACCCTCGCCTAAATCTCGCCATGAGTGATCTATATCGTATGTTGACCATATATCACAGTCGGATGTTGTGTCTGCTACCATGGGGTATGATGGGGGAACATCGGCGGTGAATTGCCCTCGACTCTGTTCGGCTGATGTATTTGAATGCTGCCCGACTGCTTCTTGAGCAACTTCAGAACCTTGATAGCTGCTGCTCGATGCATAAGAAGGGGTCCTGAACTGTTTCCAGTGCCTGTGGGTTGGTTCGTCTGACGGTCTGTTTAGATGTTGCTGACCCTCCATGGTCGTGATGCACTTCACTCGTGCTTGCCAGCATCGACGACACTGTTGCAGTTGAACAAGATCCCAGTTGCTGCCACGATCGCAGCGTGTCTTCATCCTTCTACATCGGTCGCATGCTGATCGTCGACTAATCTCCTTCAAGCGTAGTTCGTTGTCGACATCCGCGTACTGGTCCTGGTCTTGCATATTGAAGATCCTGGAATTGTTTCGAGCGTTGTGTAATGACTTTTTTGTGTCACTGTATTGCAAAGGATCACAAAAACTGGCGTGAAAGTTTATTTACATAACAGGTAGACTGAGCAAAGAGAAGGCCTTACGTGACCCCCCCTTTCCAGCTTTGCCAAAACCCGCCTATAATGTCTCCTGGACATTGTAACAGATTACTTGCATGCCAATCTCGATTGCCATAACTACCAACCGCCGATACACATCAATATGTCAGAATGACGAGCTTTGAGGCCATTATGAGAGGGATTTCAAAGGATTATTCACCGGCATCCCTCATGTGCATTTGATCAGGCGTCAGCCGCTGGTGGCCTATTTGATCCTACCTATGGGACGGCACAGTCAGATCCGTTTAAGATTCAAGAGCCTAGGCAGTCTTATTACCATGTAGAGGATGGAAAACGAATCCGACAGTGTCGTTGATTCGGAATATGCTTATAGAAAATTAAGAATCAGAGTTCCCATGCCATCCTTGAGCAAATCTTGTTCACAGCATCTTCTTAATCAGTTTCTAAATGTGTGCATGTCCGAACGTTTAATCAGAGCCGCGGACGCACGTGTCTGTAATTATCAGTGGCTAGCCGGGGGCGGGCATACCTACCCTTGTCGATCCATGGGGTTGCCGGGGGAAGTGGATCCCGGGCCCGAAAACGGACCCTAAAAACGGACCCACCCACACCAATGCAAGCCATGCAGTGGCTAAAATGCATATGCTGCATTCGACGGCAGTCTCGGGCTCCAGACAGCATGCTGACGGGTGCTATCACTGCCCTGAAGATTGTCGGTGCAGGTGTGGTGTAGCAGGGGTCTGACGAAGACAGCTGAGATCTGTCAGCCACGGACTGAGATCCAATCCCGACCAGTTGAACGCGTATCCGAAGAGGCTTATCCAGAGGATCTTCATGTCACTCGAATCTTTTTGGGTAATAGAGGTCTAGGTTTTGTGGCCGCGGAAGGAGATGCGCGATGAAATTTCGCCTTGTTGACATTTAGATTTTATCGAATAGATTAATAAGACTAAAACGACGAATACATAGGACTGCAGATCACATATGTGTAACTACAACGCAAAGTTGCCGAGCTGGCAAATTATCATATCAAGTCATAGGGAGAACATGTAAGTGGAATGTTCATTCCTGATGGTTTTCGATGGTTTTACTTCTCTTACTCCCCACGATTGCGGATGCAGTAAACTTGATCTAACATCAACATACTTATAGCCAACCAAGGTGGTCGAGTACAAAGTTAGTCCCACTAAAGAGGGCAGTCACGCCAGAGTAGACGAGAAGCGCGCCGTATCCACTTCCATAGCCTGCTGAAGCCTGTCCACGCCAAGGCTCGCCCTCTACAAGCGCTTCGCTCAAGGGTCCCGAGACGATATTTCCGATACCTCTGGCGAGCAACAGGTAGCCCATAACCACCACTGGGTCGGCCGAGCTGTGGCCCGCACTCTCGCCCTTCTTGGCAACATCTCTCATGATTCCTGGATAGACAGAAGTCCAGCTCCCTGCGAATAGGCCGTAGAAGATGCAGAACACGTAAAGAACGGGTAAAGATGTGGCGAGCCCCCAGATAACAAAAACGGACACAGTGGTGCCCAGAGCCGAGATGACAATGCATGTCGTAACTCTGAGTTTATCCGTCATCCAACCCATGATGACGCAACCGATTGTGGCAGATATATTGACCAGCATGATGGTCAATGTTGATAAAAAGTCGGACGCACCAAAGACTCTGCGGGCATAGGTGGGGAGGTAGATGCCAGGTAGGAAATAGCCGGTAGCTTGTACGAAGTTGAATAGTTGATGAAGGGCAAATAGCTTCGACATGAGGTGGCGCACATTGAACGGTGATATATGTGTGGTTGCAGAATTTGGTAGCCTGGGCTTGATGAAGAAGGACAAGGGCAGTGTGGCAGCAAAGAAGATACCAGCCCAGATTCTCGTAGCTGTCTCGAACCCGAGGTTGTTGAGAAGTACTTGGAGAACCAGGGGAAGCACAACACCTCCAGTGCCTGCGGCGCTCCACATGACGCCGTAAGCCATGCCTTTGCGTTTGGCGAACCATTCGTCGATATAGACGACGCAAGGACAGTAAGCGAAGCAGCCGCCGATTCCAAACATGAGGCCCTGAGTTCCGATGAGCTGAGGAACCGTAGTGCAAAAGGAGCTCATTGCCATGGATAAAGTGGAGGTGAAGAGACCCAGAAGTGTAAACCAGCGGGCCCAGCGGGGCAACAGGCGGCAAAGCATAAGAACAAAAGGTGTTCCCATGTAGAGGGTTCCCTGTGGTATTGGTGAGTTTTCCATACCAGAAGATGCATGCCTGGAAACTCGCTTACCAGAGTGGTGGTACCAATGACTGCAATGTCACCTGAACCCGCAAATGGCTCATGGGTGGTATAGAAATCCTGGAACACACCAAAGGAGAACCCGAATCCTATTTACGACTGTGTAAGTCTGGGGACTAGATGAAAGCATGCAGAGTAACCACTCACCAAACACAAAAGCCTCGACAGCCCAGCAGGCGGCTAAGAACAGCCAGGCTGCCTTTCCGCTGTCGACTGGTGGAAGCGTGCTTTCATCATGAGTAGTCTGAGGATGAGACTCTGTGTTGTCTGCATCCTGTGAATGGCGGCTAGAGTCGAGGGTGTCGAGCTCGACCGCTGCTGGAGCCATGTCAAGGAGTGGTTTGCGAGGGGAATGGTGATAACCGTGAAGCAGGCGACGAGGACATGGCTACTAAGGGCGTGTATGTACTTTAGAGTGGTTGGCGAATGAAGGTTGTTGGAGCAAACGCTATGTTGGGGGCTGCAGACGCGACATGGTGGCTGCTTGGCCGTCATATTGACGTCACGCACCCAACGGGGAGCCATGGGCTGACTGCGCTCCCACGAGTTGATATATTGCCTAATGCGGAAGGTGTTGGTTTCACCATACGACGTGTTTGGCAGTCACCGTCTGATCCCTGTTCGGATGTCCGAGGAGGAGGATTTGTCTGTCTCCGATCGATGATACTGCTGCTTGGCTACGAGGCCCTTGCTTACCTTCACCATCACAATGCATCCTTCCTAACGCTAACAAGGCACAATTGCATGGTTATCCTGGTACGGCGTCTCTATCCCCACCAATCTCCCAACTGTTACACAAGTCTACGCACCAAAACGGACAATGCAGGCACCTCGTGTGCTCCGACATCTACCACAGTGCCGCAATCCCGCATTGGCGCTGCATACTACGCGAACAAAGATGAATTGGCATTGGCACGTTCGTAAATTCCTGCATGGCTGGCTCGCTTCCAATTAAAACCACTGCGCAGTGATGAGTACTATTTCATCGCTGGTCGCCTTACAAGCCGCTCCATATCTCGCCTCGGAAGAGGCTGCATATTTCGCGGAGATGACGAAGGAGTGTCTCATCTAGATCCAGTATAGATCTGACCAAAGTACGAACCGCTTTACAGGGTATCTGACTGGAACTGGTGCACACGGATCGTGTTTTGTATAAACACTGGGCATCTTCGTCAACTAATTATGTAGCTATTCGGCATACGCACCACCATCTTCCTTTTGGATTTACCCTGACCACTAATTTCAACTGGCCATCACTCTAAAAAGAACACGTCACAGCTTAGAGGAACATCAGCAATGCATGGCAAGAAACAGCACCAGGTAGATGCAAAACAAGATAGTTATTCCCAAGAACAAGAAGTTGATTCTTCACAAATACATACAATATCCAAAAATGACTAGTACATGATAGCAGTACGGCGTCGATGGTACTCAAGCGCAGTCATCTCCTCATACTTAGATATAGTACCCTTTGGCACAAAGAGAGGAATCGGCCCAGCAGACGTCTTGCGATTGGCCTTCAGGAAGAATGCCACCGAGTACCGCTCCGGCAACGTCCCGTCTTCCGTCTCACCCGAAGCCGCAACTTGATGCAGCCCAGCGGGGATCCTTCCGTTGCTCCATCGCTCAAGCGTGTCCCCAACATTGATGAGTAACTCCGTCTTATCGACAAGAGGTACAGATACATACCCCCCAGGATTGTTCTTATCCTCAATCTGGAGACCACCCGTACTACCCTGCGCCAACAGAGTCAGGATACCAAAATCAGTATGCGGCCAGATGCGCTTTGATTTTCCATCCGCGAGCTCCTTCACGTTGGTCTCTGGGTAGTAGATCATTCTGATCTCGCTTGCGTGGCCCTCGCAACGATCGACGAGGGCACTCTTGGGCAGATCCAACGCAATCTCGAGAGCTTCCATTAGCTGCAGGGAGAGGTGTTGACTCTTGATGAAGTACTGCTCCATCCAGTTCTTGAACCCCGGAGCTTTTTCCTCGGATGGATACACGTTTGGAAACTCGGGATCATCAACAGGTCCCATGTCGAAGTGCTCCTGCAAAGAGGCTTAGTACATCTTCAAGATTGCTAGCAACAAGAATGCTTACCTTTAGATCCTTTAGACCCTCGTTGTTGACTCTGACCATGTTGATCACTCCCGGCGTATTCAACGTGGCAGTCGTCTCAGCACCGATGCAGCTCCATCCGCGTTGCGGCTTAGGACCAATAACGTTGGCAAACTCTTCTTTGCCTTCCCGGGGAAGTGTGAACAAGTTGCGGCTCTGTGTATCGTCAGTCATGCTTGGAACGAAGTGAAATAGATTTATTGGCGAGACTACCTGTTGGAACAGCTCCGAATTGGTCTTGTCGTCCAAGCCATGGTTGATCAGCTTGACGAAGCCAACTTCAGTAATACCATCTAGGAATGCTTGACAGAATTCTTTGCGTTCTTGGTCAGTACCAGTGAACTTGGTAAAGTCCAGCGTTCGAAGATCCATATTGACCATTTTGGCGGTGATATGTAAAAAGTCCAAGATAGATTGAAGCAATGTTCTGAAGATGAAACGGTGATGAGTGTCTTGTTACTATAGTTCAAATCCAAATGTAATGCATATCTCATTCATTATTTAAACAAATCGTTTCTGGTTGAGAGACAGTTGCACAATCTCAGTCGGTTTCCCATCGACGATTTGTTGCCATCGTCACCCATGATAGTGCTGACCCGGAGTCGGCGGATCCACAAAAGGATTTTACGACCGTGACCCGATCTTGCATCCGTTGTTCCTACGACTGTATCGGCTGCAAGGCGAGATCTCGGAACAGTCGTCGGACTTCCGAACAGGGGTTGTATATACAGTACTCTATCACCATCTCGATCAGTCTTGGCATTGACCAAGCAGGTGGTGATGAGAGGCTCCAAGTCTTGATTGCCAATTCGTCCATTTCCTTCCAATCACATCGCAAAACGTCTACAATGAAAAAGTGTGTGCAAATCCAAGCTTGAGCACGTGCAGCAAATAATTTCCTCGATATGCATGTCTCTGATTGTATTGCCTATCATGAGTAAACTCTAATGCTGGCAGGTGTACAATGTGTACGTTCACGCCTCTTGCAGTTAATGAATCAAAAGCCATTGTCTTGGTTACGAATGTGCGAAAAACAATAGATTCAAAAATAAGCCAATCTAAGCATAACAGTTACTTCACAACTTCCCACTATCCCTAAACACCGTCCTAAAAAACTCACAAAGCCTCACAAACGCCGCTTCACTAATCTGATAATGAAACACAATGCGCCCAAAAATTGGCGCCCCAATTTTAACATCAAACTTCGCCGCCATCCCGTAAAAAACCTCAGGCACCAACCCCGACGCCTCAAGATCAACCCAAATGATATTCGTCTCAGTTGGCAACGCCAGTTTCCCGCCCAGCTGCTCCCACAACCGCGACGCCCGTGCCGCTTTATCCTGTGCAGCCTTTAACTTCCCGCCAAGGAAAACCTGATCGATAGCGACGCGCGCCGGCGCAGCAATTACGCCGGATGAACGCGTACTCCCGCCCAGCAGCTTGCGACTCCACTTCGCTCGCTGAATGAACGGCAAAGTCCCCGTCACAATGCTGCCGATGGGAGCCCCAAGACCTTTGGTAAAGCACATCTGGATGCTATCGAAGCACTCGCCCATATCGCGGAGTGTACAGGCTCCAGCTGCCACTGCTTCCCAAAGACGAGCTCCATCGAGATGCATGTGGATAGGTGGGTTCTGAGCGCGTGCCCAGTGGGAAATAGCACGGATTTCTGCGAGGGGCATGACGGTGCCCCAGAGTGTGTTTTCTAGACTGATGATGCGGGTGGGACAGTCGTACACGGTTGTCGTTACGGTAGCGTGTTTCTTGATGTCGGCGAGGGTGAGGTGGTGGCCGTTTGATGGCACAACTTGTTTGATCATTGCGCCGAAGAGGCTGGAGGCGCCGCCGCCTTCGAGGATGATGATGTGGCCGCGGTGGTCGGCGAGGATGGAGTGCGGTGGAGCGCCTAGGGCGGAGCGGAGGGCGACTTGGTTGCCCATTGTGCCAGAGACTACAAGGAGAGCGGCCTCGTGGCCTACGAGGCCGGCGACGTAGTCTTGGAAGGAATTCGTGGTTTTGTCCTCATCCATGTCTCCATCTCCGAGAGATGTGTTGATGATGGCTTCGAGCATAGGTAGTGTTGGCTTGGTGAAGAAATCGGACCGGAAGTCGTTCGATGCCTCTTTGTTGCATGCCCAAGCCAGATCAGCAAAGGGTGGCTGTAGCTCTCCGGAACGTTCAAAAGTCATTGAATTATCTACGTTGACTTGGCGCTTGAGACTGGTAGGGTCGGGACCGAGTGAGAAGTCCCAGGGTTCTTCTGAGGGAGCAGTCCGCAAACCATTCGGAAACGGAGCAGGGAGCGGAATCTCGGTTGCTACTTGCATGATGAGAGTCTTAGGGGGTATTAGTAGAAGTCTTCCGAGATGAAGTGTTCTAACGAATACGTTGAGGATGGAGAGAGAATAGAAGAGTGGTTTTCGATGATGATGTGTGATGATCAAGAACCACGATATGATAAAGTGAAAGAACTCCTAGCCAAGCCAGACGTCTCGACGAAAAGTCTCGAGTAGGGAAACGTCTAAAAAGTACAACGTTGGTTGCAACAATCTGTGTGTGATCTACTTCCTGCAAAGCCGGAGAAGGAATCAGTACCGACAGCGATATGACATGGGTCAGGTCCGGGGCACCGACCTTGTCATCACCGACTATCGGACACTGGTTCGTATAAGCAGGTCCGGTTTGATGATCATCGATCTACGATCCTGTAACCGACCCGGAGCTAGTCTATGGAGGCACGGCGTAATGGCCTTGCCTGTTCCGGGCATCGGAGTCGGGTCGCATTTGAACTTCACCATTGAGGAAGATGCTTAGGAACTAACATTACAAAATCGTGTACTGGTCTTTGAAGATTTGAAATCGTACAAAGTGTTCAGTGTCAACTCAGCCGAGTGAGCAGTCATCTAGCAGAGGTCAAACCAAAAACACTTCTCCTTCACTTCCAAACGTCTGTTAAGCAATGGCCCTCATTGAAAATGCCATGTCGCCCCCTTCGACTTCACATCAACTAGATACGAGCTCGTCCGCCATGAGCAATTCCATCTCACCTGAAGACTACCAAGAGATCGTCGAGCGATACAATGACACACTCGACACCACGATTCTTGGGCACAGCTTGCCTCGTCTTCTCCAAAACACCGCAGAAAGGCATTGCGACAAGATTGCCATGATATGCGGTGACGAGAGAGTAACATTTAAAACACTCACAACACTCGCAACACAGCTTACCCGCGTTCTGGTAACCCGAGGCATCGGGCGTGGTGAGGTCGTTGGAATCGCCTTGGACCGTTCCATCGACCTCGTCGTAGCGCTGCTGGCCGTAATGAAGACGGGCGCAGCGTACATGCCCATCGATCCTGGCTTCCCTACAGACCGCATCAGGCACATGATCGAGGATGCAAGCCCAATACTTGTCATCGCCGGCGCCAGCACACGACTTGCTTCTCAATCCTGGGGATGCGCGACGCTGGATCTCGATGAGACACGCGATGAGATGGCAGACTCGGAGTCTCAAATAAGCAGCGTGGACACGGAACCAAAGGCAGAAGATCTCGCATACGTTATTTACACTTCTGGCTCTACTGGTAAGCCAAAAGGTGTAGAAATAAGCCACGGAGCGTTGTCGAACTTTTTGTGCGCAATGCAACAGGAGCCAAGATGTGTGGAAACAGATCGGTTACTTGCCATCACAACGATATCATTCGACATTGCAGCGTTAGAAGTCTTTCTTCCATTGCTGTGTGGCGCAACGATGATCATGGCCCAGGCGCACGAGATTAAGGATCCAGAGGCCACACTCAGATTGATTCAGCAACACGACATTACCATGATGCAGGCAACACCTGCAACGTGGCAGATGCTGCTGGATGCTGGTTGGAAAGGAGATCCGCGTCTCTCCAGAATCTTGTGTGGCGGCGAAGCGCTGTCTCGTAGGCTCGCCGACCGGCTACTATTGTGTGCAGAGGCAGTGTGGAACATGTATGGCCCGACTGAGGCGACAGTCTGGGCGAGCATCTGGAGAGTATTCCCAGGAAAGGACGTGGTCATTGGAAAGCCCATCACCAACTATCGACTCTACGTACTTGATGAAAGCCTTGACCCAGTACCCTTTGGGTGCGCTGGCGAGCTATACATCGGCGGAGTAAGCTTGGCCAATGGGTACCGCAACATGCCTGAAGTTACCCAATCGCGTTTTGTTCAAAATCCCTTCCACAGTGGTCTTATATACCGTACCGGTGATATAGCCAAGTTCGATGGTCCGGATAGGTTGATCGTATTAGGCCGCGCCGACGGGCAAGTAAAGATACGAGGTCATCGAATTGAGCTGGGCGACATCGAGGCAGCAATAACCGATCATAGTGACATCCTAGACGCTGTCGTGGTTAGCCGGGATGATAGACTGATAGCGTATTGCATAAACGTCGATGGCGATAGCAGTGACGAAACCGAAGAGAAGGCGACACTTGAGAGTCTACTGCGTCCATGGTTAGCGCAGCTTTTACCAGCGTATATGATGCCAGCTTTCTTTGTCGGCCTCAAGTCATTTCCTATGACGCCGAATAATAAGATTGATCGAAAAGCCCTACCAGATCCAAAGATTGCAGTGCAGCCCAAGATCAGCAGGCCGTTAACCGATATGGAGGAGAAGCTCCGGCTGATCTGGTCAAGAGTCCTGGGTCACAACTGCATCGGACCTGACGATAATTTCTTCGAGATAGGCGGCGACTCTGTGCGGGTCGTTCAGATGCAAAAACAGGTGCAAAAGCTGGTTAGCTGGAAATTGTCTCCAGCCCGGCTTTACCAACATTACACTATTAAGACATTAGCAACATACCTAGAAAGGGGGGGAGAAACCACACCGGACCCTAGAGTTTCACAGGGCCATCACCTAAAACCATATGACGAGGATATCGCTATCGTATCGATGGCGTGCAGGCTGCCAGGTCAAGTCTCATCCCCGGAAGAGTACTGGGATCTTCTAGAGCATGGTGCCGATGTCATAACCGACGTGCCAAAAGACCGTTGGGACGCCGATGCCCTCTATGATCCTAACCCAGGCACTCCAGGTAAATCATACTGCCGGAGAGGTGGATTTCTTGCTTCTGTTGATGAATTCGATGCATCGTTCTTCGGCATCTCGCCCAAAGAGGCGCGGGCCATGGATCCTGCGCAACGTATCATGCTCGAGGCGTGTTGGGAAGGCTTTGAGCGGGCCGGTTATACAGATAGGCAGCTGCGAGGTAGCCGTACAGGCGTTTATATGGGGGTTTGCAGCATTCCAGCACACTCGACAGCGCCGTGTTTGCAGGAGCTCGGTGGGTACGATGCAACAGGCTCAGCGGGAGCCACTATGTCTGGTCGCCTTTCATACGCTCTTGGTCTCGAAGGGCCAGCCCTCACGGTAGACACAGCGTGCTCCTCGTCTCTTGTCACAACACATCTGGCATGTAATGCGCTTCGTCAAGGCGAGTGTGATATGGCTGTATCCGGTGGAATCACACTTTTGCTCACTCCTGGGATGCACGTCGAGTTCAGCCAGCTCAAAGGCATGTCTCTTGACGGGCGATGTCGAGCATTTGCAGAAGATACACAGGGGACAGGCTGGGCTGAGGGCTGCACAATGGTGCTGCTGAAGCGGTTAAACGACGCTGTCCGAGATGGCGACAAGATCCACGCGCTTATTCGGGGCACCGCTGTGAATCATGGAGGAAGAAGCGCCCCGGGTTTGACAGTGCCGAGCGGAATAGCGCAACAACGACTTGTGCACGCAGCATTAGCTTCAGCAAATCTGGCACCTAGCGACATCGATTACGTCGAAGCACACGGCACTGGAACTAAATTGGGAGATCCCATTGAGGGAACAGCACTGGCCGAAGTGTTCAGCGGAAGTCGATCAACTGAATCAGAGCCGCTGTGGATCGGTTCAGTAAAGTCGAATATCGGGCATACACAAGCAGCGGCTGGCTTGGCTGGACTGCTTAAAGTTATTCTGGCGATGCAACACAACAAGATTCCGCGAACTCTGCATGCTGACAAACCAACATCAGCGGTGGACTGGCAGGGTGCTAACATGGCGCTTGTACAAGAACCGCAGCCGTGGTTACCACAAGCAGATCGGCCTCGAAGAGCAGGCATTAGTGCATTCGGCATTGGCGGTACTAACGCCCATGTTATCATAGAAGAAACTCCACCTACGAATGAGGTTTTGAACCCCTTGCTGGCTTCACTGCCAGCTGGGTTTCCATTCCTGCTTTCAGGCCACACTGAAGCCGCTCTTCGCCAACAGGCAGAGAAGCTGCGACGATACATCGAGAGTGCAGAAGAAATCCATATAGATCGTTTTGGTGGCGTGGCTTTCTCACTGGCAACGACCAGAAACCATTACCGACGGCGAAGAGTCCTCGTGGCCAAAGACAAGGCAGAGCTCATGTATAAACTGGGTTCGATGATGGGGACAAGTGAACATGCTGCCGATCCATGTATAGCCGTCCTTTTCACCGGTCAGGGAAGCCAAGTTGCGGGCATGGGTAGAGACCTTTACGACATGTACCCCGTGTTCCGCAACGCTATAGACGACATAGCGGCCCATTTTACCGAACTAGAGATGCCACTGAGGGAGGTGATGCACGCCGCTCCAGATAGCGAAGCTGCCACACTGCTGCAGCGCACAGATTTTGCACAGCCGGCCCTCTTTACGTTGGAAGTGGCTCTTTGGCACCTGTGGAAAAGTTGGGGTGTAGCGCCGAATTATATCCTCGGCCATAGTGTAGGAGAGCTATCAGCAGCGCATGTCAGTGGGATCCTGGACCTCTCAGCCGCCTGTCGTCTGGTCGCGGCACGCGGCCGATTGATGCAGGCTGTCCCAATCCGTGGTAGCATGGTTGCATTAGAAGCCAGTGCAGAAGAGGTGTCAAGAGTGATGGATACCATTGGGGTTGTCTACAAGGTCGATATTGCAGGACACAACACGCCATCGCAAACTGTGGTGTCTGGCGATTGTGACGCTGTTGACAAGTTGGTCGCACACTTTACTGATCTGGGGCGCAAGAAGAATGTACTCGATGTGTCGCATGCCTTCCACTCGCATCATATGGACTGCATGCTTGCAGCATTCCAAGCCGTGGCTGAGAGTGTACAATTCGATCCACCCAAGCTACGGATAGTGAGTAGCCTGACAGGCAAGCTCGTTGAGGCGGATGAACTTCAACAAGCTGACTACTGGGTCTCACAAGCACGCCGCGCAGTTCGTTTTGCGGATGGCATCCAGACACTTCAACAGCAGGGGGTCAACATATTCCTGGAGCTGGGGCCGCAAGCTGTTTTGACCGGACTGGGAGCGGCGTGCCTTGCAGCAAATCAATCAGTTGCCTGGCTGCCATCACTAACCACCCGGAAGCCCGGCGCGTGGACGATGCAGAGCAGTCTTGCTGAGATGCACGAACGCATGGTGCCTATAAGCTGGCATGATTACTTTGAGTCTCTAGGCTACTGTGAGCGGGTGGAGCTGCCGACATATGCATTCCAGCGAGAACGCTTTCCTTGTGCTCGCAGAAATTTCAATGTTGATACTATACAGAAACACGGCCAGGATCAGCACCAGGCCCTCAGTGCTGTGGATCGATTTGCGTTTGAGGTATCGTGGCAGCAGGCTGACGTTTCGAACTTGACCAAGGGAGGCTCATGGGGCTTGCTGTATGCGATTCCTGATAGGGATCAAGGGTGGGTCAGACGAGTTGAAGTGGGCCTTGTGTCTGCTGGTCTGAACGTGCAACGCATTGAGCGGCTGCAAGATGGCCGAGAGCTTGACGGAGTGTTGTGCCTGTGGAATGCGGAAACGGACTCTGAACATGTCGCAGACGAGGCACGAGAGCTGACTGTCAAAGGTTTGGCACAGTTGCAGAGCGCCGTAAGCACACAGTTCATGCCGCAGCTGCTGTGGGTGACGCGCCAAGCGGTCGGTGCTAGCGTGAATGCACGTGACGACGACCATTATTCTGGGACTGGATTGGCTGCCGGGCCGTTATGGGGCCTGATGCGTACGGCCCGTAGCGAGCATCCCGATCTGCATCTGCGCCTCATTGACGTCGACTACCACTACGACGACAATAATGCCAACGACAACATCGATGTCGATGCCCTTGCGGCGGCGTTGGCGCTTAGAACGGAGCCTGAATGCGCAGTCCGCCACGAACACGTCTTAGTACCCCGGTTACAACCCATCTCTATGCCACGGGAACTGCTACCCCCTACCCAGCAGCAACAACCTATGGTCCGTCCAGATGGCGCCGTTATCATCACAGGTGGGCTAGGCGATCTTGGTGCAAGAGTTGCGCGATGGCTGGCGAGCACATATGGCGTACGCACTCTGGTCTTGACCTCGCGCCGTGGAATGGCAGCGCCGGGTGCGCAGGCGCTCGTGAATGATCTTGCTGCGCTAGGCACCGAAGCTACCGTCGTTGCTTGTGACATGGCAGATCGCCAGAGCGTCCAGCAACTCATGGCCATGTTTGACGACAACAAGACGCCTCTACGCGGTGTGGTACACGCCGCCGGCGCACAAGATAATGGTGTCCTCCGTTCCTTGACGCCGCAGCGATGTGCTGCCGTCTTTGCCCCCAAAGTAGACGGCGCTTGGCATCTACACCAACTGACCCAGCATCTCAGCCTTGATTTCTTTGTCATGTTTTCATCCATCTCCGGAGTCCTGAGCATGTCTGGGCTCGCCAACTACGCTGCAGCAAATACCTTCCTGGATGCCCTGGCATATTTGCGTCGTGCCCAAGGTCTGCCCGCCACATCTGTGGCTTATGGCCCCTGGGAGGGTGATGGTATGGCAGCCAACATCATTGGTCCCACCCGGGCACGTCTTGCTCAATCTGGCCTTGACATGCTTGCCCCGGAAGACGGTTTGGCGCTACTTGAACATGCTGTACGTAGTCGTCGTACCCTCACCGTCGCCGCTGCCTTGGACCAACCTCGTTTGAAGAACTATCACCGGGAACGAGGCGACAATCCTCCGTTTCTGCATTCACTTCTCAGCGGGGGCGACGCGGTTGAGCAACAACTGCATCCAGGCTACCATCTGCGTAAAGAGCTACTTCATGCAGGCCTTGGGCAGCGACCTCATCTCATGTTAACCATGCTTCAAGATACTGTAGCCAGAGCATTAGGCTTCACAAAACCGAGTGATGTTCATGTCGATAAACCTCTACACGACATCGGCATCGACTCGCTGACTGCGGTCTTGATACGCAATCAACTAGCTAACCTGACAGGCATGCCATTAACAGCCAACATTACATTCCAGCACCCAAACCTCAAAGCCCTTGGCCAGACCTTACTTTCAGAGCTGAATTTGGATGACAGCGAATCTGGTTCCTCGCTTGGGAGTAGCACGGCCACTACCACGCTCATGTCCGACATGGTCCCGTTGCTTGACCTCGAAGCCATCAAGAGGGGCTGTGTCGATCCCAGCTTCACCTTTAAGAATGCAGTCGAAGCCCCCGCGTCTCCTTCATCAGTCTTCGTCACGGGTGCCACAGGTTTTGTTGGTGCTCACATCACTCATGATCTGTTGGAGCTTGGTATCACTGTCTACTGTTTAGTACGCGCTGAGACCGATGATGAAGCTATGGAACGTTTGACGGCAACCCTAGCCAGCTACAGCCTTTGGAGCCCGGAATACACACCACTGCTCCATCCTATTGTTGGAGACATGTCCCAACCTCTTCTCGGCTTGCCGGAACACAGCTTTGATTTCCTTGCAGATCATGTCGATGCCATCTGTCACTCAGGCGCACTTGTAGACTGGATGCGCCCACTCCAAGACTACATCGGTCCCAATATGGTGAGCGCGCACGAAGTGCTGCGCCTGGCCTCGCAGGGCAAGGCTAAAGCAGTCCATCTTATTTCCACGATGTCTACAATACCTAAGTACATGGGCTACGACGTGAAAGAAGGGGATCAAGAATATGGATATGCCACGTCAAAATACGCGGCCGAGCGCATGATGGCTGCAGCGCATTGGCGTGGTGTCAAAGCATCCGTCTACCGCTTGCCTTTTGTCACCGCATCATCTACCACTGGTCGCTTCCGCCTCGACCGCGGTGATTTTTTACACCATTTCATCGCCGGCTGCGTGGAAATGGGACTCTTCCCATCCATTGACGCCAACCTTGCGGCCGTGCTACCTGTTGACTACCTGTCCAAAACCATCGTTACCATGATGACCAAGGACCTGCACCTCATCGGCCAAAACTACGACTTTGCCAATGCGCATGCACCCACTTTCAGCCACTTCTTCCAGCTCTTGAGTGACGCAAGTACTGGCCAGGAAATTGTGCCTTTTCCGGCATGGAGGGAAAGAGCCCTCGAATACGCATTGACCCACAGGTCGAGTCTGATTGCTCGCATCGCAGCGTTGATCGATGGTGTTGTTGACGACAAGGGTGCGACTGCTATGGTTACTGGACCGCCTTTGAAGGATAATGTTTTGGGCTCTACCCACTTCCCTGCACCATTTTTGGATGTTGATTTTGCAGAAAAGTATGTTCGATGTATCAGTACTTGTGCCGGTTAGGATTTGGTACTTGAAAATATATAGATTAATCTTAACTATGGAATCTAACTGAAGATGTACCTCGAGGAGCAGATCCGATGCTCAAGTAAGTCTTAGCGAAATGATAAACTGGGCTACAATATTAGTGCCGGTTTTTGTGGATCTATCTTATATTGGATTGGTTGTAGCACGGAGATAGCAAGCCCATGAGTAAGTAAAGATCGGAATGGCTCAGGACTAGCAGGCCCTGACCAGGCTTTCCTGTGGCCTGCAAGAAGCGATGAGCGATATGTTTTCCCAGTAAACTCAGTGATGGAGTTTTTGCAGAATGCATTGGTAAATATCTTATGTTGATATTTCGACATTGAACACTGATACCTGAACACTGATACCAGAGCACCGACAGCGAGCGAATAATGATATTTGTGCCAAAGTCAACTAGTGCACTAATCTTGTCAGGCCTATTAAGCTAACTCCATTTTCCCTCCACGATGTCGTTCATGTGCAAGGCTGGAAACTCCTGAATATGCAGCCTCGCTTCACTGCACCAATCAAAGATTGAGATTGGCGCCACAACTGTCACATAACGCCACATCTAGGATATAACTAGTTTATCTGCTAATCGAGACTCATAATTATTGGGGGCCTCACACTTAGAGTTCAGGTGGCCTGAAAATTTGGTGGAAGTTTGTCTTCCGATGGGCCGTGATATGCTGCGCGAAGCGGATTGTTTAATAGAACTGCTCCCTAGTCTCACCCCAGCAACCTATAGCTCTAACTTTCATTCTGACGCAAACCATCTTACTCACAATGTCATATTATGGGTTTTGTGCCATCTCAATCGCTGTATTAGCAAATACACACTTGCGAAGCGTTCGTGCTGACTGCTACTCCAGAGATGGTACGTTAAACGCAAACCAAATAGGTTTCAAGGAAACAACTCAAACTAAATAATACGCAGGCGTTTTGGCAAGGGATTCCGCAGTATACGCCGGCCCAGAACTCCTGTCCTGCGGTAAAGGTACAAACAACTGCTGTCTTTCTGGTGAAAAATGTGGTACCAACCTGCTTTGTTATGGCCCTGTGAACGGTGGTGACAGGCGTGGCTACAGCCGTGAATACTGCTCTGACCCGAACTGGACTAACTGCTCCCAAATTTCCCCAGGTAATGGTGTCCACTACCCACCACTTCGCAATGCATGCACTAAATCAGACCTCTAGATACTAGAGCCCACGGCCTGGCCATCACCTCCTGCGGGAAAAATATTTACTGCCACAGTCCGTTGGATACTTGTTGCACAACCGGCCCAACATACTTCATCGATCCTATGACAGGGGAGCTCAAGAATACCAGTGAGGCCGACTCAGATGCTTCGCCGACCTTTTGGTCAATCGATAGTGCGATTCTACTTGCTACATCTTCTGCAATGGATCTACAGCCCACAAACTCTATTCCCACTACTTCATCCCCTGCCATTTCTGCTGGGACTAGTACAACACTTCCGAGCTCTGAATTAACACCACCTCCATCCACTTCCCTGTCTCCCGGCGCAAGTGCGGGGATCGGCGTAGGATGTGGAGTCGCAGTCATTGCATCAGGCATCCTTGCGTGGCTGCTTATCCGTCGCCGCAAGTCCAAGGCGCAGGAAATGTTGGATTATAGCACTAATGTGCTGCCAGAGCACCAGACGAGTCTAGTGGCAGATGATAAGTTTCCCCAGATGAGTTATGTGCAGCCACATGGCGAGCATTATGCAAGGCATGAATTGGATGAGGGGCGACCGAGGGCAGAATTGCACACGACCGTTATGAGTAATGCTGCTCGTTCGCACTAAAGGGGTTTTTTTTTTACTTTTTTATTATACATAGTAGATCTGATCTTTGTTAGGTAGCAGTATTAGCTTCGCTAATCCAAATACATCATGCGATCTTGATGGTGGGATTAAATGCCGCAATCATATCGAATGCTCTACGCACGATTAATACATTCTGTTCGTTGTATAAGATTGTCGCCTCATAAGGCATTTTTTCTAGAAATCTTGCTGCTAGGTAGGCTAGGTAGGCTAGGTGTGATAATTGAGAGAGTGACAAATAAACACAAAGGGAAACAATCTTAATCCTGGCTTTGTGCAACAACGTGACCAGAAAAACAATCAGTCAAAAGAAAAACCCTCTGTAAGTTTATTCCATATCATCAATGAATATAGATTCTGATTGGACATGATGAGCAGCAGGTCTCTCTTAAGTGATACCTCTCTGAGTGTGGTAATTGATCAGGCTTTGTTGATGGCGGAGATTGACGGGCAGCTTCCCATCGGAACATCCCGATCATTCCGATCGCTTCCGACAACCCACTCTAATCCAGATGCGGTATAGCATGGCACTTTGTTACTGTTGTCCCCGCATCAAAACTAAACATATTGAGAGTTCAAGCAACTACTTCTCTCATCAATATATTCTTCACAGATACGCAATGAACGAATCCGTCAAAGAACTTCATAATGATCTTGCCAGAAAATACCGACAGCATGGCAAGCGGGTCGAGGAAATGTGGCGTTCGCTCAGTCAGGAACAACGCAAAAAGATCATGGAGGCTGGTTCTCATGATGGTGCTGTTCTGAAGCATGCTGAAGACACAAGCCTAGAGAATGTCTACAAGTTCATCCCTGAATGGAATCTACGCGACATCACGTCGCCGTCATCAAACTTCTTTCTCGACATGCTTAAGCACCGAGCAACTTCACCGCTGCAAGCACAATACACGACTGGCTTCAATGGGCGACCAGGAGACCATGCACACATACTTGATATGATGCAGAAAAAGAACCTCAGCCTCAACGACGTCTCCCAATATAAGGATTGTTATACACTTTTCTTGACGGAAGATGGGTATGGCGAATCAGTCAAGATCCTTGCCGAGAAGCAAGAAGTTCTTGCGAACATGAAACCAGCTATGCAAGCCGGGGTTATTGTACCTCAAGCCACCGGAGAGCTCATTCTTATGCGACAAATAAACCTGCTCCAACTTCTTAACATCGCAATCGAAGACATCCTCGGTACTGCATCTACCACGCGAGCCCAGGCGAAGCACCCGAAGAAGTCAAATGAGGATACGACTGCAGCCCTAGCAAATTTGTCAATACACTCGCCTCCGAAAAAAGTAGAGCTAGTAGATCTTGTAGACATGGCGAAAGACCGGCTTTCTTCTTACGAGGATCTAGTTGCTCTTATTTCGACCGAGCCTACGGTTTTAACTCATGAAGTCAACTTTTCTTTCTTCAGTCGGCCGGAGCTGGTCGCCGATGAGAAAGGACGTAAATTGCCTGTGCATACTGACAAATACATTAGCGGGGCTGTGCTCGAGGCGGTCCATAGCGCAGTGAAGGTTGCTGCTACGTGGTATCACATTGGCCGTCTCTTGGATCTGCTGAAGGAGTCAACAGACAAGCAGTTCAAGGCTGTAGTCCTCAAAGAGCTCTCAAACACCTCCCACCTGGAATATTTGCGCGCTCAGACTAGTTTCAAACGCAGCGTAGCTGTCGGCATGGGTGGCAGTAGATGGTTCAAGCGCACGTCGGCAAATGACATCGCGCGCCTCTCATTGAAACGAAATCCGGAGTCTTTGACAGTGGAGAACCCCCAACTACATTACATGCTTCGGCTTTGTCAGGATGAGACGAACTGGCCGAACGCTGCACAATGGCTTCAAAAGCTAGCGGACCTCCACCGAGCCCATCCGCTGGAGCAAGACAACCTTTCAGAGCGAGAGTACGACTCGCTAGGCGACCTTGCAATCATAGTCACCTTTATCCAGTCTCTCTCCTTAGTCGCACAATTGCCTACGCCTAATCACAAGAAGAAACAGCCATTTGTATCTGGCTACTCAGCTTTGGACAAAGAGTTTAGAGAGATGAAGGATGGTCTGGACCTCAGTGACTTCGCCATTCCAATCGATAACTTGCTCGAGCCAGGCATGGCTGAACGGGCTCTTGCAAGACTCGATGAGTACATCGTAGAGAAGACTGGCACGAAGCTTGGTTTTCTTTACGAAGATTTAGTCGAAAGCTGTGTATCCAACATCCATGAACAGCACGAAGTACAGAAGGCCAAGTCTAAAGTTCCGACTCAACAAACGATGCTAGCAGCTCCCGAGAGCTCACAATCGCCTATTCGGCAGCGCAAGCAGAAAGAAAAGACTCGACCGAGTCAAGTTTCGATATACGAGATCACGCCACAAAGCACCAAAGACGACCTGCCCGTTCAATCAAAAGAAACATACAAGGTCAAACCATCCACTGCCGATGTCTTTTCATCGTTATTCTCGAGATCATCTACAGCTCGTAGCCCAATTCGATGGGAAGCCTTCGTAGCTGCCATGAATAACTTGGGCTTCTCATATGAACCCAGGCTCGGCTCTATATACACGTTCGTTCCTTCGGATAAGATAGTGGTGCGCAGGGGTATAACATTGCATCGGCCGCACCAGGGAATCATTGAGGGACGGCTTCTTTTGGTCTTCTCTCGAAGACTCAAACGAGTGTATGGCTGGAACAGCTCAACTTTTGAGGCAGTTTAGGATTTTATAGTGTAGAGCAGACAATGAAGTATAGTTTCCCCGGAGAGGTAGCTCGAAGCAGAAGCAAATAACGACGCCAGGGACCGGAAACGTCACGTAGAACAGGAGGTTTCTGGTCGCTCCTTTGGGAGGGAATAACGAGTAATCGGTGCTTACAAGGGCGTATGTACCGAAAGGAAGTTTGCGGGAGTTTCGCCAGATCCAGGAGGCGGAAGAGAATACCGTCTTGCGTACGACTCACGTGTCACCTGCAGAGCCGCGGAGCCAACATATACGCACCACAAGTGTCTAAGACTAACAATTTCTCGAAATGTAAGCTCCTAGAACAAGCTCAGGATTATAAGCCTACTAACAGCTTGTGGGAATGGCGTAAATCTGAACGATTGCATTTTCGCGCACAATCTAGCTAACAGAAAGTGCCGGCCGGAGTTCCGGACCTCATCCCTCCTCCCACTGTCAAACGTACCTTGTCCCTTTCCCCACAAATTCTGAATTTCGTGCGGATACTTGCCTCCCAGCCAATCTCTCTAAGCCCTCAAACAAATAATCGCCAGTAGCCGGCGCCACAACGATCCATGCACTCCGCAATTTGATCGAAACCCGGTGGAGACTGCATTGGTATTATTGATGCGAATCGATCGGTCTCGGTGTCAGTGGTAGTGGATCGACGGCCCGGCAGTTTAGCCAAGCGTGAAACCTTGATGCTTTGTCGCACCTTCAAGTCAAGACTACTGAGTCAGTCATGAAGGACGGGAATTTATCGATGATGTCAATTGACTTGGTATCTTCGTCGAATATCCTTATCGTACGATCAATCCCAAGTACCTACACACACCCTTTTGTAGAAAACAAGACGCTTGCATCGTTCCTCATTATTCGACTTCACCAGTAGTGGGACTTTGCGCGCGTGATTACCACTAAAGTATAACCCCGGATTTTAGCCAAGTTCCTCAAGCTTTTCCCAATAAGGCGCCACTAGTGGCAGTTCCAACGTATCAGCCGCGTCATCTTGGGTCTTACCCCTGTCCATATTTTTGAAGATTTCTACTAGATTGCGACTAATGCACGTTTGAAGTTAATATAATCAATTTACCGATTCCAAGCTTCTCGAAGCCTGACCAAGCTTTCCCAAGCGATGTCTTCGCAGGCCCGCCTTTTCATATCTCTGCATAACATGTCACCCAGTCGTGGCCTCCACCACGGCCAGGGCCAATGAAACAAGACAGAATTTTGGCCCGGTAGTGCCTGACAATCTTTTGATATCCACATTCGACCTGCCAATTGCCAAATGGGGCTAGAAGTCAATCTACTGGCGTTTTGCTTAGACGGATCAGACGATTAGTGCACTTAGCAACGTGATGCCATGTTTCGCGGGATTAGTAGCGACACATGACAGAAACAACCTCATAGTTATATGTGCGTATAAAAAGCTTGCAACTCTCCTGAACCATCAAGGCATCTCCACCGCTTCCACTCGTTTCATACTCCTCCCATTCGACCGGACATTCCCAACCACACAATCATGAAGGCTACATTGATCACCGCCCTCGCCGGGACAGCCCTCGTGGCTGCTGCACCTGCTAATGTTACACCGCGAGCTTCGAAGGTCAAGTACGCAGGTGTAAACATGGCCGGATTTGATTTCGGCTGCACCATCGACGGCAGCTGTGCTTTAACAGGAACCAACAAGCCGTACAACTTCATTAGCGGCGGTACAGGAATTGCTCAGATGAACCACTTTGTCAAGGACGACACTCTCAACGCTTTCCGCTTGCCTGTTGGATGGCAGTTCTTGCTGAACAACCAGCTTGGTGGTAAACTGGACTCAAACAACGTCGGCCAATATGATACTCTTGTGCAGGGTTGTTTGAACTCTGGTGCCCAACTGTGTATCCTTGACCTCCACAACTACGCAAGATGGAACGGCAAAATCATCGGCCAGGGCGGCCCAGCCGACGCGCAGTTGGCAGACGTGTGGACGCAACTTGCCAAGAAGTACGGCAGTCACTCCCAGATTGCTTTTGGTGTCATGAACGAGCCCCATGTAAGTCGCCGAATGTATCTCGCAACATCCGTCAAGCTAATGATTGTTTCGTAGGATATCCCCGACATTGAGCGCTGGGCCACCACCGTTCAGGCCGCCGTGACCGCAATCCGTCAAGCAGGCGCCAAGAACAACCTTATTCTTCTCCCAGGCCAGGGTTTCACTAGCGCAGAGACATTCGTCTCTTCCGGTTCCGCCGCCGCGCTCAACAAAGTCAAGAACCCCGATGGCTCAAAGACCAACCTCATCATGGACGTCCACAAGTACCTCGACAGCGACAACTCCGGCACCCACACCGAATGCGTCAAGGACAGCGTCGACACTGCCTTCAAGCCTCTCGCTACCTGGCTGAGGCAAAACAAGCGCCAGGCCTTCCTGTCCGAGACTGGCGGTGGCAACACGGCTTCCTGCCAGAAGTTCCTGTGCTCAGAGCTTAAGTATTTGAAGTAAGCCTTCCCTATCAAGATCAAGCCCGATTTCTTTGCTAACCTTTTTGTAGCTCCAACTCCGACGTTTACCTTGGCTATACCGCCTGGGCGGCTGGTGGCTTCGATGGCTCATACGAACTCACTGAGACACCCACCCAGAGCGGCGGTCAGTGGAAGGATACTTCCATTGTGTCGTCTTGTGTTGTGGGTGCTTGGAAAGGCCAGTAGACGGCTTGATTGCCAACATCAAGGATACTAGCTAGATTACGGGCTAGAAATCTCTTCTTTGTATATAAATTTTATTCTTGCTAGTGCAGGATGTGAACCACAATGATTCCATCAAAAGATACTACGCTGCAACATTTGTATTTATTTTCGGTTTCGAGTTTTCTCATTAAAGAAACGAATGAGGAGATATCATCAAATATATACGTTGTCAATACTGAAGCACCACAACCTATAGTAATAATTTGGTCCATCTAATCCCTACCATGCTCTATACGCCTCAACGCTGCGAACTTTCTTCTAGATCCAATCTCCTCTTGAAACCATACAACTAGCGGTACTGATTGATTGAGGTATCAAAGTACTGTCTAGGCCTGGCAAAAAGGTTTGACCTTTTGGCCTCGTAGGGTTAGGGTTAGGGCTGGGTTGAGGTCAGCCCTAACGCTACGGAATGTTCCCGGATTCATTGTATGCGTTGCTTCTCCCAATACGTGTGAGCTTGTGATCTACCCGCGAGAAGCGTCTGGGAATCGATAGTGCACAAGAGTTGGGAGAGGGGGTGTTTTTCCTGATGTCGGTGTTGGGCTTCGGCAGTGTGAGCGTAATAATGGATCCGGCAAACTCTCCGAACCCAAAGAGTCTCGTGTACTCATGGCAGGGGCTTTTTATTGAGTACTCGGCATTCCCGTAGACATGCTTCTCGCCTTCAGTCTTGTTGCGCTAGACTACAATGGATGGGTGTCTATTGACAAGATCGTAAAGCGAGTTCATAGTGTACGAACGACGCTAGCGAAGTCACTCCTCTTTTATTACACGCTCAAGATTGATTTTCAGTATCTAGTCGTTGATCTGTGTTTGCATGGCTTTTTTTGACTTGCCAGTTTGATTCTTCCGGACGTTGGTGATGAATTTCACCTATTGTGTATCCAGAATTCCTCTTCGATGTGGACACTATTCAAAGTGGGTCTTCCAACCAGCTGTCCGCATCGTCTCGCATGATCATGTTGACGATGATGTATTGCACAATTCGTAGTCGCAAAAGTCGACAAGAACGGACATGTTGGTTGTTGACGCTGCAACTGCGCCATTGAGGCCATTATTAGCCATTTTACGCCAGATGTCTTGAGTACTTGTTCCCAATTTGAACTATCCCCGTTCAACACCGTGAATAATCACCAGATATTCGGTCAACAGGTCATCTTTATCCTGAATGATGCGATGCCTCTCGACCCCAAACTGAATAGAGGGTCCGACGTTGGCTTCGAACCTTACCTACCCTTTGGTTTCTTCTTCTTCTTCGTCCTCTTCTTCTTGCACCTGATTGCACCATAAGCCGTCAGCATATTAATGAGATATAAGTGAATATCGTTGTTCCTCTAAATCTCAGAGTCTGGTGCGTGTTGTACTGACTGCTTGACAGAAGCACTTGTATTCGTCCTTGCTTTGATCACCGCATCGAAAGGCTCTAGGATGTAGGGCGGATTTGTATTAACGTGATTTCCATTGAATTTGAACATACTCACTATTTTGGCGATAGCGCTACCCAGTAATGCTGATAGTGACCGGCGCGCAGTCTTTTGTGTCCACACCGGACTGAACGATAGTACTTCAAGTGTTCCTGCTTGTAGTTTATTAAAAAAAATTTGACTTCTATATTCTAAAAGAGGTGGCTAGGATCTTTTTTTGTCAGCCCAGGTTGCAGCAGGTGGAATGGAGGGAGTCGCGAGAGAAGTGATCGGAAGTCACAGTGTCGCAAGCCCATCCCGCATAAATGAGGTATCTTGAGCCATTAAACCTTTCACTTCCCCAGCAGCAAAAGCATAAGAGAAGACCAGATGATAGCAGACTTGGTGATTTGGGGATAGGATAGTAAAAACAATAATTCAGTTCCATCTTTCATAGCTTCTCTATCCCAGGAGGTTATCTGAGTATTTGCACTACCAGTTGCTTACAGGCTTCAGATTGACCTTAAATCCATTATATATCCGAGCAATTATCGCCCATTCTGTTTCTATCTCTTTCTCGTCTGCTGCTTTGGTTATCTCAAATGTGCCCACAAGCCCAGCTAACATTATCTTAAATTCTGCTAGCGCGAAACCTGTACGTGTTTCTCGTCAGTTTCCCGTTGATCATACGCTGAAATACAAATGGAAATCTTACTCTTTCCAATGCAACCCCTGGTGCCGGATGAAAAAGTCTGGAAGGCCAGAGCATCAGCGCCCCCATTGGGAGCTTGGTTGCCATGAAGCCATCTTTCTGGGTCGAACTCCCTTGCACGCTCTCCCCAAAGCTTCTTCGACTTGTTGATCGCCCAGTTCGGGATCAGAAAGCTTGTGCCTTTCCTGATGGGAATGCCGCAGAGTACTGTGTCTCGTACAGCCGTTCGCCTGGAGAACGGCGAAGGCCCGTAGACCCTCAGACACTCTTTGCTGACAGCGTCAAGGTATGGCAAGTTCTTACCAAGTGTATACGCCGAGATTTCTTGTTCAGAGTCAAGAGGAGGTAGCTGTTTGTGGATTTCATCTCGAAGGCGTTGCTGGACATGAAGATTCTCTGGCCTTGTCAGCGTGTAAAGCGCCCATTGCATTGCCGTCGCTGTTGTTTCATGCCCTGCCACCAGAAAGGTTCGTGCTTGGTTGACGAGCTCATTTGTTGATAAATTGCCATACTGAGACGCCACCGAAAGAATGTCTTTGTGAGGGGCTTTCTCATCGTCGTGTTCCTGGGTTTTTCGGGTTACCACTTCTTCAATGTATCTCTTCACATACGCAGAGCCTGCTCGAATCTCGCGCGCCTTCTTCAACGGCAGGAGCTTGACTGCCCACGTCGTAAAAAAGATCGAGAGCAGGAATATGATGTTTGAGGTATTGTCAGGCTCGAAGATGACTTGGTAAGCACGGCTCAATTCATTGGTCGGGTTCGCTAGGGAATTGAAATCGATGCCGAGCGCCGCAATGCCGATGATATCTAAAGCGGCTCGATTAACCCACGCAGTTATGTCGACGGAAATCCCTTTCTGGCCTTGCGAGGTATTCATATCTTCCTTGATATAAGTTATCATCTCGCGTGTCTTGGAATAAAAGACAGAATACAGTTTTTGAACATGTTTGGCGGAAAATGCTGGATTTAGTGCTTTGCGTTGTTGCTGCGAAAAACGTCAGTTCCGTCTTCACATCAATGTACAACGCAATTAGATCTCTAGTTCAATGACAGGGAAGTAGCTAACCTTGTGCTCTTCGCCATCTACAGTAAGCAGACCATCACCGAGTAGGACCTTCATGAAATTCTGCACATTCGCCATTTTGCGAAAGTCATATGCGTTGGTTTGCAAGATTTCTTTGATAAATTCTGGGCTTGTGATCACCAGCACTTCTCTATTTAGAAGGTCGAGAGCGCGGAAAATGCCTTGATTGGGCGTGTTGTCAAGATATTCGAGGACCCTGCTACCGTTCTGTAGCGGCTGCAGCATGATGCTTATCCATGACTTGCGCTGCTGTTCCATCGTTAGCTTAACAACACCCATTCATACTCCGAAACACACGAATTATTCTTATTCTGCTTTTTCCTTTAGGATATACACGTACCTTGGCTTGTGGGAGGACAAGGTAAGGGCTAAAGTAGAATGGATACAGATACACAGCCCATAGTAGTCGTCCAAATAGTAGGCAGCCAACGGTAATGAGAACAAGGAAAGTTTTCTCTTGTGTCAGGTTTCGCCATAGCATCTCAAGGAATTCAATGATCGGTCGTATCATCCTGTAGCGCTTTTTGTGAATCTATTTTCGTACGTTCTTCTAGTCTTCGTAACTTCATTAATAGTGAGAGAGCTGATAAGTATAGGTATATTATATATAGAATCTGCACTAAAATCTGCAAATTCTAACTCCAACATTCCATTTTACTGGTGTTTCCTTTGGGTATGTTAAGAATATATAACATATTAACACTATTAATATACAACTCGATAGACGTTTCAGTAACCTAGACCTATACTTCTGATCATCACGGTATTTACTGTAAACAAGGCGGATTGTGGTATAAGGCCGAAGTTAACCCAATACAAGTACCCGCAATTTGTCCGCTAAAGTCGTTACGTGGTCATCGGCGTGCCGATTGCTTGGCATGAGGGGAAAATAGTAATACCTCCGACTCGACATTCCTGGGTAGTTTCTTTGTATGCTTTAGAGCGCGTATAGCACTATTTATCGCCGTACCCACACCGAATTAATACCGTATATTAAGCCGGTTACAAGACTTTGCTTACCCAGTTACTTACACATGTGGAGAAAGCGCAGGCGCATAATCGGTGGGGTAGCATGCCTAGTTTTTAGGCAACCGACCGACCCCGCGTCCGTTATCTCATCGCCCCGTGACTATGATTCTGCTGCACGGTCCGTTCCGGCAATTAACATTCCTGTTTGCCAGTGAGCAAGGCAACAAGAGGCCCCCATGGCCCGGGCTGTTCTGGACATGCTTGTTCAGCTTACGGATAAAGCAGCAAGGCTGTTCACCGAGAACTGGGATACGTATCACTTGCGTCTCAGGCCCCGGCGTCCTCTACTTTAAATTTGTAATTAACAACCGTTTTCAAACTTTACTTAAAAGTTTGGTACTCGGAATAATACCTACCTACGTCCATATCCTCCCTGAGCATGTCTTCTTCTGTAGAAGTTCGCGCCAACCCTGCACTTATCCAAAAGGGAGATGCATCCCGTGCACCACTCTTTCTTCTACATGACTCTGGTGGAACGGTTTCCTATTGTTACAGGCTAAGAAACATCGGCCGTACTATCTACGCGATACACAACCCATCGTTTTATTCGCAAGAAAAATGGAAGGGAGGGATTTTGGGCTTGGTGGAAGAATACATCAAGCTCATTAAATCTGTGGTTCCATCGGGAGAGATCTTAGTTGGAGGTATACATTCCCACAACCTCTAGCAGTATTGTATCAGCTCATGAATCAAGGTTGGTCGCTCGGTGGCCAGTTGGGTATCGACATCGGACGTGTATTAGCTCGTAATCGACGCTCGAAATTGAGTGTGAAGGGCATTGTGTTGATAGATACGATGTACCCATACTGGGGTCCTCCAGAGACTGTCCATGCGGACGTCTCGATCGACCTCGTGCTCAAAAACATTCCATCTGATCTGAAGGAGAGTATGCTCCGTTGCATGGATTGGTCCAAAGAAGACTGCGATGAATGGGTCCCCAGAAACTGGAAAGGCGATATTGACCAACTCGGTGATGTCGAGAGTGAAGAGCCTGCTCCTGCCGTCTTGATTCACGCGAACAAGTTGATCGTCGAAGAAACCTCAGAGGGTGTGAGGTGCATGGTGGATCAGTACAAGGACCAAAAGAATGGATGGAACTTCTTCCCTCATCAATTCATTGCCGCTATATGGGAAACTCCGGTACATCACTTCGGGTTATTCGAGGAGACATCTGTATGTTTGAATGCGTCACATATGAGAATCTTGGCTAAACTATTCTAGGTCCAAGAGACTACCGACATGATCAAGCGGGCATGCGATCTTCTTGCTGAAGATTAAGATGGAAGTTTTTGCAAAGCTATTCATGAGGTTGGTATGTAAAAGAATGATACAGCTTCTTGAAATCGTGAACTCCACAAGGACGCTAGATATAAAGTTCACTAAAACGCCACACGAATCTTCCCCGGTCCAGACAAAAAGTCTGAATCCCATATACCCATCACAGCATCCCAATATTTTCTTCGATCTTGGAACATGTGGTAGACATGAGCCGTACTTGTATACCTCACTCTCCAAATCTTCTGACCCATATTGAGTGCTTCGCTAGCGTGCTGTTCTATGTGCTTCCAGGGAACTAACTCATCTGCCAAACTGTACAAATAAAGTCGGGCGGCGGAATCAGGAAACAGTGCTTTCTCATTCAGTCCTTCGTAAGCCCATTCGACAATGTTCTTCCACTTGGTCAATTTCTCTGCAATTAACCCGATACCGAAAACAATGCGGTAGAACACGTTTCCGATGGTCCATAAGAGCGGATTCTGTGGAAGAGAAGTGGAAAAGGCAGCCACTGTAGAGCTGTACGACGCGACGCCCGGGCAACTATCAAAAACAATCTTGGATACTGGTAGGGGGCAGGATGTGTGGTCTCTGTACGCAGATGCAAGTTGGTAGATGGCGCAAGTACCGCCGCTCGAGAAAATGTGGAGCAAAATCTTCTCATCAGCCTCTGTGTTTTGAAAAATCCTCAGCGCAGGCTCGAGTTCGCGTACGCGTTGGGCAGTCGGCTGGAAAAGGAAATGCTTCGTAGTTGTCGCGATAAGCAGTAGGCGAGAGGTTGGGAAGATGGATTTGTAGCCAGAAAGATAAGCCTGAACCTGTGTCGGGGAGGCATTGAGCCACGCGGCAATGACAATGAGATGAGGATCCTTTGAGATTGCTCTCCAAGTTGGTCTGGCGTCTTTTGGCGGTTCTCGGTAGAAAACACTAGGCGAGAGCTGTACAAAATCCAGTCCGTACAGGCGGGAGGTATGCTGCATCGTAAAATTCGTTTCTATGATTGTTTCAAAAGATCAATAGCACACGAACTCCTGCAAAGCATGGGATTGAGCTGTAGTTTTAAGTATTCGCACACACAGACCTCTGCCACGTTACTTATTTCGTTGGTTTCTGTACCAATAATACGGCTGAATTGAGTTGATTTAAAACATGACCATGCGGTCCGTGCGTTATAGCTCCGCACGAGAGAAGCTAGTCAACAGAATAGACCCCATTTTTTGCCTCAGTCTCGTGACGTAAGGTGCATACGGCTGCCCAAGTACTACAAGATGCGTGGCCATCTAGAGGAGGAACTGAGCCGATATTCGGTCCTATTGATCCTGTCGGTGTCTGCTCTGCTAAGTCCTTGGGCATCTACGAATAATAGCTAGCACATGTGCCGAGGTTTAAATGAACAAATCGGGCTTACGTGAGCTTTACCTCTGGTGCGAGGAAGCCACTAATGTATGATGTGTACGAAGTCATCAATTTGCAAGCTTTTGTAAATACTGATGGAATTTGCAATGAGAGAAGAACCATTGGAGAGCTACCTGGGGGTACAATACAGGGTGTAATACATGCATTTGCACTCATTCAAGACTTTATCCGCCTTTTTGCATCCGCAAAGATTGGATAGGCCAGCTTGGTATTCAACTCAATCTTGACCTTGCCCTCCTGAGGCATAGATTTAGGTGTAAGTGTGATGGTATCAAACTCTTGACACAGTCGAGTGAAGAAATACTCCATCTGAAAGTTTGCAAATTGTTGTCCTGGACAGATTCTAGGGCCATGGTTAAAAGGAATGTACTCCCACTGGCTACTGGGCTTCCATGACTCTATTCCAAATTAGCAAAGGAAGTCTCTAGTTTTTGTCGGATTAAGAGGAAGGATCAACATACCCCATCTTTCAGGTATCCATAGACTAACATCCTTTACTCCAAGATCCGTGCGATGCTGCAATGACAAGAGGCCGTATACTAGGAACATGTTAGAAACAGCTTGCTGAGCCACGAATGTACTAACCGATCTGTGTTCCTTCCAAGACAGCCACCGGTGATTTACCATCGGGGCCTCCACCCCGTGGCAAAGTCATGTCTTCAACGGGCACACGAGCATTTATTCCCACTAACCAGTTAGCATCTTAACAGCATTTGGGGATTTTAACGTACAGGGATGGTGAACGCGCAGTGTTTCCTTGATCACATTTCGTATATACTTCAATTTATGTAAGTCGGTCAAAGTTGGCAGACGATCACCAACACTGCAGGATGTTAACGAGGCCGGGGTACAATAGACTTGAAGTATCTTGGTTTCTTACTGTTCCTTGACTTCGGCCTTCATTTTCGCAAATACATGCGGATGTCGCGCAATTTCGTAGTAAGCCCATGCAAGTGTTGTGGTTGAAGGATCTTTGCCGGCAAGTAGCGTCGATATAACTGCATTTTTGATACTACCACGACCTTTTCCCTTTCGAATGAGATCGTCAATCAGGCAAGGTTGGTCACCACTATATTTTCTAGCGCTGGCTTTGTCGACGAATTGGTCCAGGTATCGATCAATCTCACGTGTGGCTCGCGGCGCAAGCCAGTCATCTCGAAGATAGACACCAACAGGACTAGATAGTAGTTCAGCATGGAAAACACACCACCGAGAGACACTGTACGAACCCCATGATCTGCCTGAAGCTATTGATTCCGAGTAGGACGTCCATCGCATCACGAAAAGGTTGTTGATTGGAAGTTAATGAATCAGTCGACTGGCCGCAAAATATATGCGTCACGACGTCCAATTGCCATCTATCAATAGCGTCGAATGCGTCGGTTCCAGGGATAGCAAGAAGATCGATTACATGCTTCAGATGTTTCTCAGTGATTTCGAAGTCGGTATCTCGAATTCGGCTCATCTGCAATTGTGAGAATTGATCCGGAGAAGAATCGTGCGACTCACGTGTGTTTTAAGAAAACTGATTTCTTGCTTCCACTCATCGCCATCCACTTAAAAGCAATTAGCATTCATGGCTGTATAATTTTGCTGTGTCATACTTGAGAATACTGCGTCGCCGAGAATGTGTTTAAAGATTTCATGCTGAGCTTTCGACTTCGCAAACCGAGTAAACTGACGATCTGTAAGCGGATGATGTAGAATTTCGCTTGCGAGTGCGCACCTCAGTATCTTGGATGTACTTGATGTTCTCAGGATCATCGGTCAAATACATGCTGTTCCCAAACATCTGCACGTCAACTGTATGATTGTGGGTATCCAAAACATCTTTTGTCCAATGCCAAAACTCATGTTTCCTTAGAGCACGCAAGATTTGGATGGCAATGCCTAGACCTACTAAGAGTTAGTCATCCCTCGAGCCTTTTGAGTTAGAACACTAACCAAACGTATTAGTGGACACACGCTCGGGTGGCCCTGCACCAAGAAGAGCATATCTTCGTCTTGTATCAGCATTAACTCGATAAGATTTAAGCGCAACAAGAGCGGCAACAAGGATTGCTCCGAGGAGTAATGGAGACGAGAATATCGCCATCTATTGCTAAGTATGAATATCACAAAGATGGTGTATAGATGGAATGTTAAAAGTGCTATCTCTAGGAAGAAGATGCTGATACTACATACCTATATATACATTCTATTATACCACTACGTAAGCTGTAACTACTCTGAGCCTAGTAATAAGATCTATATATAGAAGTACCTTTACTTTATAGTATCTAGTAAATTATTTCTATAATATTTCGTTAACATATGTTCATAAAATTCTAAGCCTTATTCTAGAATATCTTTTACTTTACAAAACACTATTCCTAGCTTAAAGATTAGTATATATTTAAATGTACAATCTAAAAGATATGTAATATATATAAAAATTCAAAGTCTTTACTAACTATATGTAGGATAAGGTAAAATATAACAGATTTGCTAGGGAACCTAGGATTGCCTAAAGGAATAGTATAGTGTTGGGTAACGCTAATATCTATTTGCTAGCGTAGTTTCAGCTAAGCCTGCCAATATCTACCCCTGCTCGCTAGGTAATTAAATAATCTCATGGTGCGTAACCTTGTAGTACTGAGTCGTGATACCTTAGCTCTAGCTACCCCGCAGCCTTGGTGTTTGAGATGACTTGTTGCTGGCTTGGAATTGATAGCTGACTCTAAGTACCGACTTCGGTGTAATAGGGATCCTAACGGTTACACTAGTAAGCCTAAAAGACAGGGTAAAAATCCACGCGTTCATGCATAAGGCGCTACCCCGCTAACTAGGTACACCCCGCAACCTAGCCCCATTATCTCCCTTACACAACTCGGCCCGTTCTTACTAGCTACTTTTTGCAGTGAATGCGAGGTACAAGGAAATACGAGATAGCTGAGAATACTCGGATACCTCGTTTTCGATTGCCGAAGAATACTATCCAGCTATGTATCGAGCTTCTGACGAGACCGTTCGGCCATTAATCTACGTTTCGCTAATCGTTATCTATCCGAGTTAGGATATGGGGCGCAGTCGGCCTTAATCAATACTTGGCGCATTGATCCTTCGTTGGATTGCCCTGCAACAATCCTTCTCAGAAACGCCCGGCCGTAGCAATCTTTCTAGGAAACGCTAGGCTGCAGCCTATGTTGTTAGCTGCGGCTCATCCTATCAGTTGCCATCATTTTCTTACCAACCCGGCTCACCTGATAGAGTACAGTAAATAACCAGGACTTGCATTAGCATTGGCGGATAATTTCTAATACTGTGTATTGATCTCTATTCATTTTGCGCATTTCAAGTCATTGAAGTTGTTGCGTTACATCAACCAAATTCTATACTACCCTGGAATATCGTTGCCCTAATGGAAAAATCACCCTCTGCCCTGCCTTTTCGGCAGGTTGTTGTCATTGGGTGCGGATTTGGCGGTCTGGTAATGGCCTGCCAGTTGAAGCGCAAACTCCAGTTTAACGACTTCGTCATGTATGAAAGGAACGCTGGCCTGGGGGGGACATGGCATCATAATCGATGTGAGTTCTTGCGACAAATATATTATAAAAAGCCAATTATGTTGATGCAAAAAGATCCGGGAGCGTCAGCAGATGTATTTGGGGCGGCGTATCAGATCTCATTCGCGCCAGAGCCAAAGTTCACGCGTGCATTCCCCATTTGGAATGAGCTGCACGACTATATGGAGAAGGTCGCTGATCGATACAATATTGGTCCCCATATGAAGTTTGGTATCAGCTGGGAAAGAAGTGTATGGATGCCAGAAATAAGATGCTGGCGAGTTGTCTTGCGCGATTGCGCCACGGGCGATATCTTTACTCAAATGTGCAAGGTACTCATCAGCGCGACAGGCCATCTAGTCGACCCTAAGCAGCTTGACGTACAAGGAAGGGACACCTTTAAAGGGAAGATTGTACATTCAAGTCTGTGGACTAGCGACATCGACGTCAAGGGGAAGAGCGTGGTGGTTTTAGGAAACGGGAGTAAACTAAGTATCTGTCCCAGCTAACGACAATTACTGATAGGTGATAGGCACTGCTGTCCAGTTAGTTCCTAGTATTCTGGAAGATGTAAAAGAGTGTACACAGATACAACGAGTAAGTGACTAAGAATGCATATAGCGGGAATTACTAACTGTATGGAAGGCGCCGCAATGGATATTACATCGACCGAACCCAGCATTACCAGCAGCAATGTTGACTCTGCTGACCTATGTGCCTTTTCTATTCACAGTACTTCGTACTACACTCTTTGCGATCACAGAAGCCTTCTTTCATGTTGTTGGGAATAAAATCCCACAGATTAGCAAGAACCATCTGAGAAAGTTTGAAGTACCTGAAGAGTACTATCACCTCCTCACACCTTCGGTTCGTTTGTCTTAATGTTTGCCTTTTCTTCTTGCTAACCTTTTCAGTATCGGCCAGGGTGCAAGCGACTTGTCTTCGCTTCAGACTACCTTGAGTGTCTCAAAAATCCCAAACTACACTTGGTCCAAGATGAGATTGCATCTCTTCGCGAGAAATCAGTCATTACCAGGTCGGGAAAAGAGTATTCTTGCGATATGCTAATTCTTGCGCATGGCTTTGAGTCGGAGACTTTTAAACTTCCACTCACAGGACGTAACGGTGTTACACCCGAAAAGCACTGGGCCGTTGCTGGTGGCCCTAGCTGTTACAAAGGCATTGCGATGCACGACTTTCCGAATTTTTTCACTATTCGGGGTCCGAATATGGCATCTGGGTAACCATGACTTGATAGTTGGTCCCTGAAACATCAACTAACTGATTCTCATAGTCACAACTCAGTGATTTGGTACATCGAAGCTACCGTCGAGCTGATTTTGAATGTTATAACACCTCTTATCCAGGGAAAGGTAAATCAAGTCGAGGTGACGGCTGAAGCAGAGAGCGAATATGTGAACAAGGTGCAAGAGGCTTGTCGTAAAGGTGTTTGGGGTTCGGCTTGCAATACTTACTACGTAACCAAAAACGGATGGAACCATACGATGTACCCATGGAGTGAGTATCACACTCAACCTGTGCCCCTTTTGCTGACTTTGTGCATTAGATAGTTACAGTTTATGGTGGTTTAGATTTGTGAATAAGAAGGATTGGACAATGATTGTTTGAGGAGCCCTAAAGTTGCGACTGCGCATAGGCATAGAACACCATTTTGGTACACCAACATATCCAAGCATGGAACGTTTCTTGAGATGCTCAGCAAATAACAGGAACTCCTTTACGTAGACAAAAAGTATGATTTGCTAGAAATAACGCAGTACATGATGATAAGACACAGTGCGTGAACGTGATGATAGCGCATCTTCCTCATGGGCTACCTTTCACTTTTTTGATCACCCTTTTTACATAGTTTTGATTAAAGGAATGAATTACAGAAACACAAGGTACTTAAATTTAGCCATTGTTTGCGAGCTATCATGATGTTAATCAAAAATAGGGAAGACTAAGTCTTCTTCAATAACTACTTGTGACCTATATACTGACTTGGAGTTACCCAGGATTCGGATAGGACTATATGTTTTACGCACATGATTGAGATTTCCCTAGTATGAGGAGTACCATATAGATCCCCGTGAGTTGGCCTTCTAGGCCTTCGTTCGGAGTATCGTGACGAAAGACTCTTGTATTGTCCTTGTCTTCAATAACTACAAGTTTCGTAAGAGCTTCTTTTTCTAAGATCCTTTCCTTTCCAAAAGAAAACCCAGGGCACCGGAATCAACACGAGACTGATGAATGCAAAAATACTTCCTGCCCAATGAATACCCAAATTTTCATACATTTGAATTGTAAAAAGAGGGAATATGGCTCCCAAAATGAACCGCAGAAATCCATTTGCAGCTATAGCTGAAGCACCATTCGTCGCTTGATACGTATCCATGAGGTAGGTCACAGATGCGAGGAAGACGGCTAGCGTTCCCCAGCCAAAAGGTACGCCAGCTAACACTGGGACAATCCAATGAACTGATTCACGTGGCGTCCAGGCAAACCACTGCAGATTCACACTTGTATTAGCAATGGTCACAACTAAGATGCAGGGTGTGGGCAACGCCCATCTTCACTTACAAAAAGTCCAACCGGCAAAAGAAAACTCCCAAACATGGCTGCATAAAGGCGATGCTCTGGTGCAACCCGTCCGTTAGTTCTCTGGGATTCTGGTTGGTATTTTTTGCGATCAAAATATCCAACCGTCACAAGCGCGAGAAGATATCCGACAATGAGTCCGATGTACGTCAACCCGATCTCTTTCAGGTTAAATCCATATACCCTACTGTATACATAGGAATAAGAACCAAAGAATGAGAAGATCATGGCGAAGTTGAAACCCGTATAAAGACTGAGAAAGAAAGCGAGCGGCTTTTTGCTTATGTTAGATTGCCGAAAGGCTGGTGGGAGTCATGTTGACATACCTCTAACAAAATCATGTGTAGTGGGCGCAACATGGCGAGTCCGATCCGTTGTGTAATGGGCATTTCCTGGGTAACCTTGATTGTTTTGCTGGACTTCAGATACATGATCCTACTCTTGGAGGTCTCTTGCATAAATAATAGAGAGACAGCTATTGGTGCGCACAGAATCGGAATGACCCAAATAGACCATTTCCAGTCGTTGTCATATTGGGCAATGATGTATGCACCGATAAGAGGTCCAAGAGTAGGTCCAAGAAAGGGAGCGAGGATGTACGTCAACGCAACCAAGCCGGCCTGCCTTTGACTCCATATATCAGCAACAGTACCTGCGCCCACAGCCAGCACACCAGAGCCGCCAAAGCCTGCGAGGAACCGAAAGACGATGAGTACAGTCAAATTATCAGACGCAGCTGCGATGATGTTGAACACCATCAGCATCGGAAGACAGATTCGGTATACAATAAGGCGACCATAAATTTCGGATATAGGAGCAGCGATGAGTGGGCCTAGAGAAAACCCGATCGTGTAAACAACAATAGGCAGTAGTGCAACAGTTCTACTTATGTCGAATTGTTTCATGACAAGTAACACGCCTGCAACGTATGTCGAAGTCCCCATGGTACTACAAGAGAATGTTAGTTTACTCTTAGAAAATTGTACGTTCAAACATACAGCGCAAGGCCATACACAGCTGGGATTGCGCTGTGGAGAATTTTCTTCCATGTTGGCCAGTTTTGAGGATTGTCAACATTGTTGACGTCGTCCCAATCTAAGTCTGCTACTTCTACTTCCGGATGAGGTAAAGTCGATACAGATTTAGGATCCATTATGATGACTAGATTGAAACAAAAGCAGACTCAACGGCTACTGCGACTTTAGGCGAAGTTGGTCCGAAGAGAGAAAGTTGAGGAAATCCAAGACATGTACTAGCGGGCGGGGCAAAGGGCGCAGCAGCTCCTTGTTCTATTTACGCCGAGGTAATTACGAAACCCCTGTAGATTGAAAACGCATAATTTACACGAACCTGTTGGATAAGCGAGCGCTATAGGCAAGCGAGCTGTCGTGCAACCAACGAAACTGGAACATGGTAGGCCCCCTTCTGCAGTGCAAAATCATCCTACAGCATGCCTGAAATCCTACTCCCGCGCTCATTTCTCAAGAACAGAGATCTATTTCAGCCCTCTATATACTTTGCCTACGATATTCATGATCAATTTAAACAGTCGGCTGCAACTTCAAGAATACCAAGTAACTATGCTAGACATTAATAACAGCTGTCTTTGTGGTCTATTTCCTAAGCTTACTAGTGCATTCCTTGGTATCTCCATGTAGCGCCGAAGCCCATACGCAAAAGCTGTCTATTAATCTAGGGTGCCAAGTAACTCTAGCATGTGCATGCACTTTTGACGGCCCCTTCCTTACCCTGTTTGATAGGCTTACTAGCGGATCCTTTGATATCCTGGCGTAAGTCCAAAGCCCGTGCGTATAGTGAGTAGTTAGCTACTATTCCTAAAGTGCCAAGTAACCCGTTAAAAGGCTCAGCGCTAGGCAACAGGACGGCGATTTACAGAAAGGTGAAGATAGCTGTGCGAAGGAGCGTGCACACCCTGTTTGCGCCGAATCTCACGGCCCCCAACACTAGCAATCTGTTCATGCGGGGAAACCGTAGTAACACGGCTGTCTGTTAATGTGGGGGTCAACTGTACGTACACGGCTGTGTGTTAAGAGTTAAAGGGCTTATAAGAGGCATACGATACTTGGTCTCTGAATTACAAACAAGTTCATTTCAACGTCCTGCCTTCACAACTTAGTTTCATCAATCACATCTCTTACATTGTCCATAATGGAGAAACCTAACACACCTGACAATCTCCAAGATGAGTACGTCTGTGTTACTGGAAGCAATGTGAATAGTCCTAGTGACGGGTAAGGTACATCTCCTACCTGAGTACTTCGCTTACAGATTAGGCTTTCAACCCCCACAAGTAAATCCTCGCACGCACCTATGCCAATAGCTATAGTCGGGATGGGGATGCGATTGCCAGGGAATTGTCATAGTAGTGAAGCTTTCTGGGACCTACTCATCAACCAGCGTGAAGGAATGATTGATATTCCGTCAAGTCGATGGAACAGCGAAGGCTTCTACGATCCACACGGGCGGCCTGGTACCACAAAGGTCAACAAGGGTAACTTTCTGGGCAGCATTGATCCAGCGGACTTCGATGGAAGTTTTTTTTCAATGTCGGCGGCACAGATTGCCAAGGTTGACCCACAACATAGAATACTGTTGGAGACTACGTACGAGGCCCTTGAGAATGCTGGAGAGAATAACTTTAGAGGCAAGAAAATAGGTGTTTATGTGGGCATGTTTGCCGACGATTATGTCGAGATGCAATCGAAGGATTCAGAACCTCACGAGTTCCTGTCCCTCACAGGCCACTTGGATCTCTTTGGAAGTATGTTGTGTCCCCAAAGTCCTTTTGAGTCCAAACTAAACAAGTTCCAGGTAACCGTGTTTCGCATGAATTTGATTGGACTGGGCCTAGGTACGTACCCGACATCCTCTCACGTGTGACGATAGCTAACGAAGAACAGCATGACAATTAAGACAGGATGCTCTGCATCATTGGTATGTCTCGATCAGGCAGTGAAGGCACTAAATGCTGGAGACTGTGATGCCGCAATCGTTGGCGGTGCCAACCTTATCATGAGCCCTGCTCTCTCCTGCGCGCTGGTCGCTCAGGGAGTTAATTCTGCGGACGGACGGTGCCGTTCATTTGATGCAAAGGCAACCGGCTATGGGAGAGGAGAGGCTGTATCGTCTCTCCTTGTGAAGCGTTTGGATGATGCTCTGAGGGACGGGAATCCCATACGCGCGATCGTCCGGTCAACTGCTTGCAATGACGACGGTAAAACACCAGGAATCACCCAGCCCAATACGGTCGCACATGAGGCTCTGATTAGGGCCGCATACCGTACTGCAGGAATTCCAGAGGAAGATTTTAACAAAACCGGATTTTTTGAGTGCCACGGAACGGGCACTGCCGTCGGTGACCCAATCGAGGTCGGTGCTGTGGCTCGAGTTTTCGGCAAGGATGGCATGATAATTGGATCGGTAAATGACCAAATACTCATCCCCCTAAGAAAGTACTGAAGCCTCTAGGTCAAATCCAACATTGGGCATTCGGAAGGCGCGAGTGGAAACACGTCAGTCATCAAAGCCATCTTATCAATGGAGCACCAAATCATCCCACCAAACGTAAATTTTGAAACGCCTAATCCAAAGAGTATGAGACCTAGACCTTCATCTGAGTAAAGACTAATTGAGAAATTCTAGTTCCTTGGAAAGAAGCAAATCTCAGGGTCCCTACTGAATGTATGAAGTGGCCATCGGATCGTCTAGAGAGAGCATCAGTAAACTCCTTTGGTATTGGTGGAATGAATGCACACGTAGATCCTCCTCATATTTACCTCACTAATGCTTATTTGGCTAACAAGGAGTATAGGTTATCTTGGAATCAGCCGCTGCTCATGGAGTGAATAAACCAAAGTTGCTGTCCACCAAGGAAAAGCCGAGGCTTTCTCTGCTTCTATTCACTGCGAAGAGTGACCTCTCTCTTCAAGAATCAATTGATAAGCATGCAGATTATATCCAGAAACACGGCTCATCGCGACTAGACGATATTGCGTATACACTCGGTACACGCAGGGAGCACCATGAGCACCGCACTTTCTGCGTTTCCGACGGCGAAGAGCCACTTGTGGCTCTGCCATCTTTGAGAACTAAAATGACTAATCGTTCTACGGTTTTCGTATTCACTGGTCAGGGCGCCCAGTGGGCGGAGATG